AACTTGGGTCCATTTTCAAATTTGGGACTTACATTGCAAAACTTTCCAAAAGGCGGACATTTCAAATTAGCGGACATCTTTCTCGTGCCCCGACGGTGTCCGCTAATTGATGAGAATACTGTACCAAGAAGATTGGATGATTCTGTTAACTTCTTTTAGGCCTCAAATTTAATTGGAGATGAGCTTAAATTAGTGTTCTGTCAAATTAAAATAGGTTTGGATATAAAAGATTGCAACCGAACCGGTTTTCGGATAAACGAGGTTCGGATGACAGTGGTTCGGATAAACGAAGTTGCACTGTATCCAGTGGAAAGTATTGTGAGAAAGACCAAAAAGAAATTATGACGTCTGTCTCACACACCTGATTAACTATACCATTCATTTGAAGCTTGAAAAGATGGGCGATCTAATGCGTTTACAGTTGTAATCACACACGTAAGTCACACTGTTCAGCGATTCAATTCAATGGTGTGATGAGCACAGTAATGCAGACTAACCAAATTTGAATAATCAACAGTTTGGTGGGTCACCAATAACAAACTTATTTCGTTGCCGACAAACGTCATATCTGAAAAGCGCACTCATTTGCAAAGCCGTCTTTATTACGTATTTTGATATTTAATCTGCATTTGCACCGCACTAGTCAAATGAAGATTCTTACTCCCGCTGCAGTGAACGTGCTTGAACCTTCAGTCCTTTGTTTCGAAACAATACCGTCTTAAACCAATCAGTGTTGCAGGGTCATAGCACATGCGCATTAATAACAGTATACGCATATCTGTTTTGTCTTGGACCACACCTCTTGAACTTCCCGCCAGGGCTTCAAGTGATAATACGCATGCGCAATGACCCTGAAACGGGGCCAGTGCATGTCTGGAAAACGGGCATGATTCATCTGCCAAACAAGTGCAATACTTGGTGCTGCGTGTTCTCACGTGCGTATTTATACCATGCCAATTACAATGCCAATTCATTAGAATGCCAATGAGGTATAATACCTCATTGCAGAATGCTTCTTCCAAAGATGTTCCTAATATAAAGTATAATACAGGACTACAGACAATAATTCTGGTAAGGATCGATTGATAAAGGAGGAGCTTTCTAAATAAATAAGCTAACCGAGACATTGTCCTCCCCCCCCCACCCCCCGCCCCCCGAAAAAAGCAAAGAAATTAAAAGTCATTTAAAATAAAAATAAATTAAAAAAAACTGAAACAAAGGAATGTGTTTACCAAATGAGAATGAAATCGTATTAGGTTCTTTACATATGAGTGGAGATATCGAGAAAGAAGAGCATAGTGTAAATATTTGAAAGCCACCATTTAAATGGAGCAGCAAATCATACCTCCAAATCCAACCAGAATCTGATTTTATTAAAAACTTCAGACGGAAAACATACCAACATAAGTGTTATTTTTCAGCACAAAGGGGCTTCAAATACCTTGTATTTAATAGAAATTGAAATTTTAATCAACTTTAGTCTGCTAGCCCTGGGCAAAGCAACCCTGGCACTACTTCAATTTTGGTGTGCCATTCACCTTGGAGAATTGATAAAATATAATAGGGTTTGGACTCGAATGCATATGCGTGTTAAACGTCATCAGCCGACATCTTATAGAGTTCTTTTGAAGGCCAGCATACCAAGTACTAAGCTTCTTGAAAATGGATTTGGAAGTGAAAGATGTCATTTATAAATCATTATTCCTTATAGAAACGCATCCATCTCCCTTTTATGGTTTGAAGTATAGATCAAGCTAATCGCAACTTTTCAGAGAATCCTTTTAAACTGGTGATTTCATTTACTGGATATTATCTCAACAGGAAGCAAAAACTTCTAATTCGCAGGGTCTGACATAATAAAGGATAAAGAATGTGTAATAAAATGCACGAAGACTCAACACATTTTTTAAATGGAGCTAGCCAAAGAAGCAGAAGTAACAAAGCAACACTTTCTTAATTACTGACCCTATGTCGCTATTAAAATTTTCTTTAAAGTTTCTTGATTTAAGAAAAAGAACACTTGAAACAGTTTTAGAAGTAGGTTTAAGAAACAGTCGAATCTGTAAGTTTAAGAAGTCGAGCTGTATTTTTAAAGTAATATCATGCCCTCCCTAGCGGTGTACGCTTCTCTTCAAATATACGACAAAATAAAGTGCCTTAACATGTCTGAAGGAACGGGGACGTGCCATTATTTAGGGATACCTTTTTTCTGAAAAGTGCGGAATTATCGGCATCAGCTTTCGAAATTTGTGCAGAACTATAGGTATCATTTGAAGAAACATGCAGAACTATGGGTACCATTTTGAGGAAATATTGCAAAATTATTAGGAGGGAGATTTAGCATTAACAGAATGAAGGTCCAGTTAGAAATAAAAATATGAAATATGTGTAATATTGAGATTTTGGGGCATAGGACATGCAAAATTTGGTTGATAATTTTTATGTTCTCTAAAAATTTTATTCGCTCTGCAGAATTATGGGTATAGTTTTCATCATATTTGCGGAATTATGGGTCACATTTTTTGAAATTTGTGGAATTATGGGTCCAAAATTTTAACCAAAATGGCACGTCCCCATTCAAAATTATGCATAGTTTACCCCCCGAGATAGCGGGTCAATTACTTTAACATTGAATCCTAATTACGTCATAAAAACTTTATCTGGTTAAGTCTAAGTTGCTAAAAAAATTAGACATTTCTATTTTCTAGAACAATTATATGTCGTTAAGGCTAGAGGGGGCATGATCATCTAGTTGGGCACTTTAAAACCCCTCTGCTTTTGTAGGAAACTTTCAAAGTACAATTTTATACAAATTCAAGGGTTTGCTTAATAAACGCACCGCTTATGGTATAAACTCTTTTTTCAAGAATATAATTGACAAGAATATTCAGGCTCGGAATAATCTGTTTTTAAGAATATTGCTCAGTTCGCAAATTTGTGTCTCATTTTTCCAGCAGATGCCTGTGTTGCCATGTTCATAACAGGTAACTGCATGCCTGACATACCTCAATCGAGTGTATTCGTTAGAGAGTATCTCCAGAAAATTGAGACTGGACGCAATTTATATCCTTATAAAACGTAGTATGCAGCCACTAGACTGAAGGCTTGATGAACTTAATGTAATTCAACGTGAGAAAAAACCAGTAAATTTCTTTTTTCGATGTCTACTTCACTATGCACGTTCGAGGGGCAATTCACTCTTGCAAATAGCGTGCGAGATTTTCCCTAAAACAAAAGGATTTATTGGGACTTTCATTTAAAACAATAGGATTTTCACGAAAGGTGTACGAGATCTTCTTGAAATGATTTGCCCCTCGTGCACGTTCGTTTGTCTTTACAGTTTACTGCTACAGATTGTAATCCTCGTGACTGGAGGAGGACAATCAAGAACCAGACACATATAAGTGGTTAAACTGTCACGAAATGATCAACAATTAAACGGTGTTTCTACTGAATCAAGTTTGATCCTTACGGCTAAAACGAAAGCAAAGGAGACACTTTTCCTGGCCCAGGTAATGTGGGCCAGAAGTGGTTTCCTGTACAACAAAATTTAACAAAAGCCATTCAGGCAATACACCTTATGATCATTTGAAGTAACTGAATCAATGATGCAAGATCCCCAAGCTAAACAGCCTTTGAATTTTCCTTCATACAAAAACAGTTTGTATGCCAGTTATTTATCAGGTGTTGATATTAAGCAGTTAACTGGCCCTATTAAGCGGTTAACAGGAGGAAAAACTTTGATTGTCTTTGGCATTTGTAAAACTAGCACACTGGGAATTTACTCCAATAAGGTTGTATTAGAAGGGTTTGAAAAAAGCATCGAAGTTAAGACTAAATTATAACTAACTGGTAGTACACAGTATTCCACTGAGAGCATTGCACATAATTCCAATTCTAGATTCTCTTAAAGAATTTACCCGTGTGCTGTTTCAGAATATCTTATAAGGCCCAAAATTGAGGTTTTTAACAATAGTGATGCAAAACAGAAATTTAGGTACTCTTGCAAAATGTCTATGACCCCTCTGTGACCCAAAACGGTGGTATCTTTGCCCCCATTCCTGCTTATAAATATCTGATCGTTGATCCAGGTTGTGACCGAAAAAATATTGTCACTTTAAATCATCCGGTCTTTCAAATCTACAAGAGTTTTTTCTTATTCTTAGACGATGTTCATTCTTGTAATTTATATCTATTTCCCATGATCTCATAAAGATGCAATATTTTCACTTCCCAACACCCCCTCCCTCCCCGCTTTTATGCTTCCTCCCTGTCTCCTGGGCACCTAATAAAGCCCTCCCTTTTATTAACAGTAAGAACGAATTCTTGACTGTGTCAACCATTGCTGATATTCCGCTAAATCGCTAAAAATAGCAACAGCAATATTGATTGATATTGTATAATTTATCTTGGTATAAATTTAGAACATAGGTTCTTGGCTGATAGGTCTGTGGGTTTTTGTTGCTAAACATTCAGCCAAAGTGCTTCTTGGCATCATGCGATGACCACAACAAATTGTTTCTAGAAAAACATTTTCAAACTCTTGAAAGATAATAACGACTCCAAAACTTTAATCATATCATCTACGGCATTGCTTTTGCTACAAACACAATCCGGCTGGTGGCAATCCGGCTGGTGGCTTGGAAATTATCCGACGTATAAGGTAAGATTGCACTTGCGATGAATCAGATAAGATTGCACTTGTTGTGATGTGTTGTACCGGATGGGCAAGTTGTTTTATTATAAATGTTGGTTGCGTTCTCTCCCACGACACAGCAATGAGATTGTTGACATATTTGTACATGCTTGATTAGTTTCTTTTATTGTCAAATACATCGATATAAACCCACGGATTTGCAATGAGGTCAGAGTAAACAAAGAAGCAACTGGACAACATAAAAAGCCAGCACTGCAGTCGGTGCTGTGCTACGATAGTAAAACACAAAGGCGAAGAGGAGGCATATCTACAAAGAATCGAATATTTTTACTTGAATACAACCATGAAATCTTGGAGGTTTAGAAGGGCCCAAAGCGTACCAGATGTGTACTCAAGAGTTGTAAATGTGGTGTTTCTCGGTGCTGCTGGGGTTGGAAAAAGCAGCCTTGTTCGGAGGCTACTGGATAGAGAATTCATGGAAGATTATGTGCCTACTGTATACGATGTGTTTCATAAGGAAATCATCAACGATAATGGCCGAGTGAATTTTCAAATTACTGATATGTCGGGATACTATTCGTTCCCTCCAATGCGAAGGATCGCCATCTCGAAAAGCAACGTATTTGTTCTCGTGTATGAAATTGGAAATAGCAAGTCGTATGAAGAGGTCAAACGACTGAAGGACGAAATAATTGAATTGAAAGGAGATTGCGGTGCAGGTATCATTATAGTTGGAAACAAAACTGACGTTAAAACCCACGCAAAAACATTGGACGTTGAGAAAGAGGACGATCTTATTGCCTCGTCCTTTACAACTTTAAAAATATCAGCCAAGACAGGGGAAAGTGTATTCCAGCTCTTGCAGTCAATACTGGACTTAAGTAACAAACAGATCCCTGTTAATGTCAGGAGAAGACAGTTTAGTCAAAATAAAGCATCGAGATCGTTAAAAGCAATTTCTATCAAATGGTGATGTATTTTCTATTTTAGAGATACGCCATCTTACGGCAGCCAGTTTTAACATTTTTATATGAAATGAATTTGTGCCACGATTGAAGCTATTTGTAAGACTAAAGACGTAGGAATTTTTTTAAAATGGAGGAAACTTGTAGTCAGAAAGGGACCTCCCTTTGAGCTACAGATAGCAACTTAACCTATGTTGCAGAAAAATACAAGCCACAAGAATTTGGTATTCGTTTTTAGTTTGGTATTTTTTAACGCCACATTTTACTCATCCTCGTGTATGCTGTATGAGTAAGGGGTTGAAGGGGCAATTATCACTTAAATTGAAATCATCACTTTATTTTTATTCAATCAATTTATGAAAGAATTTATAAAATCGGCAATTTATTATGATATTCTTATTCGTTGCCATCAATGAAAATTTGATTTTATTATCAATATTCTTGATGAAAGTTTTGCCATCTTGAACCCTCAATGAATATGGCAATAGTGAGCACCCCCTTGCAACTTTTTTATAGCATCCAGGGTCAATATATATAAACTACATTGTATTATACGTACATTTTTGTAAGATGGTTTTACTAAGCCTACTTTTTTAAATATTTGTGGTTATGAACCTAGAATTATATTTAAACAATTTTTTAGAAAATAGATCAATTCTTTACTGGTGTATTTCATTATCACAAAAACATTGTAGGAAATGAAAAATACTTGCAAAAAGCAAGTGCTCTTCAGATTATTTGTGTTTTTTCCTTAGAAAAAGTCAAATTGTCGATCAAATTCAAGCCTTGCTTTTTGACAAACTCTTAAATTTAACCAATTTCGAGCAACAGTATTCTTTAGAAATTCATTCTTATAAAAATGTTTGTATGATAATTTTTTAATAATAATATATACGTGCTGTAAATTCTTAGTCATTCCAAGGAAAGTCATTTAGAAAATATTTGTTATCAAAGCAGCTCATTCGTTCAAAATGATACTTCCTTTTGTTTACGCGTTGAAGGGAAATTTCAAGCCGGGAAGTGCTTTGCAACTAGCTGGATTGCTACAGGGACACCGGAGCAAATTTTGGAGTGGGGAGTAGGGGAGTAGGGGTATCAGGGAGTAGGACTGTAGGACTGTAGGGTGGTAGGGGATAGGGATCTAGACAAATAAGCAAACTTTATTGTAGTTTTCCTCCATTATATTTGATATCACTGTGAATATCATAGTTCAGCAAAAAATTTAGGGGGCTATATCGCCCCTATTGCGTGCCTGTATTACCGGGGGATGCCTTTTTGTATACGCACATATTTTACTTCAAGAACTGCTCTCTCCCCCGGCTGAAATTTGATAACCTCAACCCCAATGAAAAACACAATTAGCTCGCGTGCCAGCTTGCCATGTGTTTCGTTAATGCATAGCTATTATTCTCGCCCTTACTATTAGGAATTGGTTATCAATTTCTATTAAAGCTGCTTGGCATCTTTTTAACGACTTTGTGTTCCGTTATTGATTTGTAAATTGCCTGTATTCTGCTTATTAGTGTTATTTTATTTATAACCATGCGTTTTTAACTATTTTCATTTTTTTGTATCTTTGCTGATAGCATGTTACTGAATTGAGCTAAAGTATTTTGATAGAAAAATTATGTATGTAAATATATTCGAATAAAAATTAAGAAAGGTACATCGTTTCTTAATGTTTAAATATCTGTGACCCTCGCTTTGGGGTTGTAAGGGAGTCTTTTGTCTCTCAACTTAAATTCAAAAAGCTCCAAAAATTGAATCATGAATCAGTTGCGTGAAACCTCTTATTGTGCCATTGCCATTGCGTTACGCAGGCATCCCACAATGCATTTTCAGTCTTAAATCAATTTTGGTTAATCCGTAGAAGTATACCGCCATTCAGGACCGTGGCATGCTCCGACAGGACATGAATTGAGAATTAAAGCGTCACTTCCCTCCACTAGCTTACAGGTCCAGCCTGACCCGACTGGAACCACCTGGCAGTGTTCCCTAGCTCAGGGCTACGAGAGATGGCCAACGGTTAACTCGGCAGGGACCGGCAAGGAGGGCGGATGAGCTACGACTCCAGGGGTCAACGGCTTCGGGTGGAAGAACTCCTGGAAAGAGGGATGGTGTCCCTTTAAAAATACTGTAGAGGTGGTCCTGGGGGCCAATCTCTACTATTAGCCCCTTAGTTTTATCATGACAACAAACCAAAACTCAGATTTTGGGATAGTTGGAGGGTCATGGTAGATGATGATGATACCGCCATTGTTTGGATTGTCGCCTAGACAACTTGCTAAGCGCGCAAAGGCTCATTGTTGGCAATGAGTCTTGAATCATTCACTGATTCCTGAATGCGATAAACCTATAGCAATTAGGTTTGATAGGAGCCTCGAATCATCAGAGTGTTTCGTTTATCGACCTTGTGCCACTGAAAGTTTTTGAAAAAACTTATGAAAAAAAATTTAGGATTCAAGGTTTTTGCTATTCGAAATCTCAAAACATGCAATGAAAAAGTATGTTTTGGAAAACAAGCAGGAGACAAAAAAATAAGGAACAGAATTTAGGATGTTACCAGCAACTTGTTGCAGAGCTTGTATTCATCATTATCAACAAAACTCTTTCGAGTGATATTTGGCCTTTAAATGCAAATTGTTTTCAGTCAAATTTATTCTCAGCAAATATCTCTAACATCTTTAAATGCTGGAAATTGCACTTGTCTACACCGCTAGGCTAAACATTCCTTTAGATGTTTTTTCTGCCAGCATTTTACTCATTTTACTCATTACAAACTCATTTTACTTATTTCCTGTCAGCATTGTAACAAAATTAACTATTGGTTATCAACTATTGGAGATTTCCTGTGACAAGATGATTATGGAGAAAGCAGTGTGTACACATCAGGCCCTAGAAAACATGACGGTCCCACCGCCTTATACTGCCAAGAAGACAGATAAAACAATGGAATTTGAAGTATCATCCCCCAACAATACTTTTTAATTATTACTTTAAGCAATCCATTTTGAAGGTATTGTTTGGATGAAGGATATACACTTCGTAGATGTTGTTGCCCATTGTTACATACTTGCAATTTCGCAAACTAAGCTAAAAAGATATTACGCACATATAAACAAGTTTAAAGGGAATCTGTCTCGTTGTGGATTGGTTAACGAGAACAATAGCTGGAACAATAGCCTAAACACAATTCCAGCGCTCCGCCATATTTTTTACAATGCGGTAAATTAAAGGGGATTGGAAACAATAAAAATCCCTTTGCTCTTATAATCAATCAACGTCGTGACAGATTGCCTTTAAAGAGTTGCTTAATGTAAGTGGTACAGATCTTGATATAAGACGATGTCTTTCAAACTTGAGCCTCATAATCTAGAAGTAGAGACTGGTCGTTTTGTTGCACATCATGTTTCCACAGAAAAAAGACATTAATTTTGCTGCTTATCGACAGGTTCACAGTTTCCAGGTGATGAATTTAATGCATTGATGGTATGCTCAGAGTTTGACCAATATGTTCACTATTAGCTACTACTCTTTGACCACTACCTCTTGAAGGCACTATGCTCCGACGCATTTCACTGGCCATTTCCCATTGGTTGGAATACACAATGGACTTATTGTTACTTATCCAATCGGTAGTGAAAGGCTGATTCGCATTGTTTTCTCGAACATACACGCGCTCCAGAGCCTATTGTTAACACTGAACGGTTGACTGACAGGACATACACGTTTTTAATATAAGATAGAATTCAACAAAACTCAAGAAATAAATACCAGCAAAAATTAAAAAATAAAAAAATAGCAACAGAACGACAGAACTACTGTAGGTACAAGTGAACTCAAACTTCAGGACCTAATGCAAAACAGTTAACTATTTTAAATCATTTGTTTTGGGTATTGTGTGAAGATGACGCAAGATGTTTAAGTTGGTTGCCACATTCACAGCGATATGGTTTTGAGGCGAGTATATTTGATAAAAACACAATATCAACGCCTAAACATTTCAAGCCCAATATGCTATCATCTTGTTACTTTGTTGAATATTTAAATTTTCTGCTGTAAATGATGCGCTTACTGATTATGTAATATACACATACACGCCATCTAGGCCAAGAAAACTACAAAGAAAAAATAAATCTCATCTCAGGATACCCGTCACATTTCTGTCAACATATCCCCCTTCGTTCAAATGCTGTACTTAGAAGAAACTGTATATTTTTTCCTCGGTGTAAAAGACTTTGTGTCAACCAGCCAGTCAATTTGATGGACTCCAAGAAATTTCTGTCTTCTTGCCTTTAGCGAGTGTCTTATGAAGAAAATTGGTGTACGTCAGGAAGTACGTTGGACGGAAAAAAACGTGTCACAAATTTTTGTAAGGAAAATATATTCACACAGGAATGCCATAAAAAAGAAATTAAAGCCAACATCCATGCATTCTTTTGCATACATTGCATTCATAATTTTCAATTTATTGAACTTTCTTTCAAGCAATTTTCTTTTCATAATGTTTATCATCATAGTTAGCTTCCTTTTCGTTGTCACACCAGATTTGTGATCCTTCTCTTGTGGCAAAGCTTAGGTACTGTAGATATTTCCTCGCGTGTAATTAGAGAAAAATAGAAGCAAGTGTCCAAAGTCACAGGTCAGCCTCGTTACAGGAAACAATACATACACGTGATAAGATCGTACAAAGGACAAAGGCCAAGGACACTATGTCATATAAGGTATTAACGTAAACACATATAGGCGTATATACAACTTATGTTAGCGGATAAAGGTCATAGTGTAGAGACGAAAACTCCTTGGTGTAGGTCAGTGGCGTGTTGGGAAGCAACTCATTGATATGTCATAGCAAGAAACCGGACAGTCGATATTGTGGAACAAAAATTAGCCTGCGCGCAGACTCGTTTGGCTTTCTCAGAGATGAATTTAGTTGAATGGAAAATTTAGGGTTTAGATTTTCCAATCAACAAATTTGGTCTCTGGAAAAACCAGAAGACTAGTGTTAGATAAATGTAAAGCAACTTGACGACTTGTTGAAGAAGCTTTTAACGACTGCACAAGGGTAAGATATGGCCAATAAAAGATTTGAAGTTGGCTAGCGGATTACTGTTTTCAAGATAAAATGAGAAAAAGTCATATCTTATTTTATCTTGCTGTTATTTTGGCTCTGTTCATAAAATTCATAGAGACCAAATTATAGTGATGGTGTAATGATACAAGAGTCTACGCCTCATGCTGCCATATTTCTTAATACCTTTGACAATTTTGTGTATTTAGAGGTATTTTAATAATGCTCTTTTGGGTTGTGGGATAAGAACTAAAAAATCATAAAGATAGATTCTTGTGACGTCATCCCTTGAGAATTCTCTTAAAGGCTATTGCAGATACTCTGCTGTCAATCAAAAACTGGCCAATCAATGAGCGTGATTATTGATTGACTGAAGGCTTGATAATATCAAGAGACAAATCACTCCAAAAAGATGTCTCACACCTTTTGTGAAAATCCTATTGTTTTATGAATATCTCCAGAAATCCTTTCGTTCTAGAGAACATTTCGTACGCTATTTGCAAGAGTGAATTGCCCCTCAAAAAACATCACCAGAATTCTTATAATCTACTTGCAATCATTTCCTTGCTCAATATTTGTTGTCCTATATTTATGTAATTAGTATTTCGGTGAGGAATTTTAATATGAAATACTATATAGAAGTAGTAAGATAATAGATTCCGGAAACGATGAAGTGAGAAATTTATTTAGCAAAGCAATTAGTGAAACGATGCTTGACAAGAATGAAATACATTTGTCATTTGATGAAATACTTTTTGATGCAATACGCCGGTAAACTGTTGTGATTGTAGGAGCCCGTTAGCTTGTGATGGAAATTTTTACTCCAGTGATCGCATGCAATTTTGCACTGAAAAGAAACGGAACTGCTTTGAGTTTCTTTTTAATTTAGAGCACAAACGCTATACTTAACATCCAGCGCGTTAAATAGTAATAGGTTGTTGTTGGAGTCAAACCTCCTATTGTTTTGGGCTATCATCCTTTCCCTTTGCCTGAACCTATGAGAAAGCGCATCATGAGGGCAGGCGCATGGATAAACTTGTTCAAATTTTTTTGCTCAAGACAACCTGGAAAGCTTTAGTTTACATTCAAAACACAATTTCAGGTACTTTTGGTCATGTTCTAGCTCATTAAATAAAAAATCTGTCAGCCAGGACCTGCAAAAGGCTTAGAAAATTGTGACATATTTTAAGAAAAATTTTTCTGGCTCAAAACAACGCAAAAGGCGTTAGTTTACATTTACATATCATTATGCTTCACAACATTTTATCAAAACTATATCATAACTTATATGATAGTTGCACATTTACAACAGAATTTCATTGTTACCCTTCTGATGAGACCCTTTTCTCTAAATTTTCGTTATCTTTTTATTCAAGACTGGCTTAATTTCTATAGAAGCAACTGCGCATATGATGTACAATTTTGGAAGCCTTCTGACGGAACTTTTGACAAATGCTGGTTTGTCTCCCCAACAAGTAAGAAAACCAAATTAGCTTGATTTAGTTGGAAAACAAATTAGCCTGTTTCAAGGAAAAACGGTTTCTGTGTTGCGGTATCATGAATTAGACCCGCAAGCAGCCTCTGTTAAGCTAATTAAATTATCCAATAGTACTTTGATGGTATTTACAATGCTTCTTGGTGAAAATAAAGAACATTGCTAGAAGCCATACCTAACAAAGAAAGACTTTTATTAAACAAACTGCTTTTATCACGGATGCACAGCTAGTCTCACAAACGGCTAAGAATATTTTTATCGAAATTAGTCACCATATCCTCTTAATTAAACGCAAACCTTGGACTAAAACGATATCAAACATTGACAACAGCAAGCTGTGCTATATAAATTATAACAGCTAATAACATGCAAAAATGGTACCTACAATTTCTATGAATAATACGTAATCACTTTATAAATTATGTACATTTCTTAGATTGCCTCTACCTTTGATTGCGCTAATATTCTAGTGTCTCTGTAATGATAAGGCGCTGTAACTTCTATTTCTATAGTTTCTGAATTTGATGATGTAATCTGAAAGCTTCTAATAGAATAGTTCTTAATGTGGGAAATAAAGAATCCATCTGGAGCTACTGCAGCGAAAGCAAACGCTCTTTCACTATAAAATCAATGAAATTTGGCCTTGGCTCCTGTTTCATGAGCCAATTAATCTCGGGTTTGCCATTTTGTTAAGATGAAACGGTGCTTGAAGGGTCACCGATAGAATGATGCAAAGTGAGACCCCGCTTTTGCTTCTGCATTCATTTGCAAACAATAGTTTTGTCAAGAAAGTAATATGATAAGTAGTTCATTAGCAAAGAACTAGTAGGATAAGATAATGTTGTGATCAGTCAGGATGCAGAATGTAACAAAACCGGAAAGAATGAATACATTTATCATGAACTGTTGGGAAAAATAAGGAAAACAACAGAAGCGCTGGAATGTCAAAGAGTGTTACAAAAAGAGATGGAAATAAAAAGGTGGATGGTATGGTTTTGTGTAAAAACAAAACAGAAAAAACATGATGTGCAAGGCCTGTCAGCCTAAACGACATGGTCCAAAACTAGTATTTCGCATAATCTTTGGCACAGTTCAGTATTATTCGCATAGTCTGTTATAAAATCGAAAAACAATGTTATTGTATTTTATTGAAGAAATTGCTAAAGACTAATAACTTGAACAAAACTGCACTTCCCATTGAATGATTTGATGCAAAGTAAACCAGTGGAAGTTATTTAAGTACATTTATTAAAATTTAGTAAACATATCATAAAGAGATTTTCTGTCAAATATCTTTAACACTTTTAGGGAGTGAAGATTTGTTACCATAAGATCCAGCAGCTGTGGATTTCGAATCTTTGTTATGAGAAATAAAACACAGCCCCTGAGAGATCTGCATCTATATTTGGAATTAAGTGGTAGAATTTTGAGAAAATGAGCGATATCTTTTGTTGATATTAAGTTGAAGGGATGTTTGCATGTGGTACAGTTAGCTTTGAAAGGACGTTTTCCATGGATTTTGATCTCACACAGTATAGTCAGGCATAGTGATTACAGCGTTGTTCTAGGTGCAACTATTGCTCCAACTCCAACCTCCACCCTCACTGTTTTCCTCATGGAGCGTTTTTGACATGTTTTAACGAATTGGCTGCATACCATTGTAAAATCTTTTGAAAAAACAGATACCGGTACTATCGATAGAAGAGTATAAATACACTAAGATACAGAAACTAAGCTAAATACACTGAGTTGTCATTTTTTAGAAAAAGAGCAGGAGAAATATGGTCCACCATGCAGCCACGAAGACCTGAAATTTGAAGATGCACTTACAATGCCTTTTTAAGAAACAAAAACTGTTCTACAAGGGCTGTACCAAATTGAGAGCTAGGGAGAATGTCCTCGAATTTCCCAGAAAAATAGCTTGTTTTTATGGAAAACCAAAATCTCTCGAGCGTATGATCTCTACAATTTGAAGTTCTACTCGATGGTCACCGATCTAACCACTTCAAGAGCATTTCAATTCGGGTTTACATGTAGCAATGAATAGGAGTGCCGTCCTAAAAGTTAGGAAAGGGGGCTGTGCTGCAGGAAATGTCTTAAAACCGCACCCAAGACCACACCCACGGCCACACCTTGAATTCTTACATTTCTGTTCAAGATTATCTGTTTTGTGCCTGAAAACAGTTAAACAAATCATCGACTTTTAAAGGTAAATAAAAATTGTTCTTGCGTGGAGAATCAGCAGCACAATAAAGGGTTAATTTGCCCAACAAAACATCTACTGGCTTTTGAGGGGGAGGGAGGCTGAGTACTCCTAGAACCTCTCTAAATTTTTACAAGAGGGTTTACACCAACACTAGATGCTAGCAGGTTGCGCTCTTGTGTTTCAACTTGAATCAGTTTCAGACTGCGTCATACAGATTTTGCAAGTTTGTAACCTTTATGGAAAGGCGAGGGCTTTAGATCAATGCTTCTTGTAGTTTTATCAAAATAGAGCTAGGTTTTCTGTTTTTGTGACTGCAGCTAGCAACTTTTTGCTTAATTTTTTTGTTCTCTCCTTTTGACTACTGGGTACCAGAGCCACAGAAATTCGCGTAAATAGAATGCCATACAGAGAAGCGGAGGAGCGTCTAGCTGAGAAGAAGGAAAAGACGCTTCTCCGCTTTTACAATCCTACCTTCTATTTCCGCTCTCGAATTTATGTGGCTCTGGTACACAGGATACCTTCTGACCTACTTAGAATAAGCCCTTTAAACTCTTACTCTTACTTTTAACTAAACAGTTGGTCATTAATTTTTTTAGGTAGAAGTTCACTGTGAACTCATTTCCTTATAGAATCCGCCCCCTGTAAATTCGCGATGAGTTTTTCCTATTTTCCGTAATACCATGTATCAACCTTCATTAATTGTCGAAAATTACGCCATATCTATGTCTTTCTTTGCTACAACGATTCTAGTTCTGGTCGTGTAACAGTCACGGCAAAAAATTTCAGTGTAAAAATGTGGAATCGAGGCGTGTTTTATGCGTAGAGCCAGAAACGCAAGCGGAAAATCCTTGAAATTGAAAGTTTGAAATGCTAAATATTTTTAGGCCTGTATCTAGTTTTTTTCGTGTACTTTTTATTTGTTGTTGTGTATTGTTGATAATAAGCATATGAAATTTGTAAGTTATTGAATATCATGCTTTGGTAGATAACACCAAAATTGCTAATAGGATAAAAAACCAAGGGTAACAAACCATTGTTTCATTGCATCTCCGTGATTCTTTTTGGCCAGAGTTTCTTCCGACGTTTCTACAGAAGGAAATTTGGTATAAAATCATGCAAAAGGTTGAATTTATAGTTGTACTTAGTTTCAGAGCTTCATTTGTAAGGCAATGCAATCCAGGGAAGGCAAAGTCCCTGGAAGCGGAGACAAGGGGGCTTCAAATCCTAAATACATGCATCATCCGTCGCTATTATTTGGCAGCATGATGAAAACAAATGGGCCCAATGGCTATGTACGGAGAAGATGTCTGGTACGTAATATGAGCTCAGTAAAGAGCGGTAGCAAGAAGGATTGGGCTTTTCTATGAAGATGTTTATGAAGAAAAATTATCAGAATACAGGGTCTCGGTGAGAAATTACTCTCTTTGAGATTGTCATTGAGGGTGCCGGGGCGGCGCCAAGAAATTCAAAGTGAGGGGGGAGGTTCGAATTGATAGCATTATTAGACTAAAGAACCATCTTTGAAAAATGCACTAAAATGTTTCGCGATATTTTATGCCTATTTTTTTATGACCACAAAGCCATGGAATTTCTTTGAAAGAACAACATCAGTATCCTCTTGACTTCTAAGGCGCACAATAAAACCTTTCCACGGGCCGTATTTAATACACATGATCTTATCGTCGTCACAGCCATCAAGAGAACCACTTGATGTGCATGTTTTCTTTGTTTGACATAAGAGGCTCAAGAGGGGGTCTTAATAGAGAGGGGGGCTTATTAAAAATTTTAGCATGGTAATAGGGCTTGATGGAGAGGGGGCTTAATCGAGTGGGGGGGGGGACTTATTAGAGCTTTTACGGCATGCCGATTTACAGCTATTTGCAATGATCCATGATCATTTGAGCCAATTCATGATGACCTTCGCAGATTAAAGGCAATCTGTCACGATGTTGACTGCTTCGGATAATCCGGTTAACCTCGTGTCATACACGTCGAGGAGATTTTTGGATTGCATCAATGAATCACGGGTCGCCTAGGTTTTGGGAACGCTCTCCTAAAAATATGACATCTAGCAAAACATGGTACCGGATTCTTCATGGAGATTTTTTCAGCGGTATCAAAGAGCTTTGTCAGTAATTGAAAATTTTATCGAATAGAAAACCTTAATTCCCACAATAGGCTTTTCTTCCATTGTACGGGTGCACAATAACTAGATTGTGTGCTACAGCTTCCTTTGAAACTGTGCCAACTTCTCTTTTGGCACGGCCAAAATACTTACTTACTTACTTACTTACTTACTTACTTACTTACTTACTTACTTACTTACTTACTTACTTACTTACTTACTTACTTACTTACTTACTTACTTACTTACTTACTTACTTACTTACTTATTTACTTACTCACTTACTTACTAAACGAAAGAATTGTTGATAGTAATAATGAGGACATTTTGACTCTTTCGATGAAAAAGAGTGTTCTTCAAACATATCGGAAAAATTAGACAGGGAAGGGGTTGGTTATTTCCGACCTCAGAGTACAAGCATGAAAAAAGCAAAGATATTTTATGCTACATGGCCCCTTGTAAACCAGCATTGCTGAATGGGCTACCGTGCTTAAATTATTGAAAATGAAATGAAATGAAATGCAAGGAAAATTTACGTACCTTGTGGATTTTCCTTGATGTCAGTAAATGGCTCAATCTTGTCTTCTTTGTATTCAGTTGCCTCAAACTTTTGATTACGGACTTTCTGTTTGCATTTTTGATCCTTTGTCACGTAATTTGGTCGATTTTTGTAGCTACAGAAGTTCCACTCTGGGTATCTTGACTTAAGTGCTTGGAATTGAAGTTTGTACATTTTTCTTGGGATGAATGAAATATACTTAACAATTTGCCGTGAAAAACAATGGAATTTCTGTCTCTAGAATCATATGATAGCTTTTTTAACTTTACCAACGCAATAAAACCTTTCCATAAACTAACTTAGATAGCTTGTTCAACTATAGCTTCGGAAAAGACTGTTACTGTAGTTGCTCGATTATAAGCCCCCCTTGTTTATAAGCCCCCTTGTTTATAAGCCCCCCTTGTTTACAAGGCACTTTCGATAATAAGTCGCATTAAATAGGGTTCTAAAAAAATGTTAGCTGTCCTCGATTAAAAGCCGCACCCACAACATCATGCAGAGATACTTGGTTTGAAAAGACGGATGCAAATACTGATAGAAACTTGATTGTGTATTTAAACCAAATAACAGACGTTGGAACTCAGAAGTTCAACCAACAGCAATATGCCTAGAAGTATCTCTTCCTAATCTTCCGCATTATCACCCTTAGCTTCAGGTAGCCGGAAAGCTTTGCAGGACCTGGATAAAATGTTAGCCGCCTTGATTATCAACCGCAACAAAATGTGCCAAAAAATATCAATAACCGCATCTTATAACGGAATAAATACGGTACTTCAATGCAGAATTTTCGTAGTCAAGTTGCTTTGCTATCTGTTAAGATTATTCATTTAGTTCGATGGTACAATTTTGTTTCGCCAGAGTTTCTTCGTTTACCTTAGAAATTTTTAACAAGAGGGGCTACGCTTTCGATATATCTTGAATCATACTTAAGAGAAATAAAAAACATTAGATTGATTAAGTTAGCTAAATGGCTAGTTCTGAGGGTTGGCATAATGTTGTTGCTCAACAACAATCTTTGGAAAAGTTGCTGTCGCTGCGCAGGAGACTAGATTTGTCTGAAAACCATGTGGTCTGATTTGCCACAGGTAGTCTATATGAAAAGTTAATAAAACCTTTATTCTGGCGTTTTACATGAAGTATTGGTTTAGTTGAAGTTTTGGCCTAAACTGATTTCAGAAGGTGTCAACAGCCCAGGTTACAAACAGTCTCTGTACTAAGGTAAGCCTCTTTTTTGCATGATAAAAAATAATTTCTACTTCAGTTAACTTAGTTATACACATTTTCATGGTCGATCAGTGTATTTGTTTGTTATGTTAAATTCCAGGCATGTAGACATGATTGTTGTTGTACAACAACATCATGCTGGAAGGGTCATAATGGTGTACCGTTTATAGACATATTTTGATTTGTATCCAGCATACATATCGAGGTATTTTCTGAAGTCTTGTGGGAAATGGTTGTTCACGCAGCATAAAGGGAGGTAGGGGGGGTCTGGCTAATTGTTTGGGGGGTTCTGGGGGTAAGGGGGCTAGGGAGCCAGAGAGATTATTTTTAAATTTTTTGAACGGATATAATATCTTAGATAAGTTCAAGTTGTTTCAAATAAATCAGGAAAGATTGATTGAATTGTTTTATTTTCATCCCAGATAAACAAGGCTCAATTTGCAAGATGGCAAAGAGCATACCAACCACTTCGTTTTATGGAAGCAGGAGAACAACAATTCGAATAACGAATCATGGGGTTGAGGAAAAAGAAGCAAATTTGGGAATTATTGTCCCTGATGCTTTTAACAGTGATATAGAAGATGAAGAGAGTGATGAAAATGAGAACAATGATGTCATTATCAGAGGAGACATGAATATCAGTAATGATGATGATGGTGAAGACAGTGATGATTGTGATGATTATCATTATGATGATAATGAACATGGAGAGAACAATGTTTTCAGCTTCCCAGAGAACCCAGTTCCTGATAATGTAGTCAATACCACACCAGAAGGCACATCAGTTACCAGAAAATCAGCTACAAAAAGCAAAGCAACCATGAAAATCCCAATGCCAAGATGGCGCAAGAGGGAAGCTGCCGTGGTTAACAGTGTGTTCTGTGGAGAACCTCTACCAAGTCCACCCAATGAAGTTTTGACACCAATAGAATACTTCAAAAACTTTTTTGATGATCAGCTGATAGGTCACATATCTGAGCAGACAAACCTGTACTCTGTGCAAAAAAATGGATCGTCAGTTGCTACAACAGCTGATGAGATAGAGCAATATATTGGTATACTTCTGCTTATGGGTATTTACAAAATCCCTCAGTATAGAATGTACTGGTCAAGAGAACTGAACATTTCCAGCATTTCAGAAACAATGCCTGTAAACCGCTTTGACAAAATCAAAAGCTTTTTTCATTGCAATGACAACTCAAAAAATGTGCAGAGAAGTCACCCAGAGTTTGACAAACTCTTCAAAGTAAGGCCAGTGATAGATTCTGTTCAAAATAAATGTAGGAAGGTTCCACAAGAGGAAAAGCACTCTATTGATGAACAGATCATTCCTACAAAGGGCAGGTCTCCAATAAGGCAGTATATTCCCAACAAGCCACATAAATGGGGAATAAAGGTTTGGGCACGCTGTGGAGTCAGTGGCATTGTTTATGATTTTGATGTTTACACTGGTGCTTCTCCAAAGGGGAATCTAGATGAGTCATTGCAAAATTTTGGCGTTGGTGGTAATGTGGTGGCTCGCCTATCATCAACGATGCAAAGAAATGTTGGCTACAAGCTTTATTTTGATAATTACTTCTCTTCCGTCGCACTGATGCAGTATCTTCAAAAGGAAAGGATCTGGGCTGTAGCAACAATACGGGCAGACAGACTGAAAGGTGCAGAGAAAGTCCTAGAAGACAAAAAAAGCTTGAGCAAGAAGGGAAGAGGGTCCAGTGACTGGTGTGTTGATGCCAACAGTAATGTTGTGATTGTTCGTTGGATGGACAATGGAGTTGTTCAATTAATTTCAAATTACATTGGCAAAGATGATGGTTCTAAGGCTCAAAGGTGGTCAGCTAGAGAAAAGAAGTTTATAACTATATCTCGACCTCTGATGGTTGAAGAGTATAACTTGCACATGGGGGGAGTAGATTTATGTGACATGCTGATGGCTCTCTACCGGATAAGACTTCGCTCTAACAAATACTACATGCATATCATTTATTATTGTATTGGCGTGTCAGTCATCAATGGATGGCTTCTCTATAGAAGGCACTGCATGCAGCTAGGAATTCCAAGTAAAGATGAATTGACATTGATTCAATTTCAGTCCATGGTTGCAAATGCCTTGACACTTGCTGGGAAGAGCACACAGCCAAGAAGAGGACGGCCATCGATTACCCCCCCTCCAAAGAAGAAAACAAAATGTCATGCTGTAGCAACACCCATCAATGATGTTCGCTTTGATAATGTTGGGCATATCCCAGATTTTGAGGAGAAGCAACAGAGATGTCGTTACTGTCCTAAGGGGTACTTTGCAGTCAAATGTGTGAAATGTAAAGTTCATCTCTGCTTTGTACGAGGGAGAAACTGCTTCAAGAATTTCCATTCAAAGTGAAGATTAGGACCATTTGCTAGGCATTAACTGCAGTATGATAGGTTCAAGATTGTCAGTTCATTTAAGAGTTTTAAAGTTCATGTTGAGTTATTATAAAATATATGAACAGTATATACCTTCTGTTATCACTTGTACCACAACGGAATCAATATGTATGTAGAACAGCCCAGGGGGAGAAAGTGCTAATTATCAAAAGGCCAATCCTCTTTCCAAAAGCCCTATCTGAATTGAAAATTCAAATAATTGGCTATCTGTCTTAATAAAGTGTGTGGAAATATACAGAAAACCACATTTTTAGATATTTTGATATTTCATTATCAGCAACAACTTTATACCATTGCTGCATAATGTTGTTGTGGGACAACAATCTGACATGACATCATCTTCTAATAATAATGTCAAAATTGGTCTGAAAATAGTTCTCCACATCAAAATAAAACATTCTAGTGCAAAAAATTTTTTTTTTTTGGATTTAAAAAAATTAATGCAGGAAAGGGTTAGTTGTTAAACTCAATGAAAAGCTGTGATTTTGGTTGGATCCGCTTTGTTGTGTTGTAATTTCACTACATTTCAATATTCTTTACATTTCAAGTTATTAAAGTTTCTAAATTTTTGCATCATATATCATAGATTTGAAACTTAATGATAGTTAGGTGTAGTGGGTTGAAGTAAACTCAATGACAAAAATTATGCAATCCTTTTTGTACGATTCACAGATATTATTTCACCATTGCAACATTTGACATTAAAATGTATATTTCTAGAACTTTTGAATTTTGACCAGATAATTTTAAAGATAATGGTTAAACTGCTCTAGTTATTGTTAAATTACTAAGAAAGGGAATTTGCAAATGGGTAATTGTTGTTTGTCCTGGTTTATAGCTGTAAAGATTCAAGAACATACTGCAATGATTTGATGGCAAAAAATCGGTGCTCAAGTGGCAATATAAGTGAATAATATTGCACATTTGAAGATATTTGATGGCATCATCCAGGTTATATGGTCAGAACTCCAAAAATTATGAAAATTGGCTTTTATGACGTAAATTAATTTCTCTTCCTACCTGTATGCTGCTTTTTGTGCAATGGGCAGCATTGTCCATTGTTTCCCTAGTATTTTGCTTATTGTACGATTGTCCAAGTCTGGATATGCCCTAGAATGTACAGATGAATGTCTCGCTAGAATAGAGTTCTAAAGTGTGACGTCATCAAAAACCTATTTTTAGAATTTTTGAATTTTAACCACATAGCGTAAAAGATCGCCATGAATTACTTTCAAATACGCAAAATTGGCCAAATATGTCTAAAATCGGTTGAGATATGGCTAATGAAAGATTTGAAGTTTGCTAACGAACCACTGTTATTTGGCTCTGTTCATAAAGTTATGAACAGAGACCAAAATACAGAGGTTTCATGGAGAATGAGCCAATACATATGTGGCCATATCTTTGCCATTTCATAATACACTTGACAGATTTTGCACATTTAGAGGTATTTCATGATGCTCTTTTAGGTTATGGGATCCAAATTGAAACATTCTAAAAAATAGATTTTTGTGACGTCATCGCTGTAGAACTCTATAGAATATTGCTTTGAATCTCTCTAAGTAGCAAGCGAATAACCACCACTCAAAACAATACCAATGAAAGCATAAACGGAAGCTACTGTCATGTTTTAACTCAGAGACGGTACATTCAACAATGAGTTCAATTGCTAATGATGGTTTATGATTTGTATCAAGATTTTATCAATACATTAACACTCGTAAGTCGTAAAAGAAACTTACAGCGAAATTGTAGACCTATAGTCTTTGCTAAATAGAATGAATGGATTCATTGGCCTTTTTAAATAGGCAATTTCGTCAGCTGCATTGGTGACTGTGCCTCCATTTGTTGCTGTTAAATTAAACCCATCTGAAGAAGGGTATTTTTGAGGCAATTCTTTATTGCATTTGTTGCAATAATCATTGCAATAACCGCAGGATTTCTTTTCATTGTGAGTAATTAGTTTCTGCTGCAAGCCGTAAGTCTTATTATTCGGACGCGAATCCATGTTTCCTTGAAGTACTTGCGAAAATCTGTGATTATGCCCAGATTTAGCTATGCTTGTATCGATGCATGAAAATGTTTGGGTACTTATGCTGTAGTCGCTTTTGCCCTCCCTTTGAAGCTCGATTTGGTTGACGGCACTTGTTGTTTGACACTTCGGCAAAGAATTAGTATTTTCAGCAGAAATTTCGCTTCGAGAAGATGGGCCAGTTAGCGTGTTTACCGACTCACTAAGCGAAGATTTCCTTGCAAGACTTTCTTCGAGGCTGTCCTCCGCCAAAGAGTCTGAAAAAAGCATATGCAGATCAAAAGGGTTTGGTGAATGAAAGCTAACCAATTTTTACGGTTAATGAACAAGCAAATACTACCAAAGCCTGACAATATGTTACTTGAGGAATGTTGACAAGACTTTTTTTTTCTTGACTATTTCAAGGGAATTTTCTTGAAGTATAATGGTAAGATTCATTCCTCAAGTAGATTTAATGATATTTTTAGTCTACTTGATGGCAACGACGGGGATAAAATCTTAATTTTTTCATAGAAGATATGTTGGCGCCAAAATATGTTGGCAACAAGGAAGCTTGCTTCTGTGCCATAATGGCATAGTTGCCTCTTTACGAATCAAAATTTTGGAAATATCATGTATGGTCAGGCGCGTCAGAGCCGGGGGGAGGGGGGCTGAGGAGGGGCTATTTCCCCTAACTTGTTTGTTGATCTTTGATACCCAGGTAGAGGCATCAAATATGATGGGGGACCATGAAAGTATGCCATTTTGTTTTGGAGCGGAGAAATTATTCAACATGCCTCACGCTGTTGTTTTTGCTGATTGCTTTTCTCGACTCAAAAATAAGATTACATTGGTCGGTATACCGGGAAAATTCGTAAACTTTTATAATTTCACCGCAAAGAAACCTTATTTTGAATTACACGTGCGATTAACTGATAAGTTAAAACCAAAATATATTTTAGGATGTACTGTGGATTCGTGAAAGCTTCTAAACTGCGAAGTAGATACATGATAGTTCAGATATGCCTTCGCAGTAGTTCGAATGCCTTACGGATTTAAAAGAATGTCTTGGGAAAGTCGATATCTTAATGAACGATCGTCAAAAATGTTTACCATGCCGCACCCTGAATCTTCATAGATTTTTTTAAAAAAAGAGAAAAATTTTGGTAAGTCGTCGCCTACAATGACGGAAAATTCGTAAACGCTTTGAAATGTTCTTTTTAAATTGTTTATATTTTCTCCCTTGCTCAATAAGCATAGCATAGAACATCTTAAGCTTGACGGTGTAGCAATTTTCAGATGAAATGAAAACAGCCCGATATTCTAAAGGATTCAAAAATCTGATTAAAACTTGGTCCATGAAAACAAATGTACGTGTTATATTTACACTAAATCAACTGCAATAATTACAACTAACATTAAATAAAATCATATAATACAATTAAGTCGCTATGACGATGGTTTCATTTATGACATCACCAAAACACGCAGTCGTCAGCAAAAGAAATTATTTGATGCGTCAATGAAATGCTCTCAAAAAATGTAATTGATAAAAGGATCAAATGAAATGCATGAAATGAAAATGGCAATAGGCAAAAGGCACTGATTGATCAACCTCAACAGTCATGTGCTCGTGTTTCTGATTGGCCTATTTCGATCCACAACTGGGTATATATATTTCCTAGCGTAGAGTTTTCGATCTATGTTCTGATGTTTTAAACTCTGAAAAGTGTCAGACGAAAAGCTTTAGTTTACTAAATGTTTGCTTTTTTCAAAGCCATTTTCAAGTTTTGTACCACCAAAAGATTATATGAAATGAAAAATGAAATAAAAAATAAAACTAGATAAATGTGAAGTCTCCTTGACAGTGTAAAACGGCAACCTATGGTTAGGTACAATACACCCTCGCCTACACGCAAAATGCGTGGACCAGTGGTTGCAACAGGCATATCCCAGCACCTCGGAGAAAGGCTATAGCCCCCCACCCCCTCCCCGCAAAGAATTTATCAATAAATTACTAGTCAAGCCACTTTATTTGGTTTACCCCCCCCCCCTCCACTTTTTTAGCCTCCCCCACTTTTCTTAACCCTTCGCAGTGCCTGATGTCATTTACCCAATGATATGCACAGCTCTGTTTACACGGCAATGCATACCACTTAACGAAATGATCTTCAGTGATCTCAATTTAAAGAGTTGAACGATTTGCTGTGATTAACCATAAAACAACTCACAGGTTCCTGTGCGATTGAAACTACTTTGAGCGTTTGAGGCAATTGACCCCTGTGTAGAACAAAGAGACAGCTTGTGCTTCATGATTTTGATATCTTCTTCCAAGGTTTCTATGTACTCTGCAGCTTTTTGAAGGATGGTCTGTCTTAAAGGCCGAGAGGCTTTGCAAACTTCGTAAGGAAGAATTTGAATCAATGTCTTGAGCTTTTCTTGTATTGCTCGTTCACGTATCCTTCAAATGACAAAAATCATTCAATAACTTATTATACTCTGTGTTAGAATTCGACAAATGCTTAGATGCCTTATAGCAATGCTGAAATATGTTCATGCCTCTAGGGGGGCATGAGCCGGTATTTTGCACTGGCTGCTCAAGTGTATAAACTATTGTTTGAATAAATACTTCACTGTCCTTCTACTTCATATGGAAATCAAAAGTCCGTTCAATTCCTTTCTACTTTAGAAAATATTCGGCATCAGCATTTGAAATATTACTCTTCGTTGAAAATAAGCATTGGAATTACCTTTTTCATCTTACAATGATTCTCAATCGTCAGATTAATTAAAAGAAATCAAAAGATTGGAGGGATGTTACACCCCCTACAACCCTCCTCCCCATATTCACATGCTTGGTCAAAAATGTATTATTTGAAATAAATTTGGTCCAATCCTTAATAAGACAATAATGAAACAATGGCTTTTCAGTGCAGCTCCAAATCACATAATCGTGGTTCAAAGACTTGTCTAACTTTGAAGTACAATTTTGCCGTACTAACCTGTCTGTTGATCTTTGTACCTTTCCTAGTCTCTTGATTTTCTTTGCTGTCTCTGTTCTGCTTCTTCCCTTCTGAAAAACTGACCATTTTAAGATTTCTCCTGTTTTCCGTGCTTGATATATCTTTGGATTGCAGCTCATGCTATTATTTCCTTGTTCCAGTTGTGGGGCAACTTGAAAGAAAATGGAAGCATAACTAACTCATGTTTGCTAGATTGGTAAGGCAACCATTCCAATATGAAAGTCTGTTTACTTTTGCCTAGCAAAGCGCCTTTCTAATTCCAACAAAAGCTTTTTTTTAGAAATGCTAAATCTTGGAGTTGAAATAGTCCAGACCATGAATAGTAAAACAAATGCAGGATATATATGATTGGCTATGTGACAAATTAATCTTGAGGCTTGCTTGCTCTTACTGTAAAATTAAAGCTCTGTAAAGCTCTTCAAGTCTGGTCATTTGTCTCAAAATCTTTGTCTAGGATTTTGGAGAAAAAAAACTATCAAGATACAAATTCCATCTAAGCCAATTCATACCAACCTGCAATTGCATATGGGTTCACGTATTTGAAGACGGCTGGTGACTCGCAAGATACTGAAGAAGCGTTGGACGACGCAAATGTCATATCAAATGGAATCGGTTGTATCTGTGTGTTTGTGTGATCAACGTAAGGATGCGGCAGTGCTGATTTGCACGTAGCCATTGAGGCTTGCATTTGCTGATGCAATTGGTTCAAAGAGCATGGTGTTTTCTGCAATTGTGCGAAATCATGCAACTTTTACAAAGTTAGTACTAAAGGATATGAGAGTAAAGCAATTTCTTGCCAAGAGTTGATTAAGATTTTTAAATTACTAAAACCAATCTAGGGTATAATCATCAAGATAAATAAATTCATCTAAGTTCGAAAGGACACCATTGAACCGAAAGGAAGACTGCACCAAGTCATCGTGAGCAGTTAATTATTTTTTAGATATGAGAATTTCACGCTTTTAAGCTTCATTTAAATGTTGTTAATTGATAAAAAGAGTACCTATGATAAATTAGTTAGTAAGCTAAAATAATGTATAATTTCATGCTATTGCAACATTTTGAGATAAGAAATTTTAGGATTAAGGCTTTCAAAATCCGCAAAAAGCTAGTTTACCTGAAGACTACTCATATCATTAGTAGTTGCTCCTTGGGTGCAAGGAAGAATCGGCAGAAGTAGATTTGGAAATGTTCCTGGTTGATGTATAAGGTTTCCTTTTCGGGCTGTCGAATCTTTTTTTATGGTTTCCAAATGAGCTGAGTTGGAAGATAAAAACTTAGCTGATAAAAAGAAAGGAAGTTTTTGCAAGAGCTGGTTCATGTTCCACTCTGCATTCAGAAATTAAAACAGATTGTCTAGTTTGAAACTATAATCGTACCACTAGAAAAATGTCAACGAGGCATTTCGTTGTTCAAAATCATGAACAACGTTGTTCAAATGTTGTAGAGCCATTTCGTTGTTCAAATCATGAAAATTTAATAGATTATATCATTTTACAGCTTCATAGGAGACCTGTTATGAACTGTAATTGATATTTATGTATCACCAAAAAGGTCTCTTAGGCATATCCAAAATATTTTGTTCTACCTCTTTGGTAGTGATTTTCAGTGCAGCTCAGTTCGGTTTCCATCTCACGTTTTACTGTATTTTGAAATCCTTTGTCTTTAACCATGTTCCACTCCAAACTAGCACTGACCCCATTGAAGCAGCCCATCGGTACAGAAACGTCGCTGGGGAGTTTGTAGCTGTAATGACAGACATTTGATTGCAGCCTCCTTATGCACCTGTTTCGTTCATGTGACAACTGAAACAAAAAAAATTTAATCAAAGTGTCAGACATTTGTTTTATTCAACATTCATTCTCGTGATTCATCTTCCAGATTACAAAGATAGCATGTTCCAGACTTTCTTCGATGATGAAGTAGGTAGAAGTTAGAAACCCGGGAAGACGTGTGTCTCCTCAACACTTCTCTTAACTTTATCCATGTCCCTTTTTATGGATATATGTCGTCAGTGTACAGTATTAGCTATGTTCATTAAAGTTATTCTTCTCTAAAGAGCATTTTTAATATTTGATTCCAATGGGTCGAAATCTTCACCCATTTTACGATATTCACACTTTAGGACTAAAGAAGTACTGTAAACAAAAGATTATTTGACCAGTCAACTTTTTAGCTTCTTTATTTTGTGGTTGGAATCTAGAAACACGAAACTGTGAAAGGAAAACAGTTCTGGGTCGAAATAGACCAATCAAAAACGCGATTTTGGTCCTTGACCCGACAAAAAGTTTTAGTTATGTTGTAAAATGTTTGTTTTTTTCAAAGCCATTTTAGAACTGAAGGTATTTGCACAGCATGCAGTATCGAAAAATGGTCTCCATTTGATAGAACACAAGGTTATTTTTGATTGAAATTTTAAAGTTGTCCTTAAGCAGATTGTCAAAATTTGACGAAATAATCAACTGAATGTTGAAATTATGTTTTTTAGAAAATGCTGTCGTAAGAGATCAAATTAAAATTGGCTTGAACAAGAGAGAAATGTCATTTGAAGGCATTTGGAAAACAAGCTAACAGAGAAGCTCGTGATCAGAGATGCGATTGATTTAAGTCTATTCTGTTGTAAAATCTTCCTCATCTCTAGCTTAGATTACTAATCTGAACATTTGAATTGGACGCAAACTTGAGCAGGTTTAAAGGTGGACGCTTTCTATGCCTGTTTACAGGTTGGGCGCTAATTATTGTGGTCAAGAGGGGACACAGATCCTTAATGCTACGGAGTAGTTGAATCGACAATTTTTGCCAACAGTTTTAAAAAATTCGCCGACAAATGAACCCTATACGGCTAAAAGCTCCTGATTCTAAATTTATTTCAAAGGGGGTATCGCACCCTCGTGCCCCCATAGCTAGGGCCCTGTCTGTTTGGTTCAAAAATTTGTACAATACATTACTTTATACGTATTGAAAACCGCCCGTTAAAGAAATTCACATGTGCATTTACAATATCAGGAAACACACATTTCAGCTCACAAACACATTAGACCTTTAAAACTAATATTACCTGATCTGGTGCAATCTTTTTTCAGTGGTTATTTGATGCTCATGTTTTTCTACAAAATCCACGATAATCAAATCCAATCCAAAAACACTTTAATGGGAAATTTTTAAAATGTGATGAAGCACAATGATTGTAGGGCACCATGACCTGTGATGAAGCACAATGATTGTAGGGCACCTTGACCTGTGATGAAGCACAATGATTGTAGGGCACCATTTTCATAATTTCTGGCAGACCCTGCTCACAACAATTTAACCCGGATTGACAGTTGATTAGAAGAATTCTGCCAACTTTAATGCCGATAACCAATGACAGGTCTTTTTTTTGAAGGGTACTTAACAGCATGATTCTGAAAAGTGGGAAGGGTACGTGATCCACTTCTACCTTCTGATCTCGGAATAGAGATCAAAGTAACTTAAAATTTTTAAAAACTGATGAAAGAGATCATTAAAGAGGGGTATAAAAAAGATAAATTTAAAAATACCCTGGACTTTGTCGCTCGTCTTTTCATGAATATCTGACTTGGATTTACAGCCTTATTAGGTGACCACTGCTGACTTTGAAACCACGAATTATCCACAGGTCTTGTGTCTGCTAATGCAAGGGATGGAAGCTTGATTGCATCTTCGTGGCACCTCGAAGTTAGCTGGAATGATTATACAAAGTTATCTATCTATTCAAGATTTGTTTTCATTGCAAAGCAAAGTTCAACCTAGCCCATTAAGGCAGTTAAGCTTGTTGTGCCGTGACATCAGTTTGTACCATTGGTAATGACCAATAAAGGTGTTTGCATCAATTTGTGTACAGAAATATAGCAATTACAAGAAAATGCTCTGGAGTGCTTCTACCATTGTTTTACTGTGCATTATATTGCTTACAATACATTCCGTTACTTTATGTGATGTGATGTGATGTGATGTTATGTTAAATTGCATTTTGTTATGTTATATTTTGTTATGTTATACTTTGCTATGTTATCCTTTTCTATGCTTTGTTATCTTATGTTATGCTATGTTTGTTTATGTTATGCTGCACTGCTTTCATCATATTTTGTTACGTTACGTTGCAACATTTTACATTATGGTATGTTATCTTTTGTTATGATACTTTTTTGTGTTTGGTGATGTAATGTTATGCTATATAAAGCTTCCTTTGCAGCATGATAGCTCAGGCCTGTGATCATATGAAGATATAAAACGAACCATTGGAGGAAATGCTTCGTGAAATGCCACCAACGGTTTTTCCCATTCAGGGACAGTGAACATGGATGTTTCGCAAATAAAGCTTGAATCTGTGGATAAAAATAAAACAAATTACTCAGCGACATTGAAAAATCCACAATAAAAAACTAAACGGGCAAAATTTGTAGTAAAAATATTTTTTCATGTATGATGTATTTCCAGCCTAAAGGTTTCGGAACAAAGGAAGATTTTTAAGGTTGGCTTTTGATTGAAAATTCCGTTTTCTTTATCTTCTCTTTACGTTCTCATTGCAACGACTTGCTATCAAGGGAAAGAATTGATATGCAATTAAAAAGGTAGCTTTTTAATTATTGATTGTAATTCAATAATCACTGATTGATAACTTAATTTCAAAATCATTATGAAGGTTGCGATTTTTTATTTACTTTTAAGCTTAAAATCGCGTTCAACTAAAACGATATCGTAACACATTCACGCATAATTCATTTTAAAGAAGAACCATTTCTTTGGTTTTCACCACGATGCTAGGACATCTTTGCAAAAATGAGTTGCAAAGTTTCCCAATCGTTCCCTCAATCAAAAAGAACAAATTTATCACCCGATTTTTTATATATTTGATAAAAAACAACTTATCTGTCTGTGTACATAAAAACATTAATATTTTTAAAATTTGATTCTTGAAAAAAATATATTTTCTTAATTATTGACAATTTTTGTGTTAGCAATCAATAACACTGGTTTACGAAAAGTTGCATACAAACTTTTGTGACAATTAGCGGTTAATAAAATTAGACAAGACATTGGTTTATCAATTTTTCATTCAAATACCTTTCAAACTGTTATAAAACCTTTCTTTTAGTTGCAATGAATATAGATTTATTCATACAAAAACGCTGTATGAATATATATCATGAACCTACTGAAAAAGTATTGCTAAGCGATTCCCGCCATTGTTTCTCGATACATCCGCGCATCTATATTTTCCTGAAAGACTGTTATAAAATTGCGCGGGCCCCAATTTTAACTGGATTTACTTTTCTAGATTTAATTGTTTAAAAAATTTCCTAGTTAAAAGAAATAGAATTTAGTGATTCGTGTTAAGAGTATGAATTCTTCATCACTAACATCAAAATGTACAATTTCAAAATTAACATGCTGCTTTTTTGCTGAAATTCCCTCCGTCCTCATATTTTGCCATGGCAAATTTAGTTTTGCTTTATTTATCAATTAAAGTACCTATTTGAACAAAACGTTCAAAAGTGATGCTTAGAATTGGCGAAATAAAGGTGAAATGCATGAGTTGACATTGCGTAGGCCTAAGAATTGTCTATCAGGTAGTTATTGTTTATCAAACAAACGATAACTGCATTGCGAAAAATACAAAGATGTTAATTGTTTTACTTTCATGATGAAGTTTTCATTGCTTGTAATAAACACAGTAAACACAACTGGGTTCAATAACAATTTTGCATACATAGATAAAATGAAGCTTACCTTTTGCCTGAAGCATTTTGAAATGAAACTAGCTATGTTTCAAAAAACAATTTGCGACGAAACCATTTTAATGGCCATGGAAATTAAAGAAAATGATTGGCCGAATTATATCGCCAACGCGCAGGGTTTCGAAGACCAAAAAAATGGAATAGCTTTTTCGAATTTCTGAAAAATTATGATTTCTGCGATTAGAAAAATTTAAGTTGAATTTTTCCTCAGAAAGTAGCCGCCACCCTTGATATGATGAAAATACACAATCTTGATATTCTTCCCAGGATTGATTAGAGCACTGGCAATATTATGGATAGCAATAACGCAGATTATTTTTACGTGAACATTTAGGCACTGCTTTTTAATGTTTTTAATAAAGATGTGTTGCCCGCTATTGGTTAGCTCTAATTAGCGAGTAAGCTAAGCACACAACTTGAAAAGGTTCTCCCTGGTTTTCAGTTTTAACATCTTGGCAACTTTATGTATCGGAAGTTATTTCGTAAATATGTTTGTTTATTTTCGCGCGTCAACCATAGAATCAGCAAAACTTAAAAAAAATTAATTACGCAAAGATTTCTTAGGTTGGCCACGGCAAAAACGTTTTTTAACAGCAAAATCTGCAATTTCACTTAGAATACATGCAGTGTTTCCAGCTGGAACATTTTTTCCTGAATGATTTGTATGATGGTTTTGGGTGGTTATTTGTCGGTAAATGTTGAAAAGCCGCGAAAGTAAAAGAAAGTTAATGCAAGAAAACGGTAAACAGTTGACATTTTGGTTGATCTGCGATCCCTTCCCGAAGACTTAGATATATATATATATATATTCATAAGTCATTTGAGCTTGGTTATATCAAAACATTCTAAAGACTTTTAACAAACAAATATCTGTAACAAAAGTAGAAAGAACTTTCATCACTCGTGGTACAATTTACAATTCAAGCATTGACGTCATTGTCATTTTGAAAATACATTTTTGAGCACCTTCTTGTTTATGTCTTCCCTGCAAAATAGGATGATATTAATCCAAGTTCCCCATGTGCTCTTAGAATGAATCCATACATTTTCTGCAGAATAAGGTTTCATATGCTCATATGATCGGGAGTTTAACAGAAGAAAGGGATATATTGCCTAACAGCATTGCTCTGTGAGATACCCCCCGTCAAAGATGTTGGATTCAGTTCGATTACTGATGCAGATGTTCGTTTTTCACCTGATTTATTGCAATGCTGAATTTACTTGTAACACTACAAAGTCTTCGGATATGATTTTTGCTTCAGCCTATCTAAGATAGCGTTTTATAAGAAAATTAGTACAAATTAATTATCTGATTGACAATCTTGACCATAAAACTTTAAGTACTGGGTCTTTTTTTATTGCAGTAATTCATGCAACTTTCTTAGCTAACATGGTTTATATTCAAATTTTTAGCCTAGTCAAGTAACTAGTCAAGGAAAATGCAAGCAAACTGTAGGAAACAGAGTGTCTGTCAACACGTGAAATCACCCAATGAGACACGTGCAAAATAAAAAAGGCTTCATTAATATAAGGACAATCGCGAAAATGCTTAGTGGATTGATGTTTTCTTTCAGGGGAACGCATGATACTGTTTAAAAATTGTTTATTTCGATATGTTATGAATTCTCCCAATCTCCCGCACCCTTATTTGTCAGCATTCTACAGAAAAGAGTAACAATTAGCAAACACCTTTAAAATCCATGTCGCTTACCTCATACTCTTACGAGTAACATGCTCTACTCATTAAGAAATTATTGATTTAGGCCATTCTTCGAACTCATCGAAATTCGGAATCACGGCGCCATTTTTCAAGAATGCTTTGCAAAGTTGACTTTCCAAAGACCTAAAGTGTTTGTCTTCTCCCAAGGCTGTAAACAGCTATCGAAATTTGGCATTCAAAATTACATTACATTTGTATTCAAATGCTGTTTTCTAGAGGAGTAATGTAGAAGAGATGCCAGATTACTCACAATGAGCATCCAATCAAGCGACGAGGGAAGTCAGAGTAGGGTGGATTTGAAGAACTGTTGCGGACAATGGGTATGACTCTCGTGGGAAATTCTTGGTGCATTGTTAGTGAAAATAAGCAGTTAACACTGAAAAGCAAAAATAACAATGAAGAAACTTTTCACACGTCAATCCGGGTACCATGCAGACACCACAGAGAAGCGGGCTTGGAGCCCACTTTTCTTAGACTCCCCAATTTTCTGAAACTCCCCACTTTTCTCAATGCTCCGCGGTGCCTATGGGTAGCAGAGGTGGGTAGTGAAGGTCAACGGGGTCTTCTCCTTCAACAATTCCGAAAATGTTCTTAAAACCATAGCTGTGTTGACAGCATGTGTTCCCCTCTTCTAGCAGATACAAACTGCATCGAAACACTCATTCTTGCGTAAATGAAACTAATCTGCAACACTTAGTACAAGACAAGACAAAAAGTGACCTGGCAAAAGTGCTGCAGGCCTCCAATCTGGTATATGTCCCGCAATCCTCGCGTCCAAGGGTGGTCCATGAGTGGCCCTAATGATCAAAGACCTAAACACACATACAGGGACGGATTTACCAGGGTTAACCCTGGGTACCAGAGCCGCAAAAATTAAAAAATAATATTAAAAAATAATGATATTTTTTAATTTTTGCGGCTCTGGTACCCAGGGTAACCAGGGGTGTGAGGGGTGCGACACCCCAGGCCCATAGATGGCTAAACTGGATTGGGGGGCATGGATAGAAATATAGCTTTTTCTATACCTGCCTTACGAAATACTGTTAGATCAAGCTGCGCTTTTAAGATCTTCGAACACAATTTTCGCAAATTACTGGGGGCTACGGGCCTGCACCCCCGCAATATTCTAGTTACATTTGGTAAATTATGCCTCGATTCGGTAAAAAAAACATTTTGGTAGTCAGTAGTAACAAAATGATGCAAAGATTACTTAATTTATCTTCTTATCATCTTTATCTTAAAGCTAAAAACTGAATTTCAAAAATTGGCTTTTCCATAATTTTCCAGTCATCCGGAGGGTTTGGCACCAAAATCGAACCATTATCTAACACTCCAACCCTTGCCGCTTAAATCCGTCACTTCATACATAGATGAAAAACGTCACAGTAACAGATTTAAATAAAAGTTCTATATCTCACCAAAGTCTATTTGACTATTCTTACCAAAGAAATTGAAATGAGTGTGACAAATTGTATGACTGATTTGAAAGCGAAGCGAAAAACGGCTTAATTACAATCAAAACTGGAATAAATACATAAATAGATTGATTAACGTTGTTAGCAAAAGTCAAAAATAAAATACAAGCAAATTGTGAATAATCGTCTTATAGTGTACAGTTCTTTGTATATTCAACACGGAATACTATTCGACTAGTAGCGGCAATCCCCACATAAACAGGCCCTAAGAATGGGTAGTGCGACCACTGGTTGACCGTCTCTTTCTCTGCGGCTCTGGTATCAAGGCTAGTGGAGAGGAAGCAAAACCAACTTTATGGGTGGTTTTTCCTTTCCTCTTTCACACGGAAAAAAGTTTCCAATCTTGAGATAAATTGCCATAAATTGCCATTTTCACCGTTTGGAGTTACCCTTTGTACTTAACAATGGGGGCAATTGACGAAGTAATTAGAACATTTTTAAAAAACGTTTTATGATTCTATTGCATAAAAAATAGACATGGTTCTATTTATGAAAGGTATAACGTTACTATAGCCAAGAATAATTCTTTTTTTCGAAATAGCCATTTACGTACCATGTCTAAGACCTATAGCAAAAGCAATTTCACTTGACGAACCGTTTGATTAATCAAATTTTAACAAGATGACAAGTAACTCCCCCCCCCTCCGTGTAAAAATATAAACTATTTTTAGATAATTCTCAATCCCAGGGTCAAATAGATAATTCTATGCTGTCATAATCTTCAAACATGACTTGAAAATAGGCTAAATGCTAATAACAAACGAAAGTCAAAGTAGAGAAAGCATAAATCTTCACCTTCCCTATCCTATTTAGGACGACGTAGATCCTAGACAATAGGTTCGCTGGCGTCTGAAACCAATCCCAGCTGACAAAAAGAGTGCATTTACATTGGGATACTAGAAGGGGGGTCAGAGCGAGCAGGGCACCAGGGGCAGATGCCCAAGACTTTTGAGAAAATGCCCCTTTTCTACCTTATTGCCCTTTCCTTCACAACCTATTTCCTTCCAACTTTGAAATCCTTTAGAAGTGCCAGGGTACTGATGGTATATCATTTTCCTTACAATATCTCGATCTGAGTCGTGGAAAGCTAAAAATACATGTGAGTATAGAGATCAAGCATAACTTAAACCAGAGAAGCGTCAACATATAATGTTAATAAGTTCAAAGAAAGAATTATCTTGTGAGACATTTGTTTCGGCTTGCGTAGTAAATATGAGGTTTTACAGCTATAACCAAAGAAGCCTTGATAGATTCCGAAGATAACGCTGGGAAAATTTAACATTATTTATAAATGTTTTCTAACACAAAGAACAAAGTATACTTTTGTGTTCAATCTAATTACAGGTGGAAAATGTATTTAAGAATACACAGGTTATGTTTACAAATTTAAAATTTAAAAGCAAGAGAATAAGATCGAAAAGCCAGGTGTCAGGAGAAGGTCTTAGGGGGTTAAAGCCCCTCGCCATAGCATGTTGGCTCCTCTTTCTGGGAAATTCTGCATTTTGGTGGAACAAAGCAATGCATGCTATATTTGGATTGAAGTGTATTAAAAACAATTTAAGCCTCCTGCAGGATCTTTGAGCGGTTTAATGAAAATTTTATTTGCTCAAAGCGGGTTTCATAAAATTTTTATTAGAATTACATCATTTATAGGCGAAGTATTATTTTCATTGCAAGTTTATGGCAGATTGATCATTTGCAGCCGCAGTACCAAAAAATTTACGCTCATTACGGTTGCAACGGCTGTGATCATTTACATGTGAACATAAACTACCATGCGATTAAAGAAAACCCAATTGATCTACAAAAGTTTACTATTATTTAGAAATCGTCATCATTGTCATCTAAATCTATGTCTTGCCGAATACTGTCAAGAAAGCTCGACTCACGTCGTTGCATTTTCTCTCTTTGTTTGTCATACAATTTCCGTTTTTCCTATCAAGAGATAAACAAATCGTAACATTAATCACTTGATATTATTAATATATACATTAATGCTGAATAGACATTATATAAAATAAATACAAATCAAGTTAACAGGAAATAATTTGAAGAAAAAGATAATAAATCTGTTTTCAAGCAGAAAAATATTAAAGTGAAAACAATCAAAACTGACCTCTTTCTCCTCCATTGCTCGCTCTTCTTGCTTAGATTTCCGTCTGAACTTTGCTGAATCGCTCCTTGATTTCGCCGACTGTACTCTTTCGCCTCTACCGATTACTTCATCCTAGTTTTAAAAGAAAGTCATAACTACAGCTAAGTCTGTATAGACTGTGCTTGTCTGGGCCAACAACATGCTCTTGAATCAGGTGACTTTAGCAAAGGCTGAGATTTAGCCATGTAGCGAGTTATGAAATGAAAATTCTTATGAAAAGAAGTCAAAACTTCTAGGCCTCTGTGATATAGGGAGCCTGGGGTTTGGCGCTTCAGTTTCAGGCTATCCCAAAATCAATTTCAATACCTCAACATCTCTTGCCTTTAAATATCACCTGATTCCCATTTCAGTTGCCTTTAGTCTAGTAAATTTTAAGGTTGCAGATTTCTAAGTATCGGTGAATAGAACAAATATTGATACGAGATATATTTGAAACAAAATGAGATGTACACATAAAGCAATTTATAGCTCATCAAGACCTGATTAACGGACTTGCTTTATTACAAGGATTGTTCCTATAAGAGAAATATACAAGTAAACGTGGACCAACCTCGGCATCACTGACCCAGGCATCCTCTCCACTTTCAACACCCCCTACACCACTGTCTGTTCCTTTTGACGATCCACTCATCTGCTCATTGTGACTAAAATAATATCATATGATTACGTAAAAGCTAACTGCTGATAATGAAAGGAACCTCTGGGTGTTGGGCTAATCTCAAGCAACTTGCCCCGCATGCGATTAAGCAACGGATATATGGGTACAGCCCATTTGCAAGAAACATTTACTTCACGCTTAAAAGAAAGAGAAGTGAAGTGAGTTAGAGTCACACTGAAACATTTTTTGCATAAAATTTCTTAACTGTAAAGGCGTGTATCATAAAATCAAATTTGTCAGGTTTTGCCTTATATTTCTCTGGCAGCCGTCAGTACTGACAAAGAGAAGTAGGTATTCTTAGAACAATCAATCCATTCGCGACCATCACTGTGGTGTGAAACACAGCCTTCGAACTTAAAAAATTTGTAAAGAGAAAAAATGAAAAATCAAGTCTTCGGAAACAGTCTTGAAAACTCTGGAAAGGCATTGGTACTCTCCAATGTATAAAATGACCCCCCATTTCTGACAATCCCCCTTTCTATTAAGCCACCTCTCTGGTAAACTCCCTCTAGAGCTTCTAGAATCAAGGAAGCAAATGTAGACTTGATTGGGCTTTTACGGTAAATAAAGATTTAAACAGGATAGGAGCTAAAAACCGCCGTTGTAAAGCACCACGTGGCATATATTGTTCACAGTTATTAATGAAACTGTTTTCTTGACCGTTTCAGAAAAGAGTATACTAATAAAGAAGCAATGGCGACGGAATTTTTCCAGTCAAAACAAACGTCCAAACAGCTAAAAATAGCAGATATTATAATATCTTTTTAAAATCCTTAGTCATTCAAAGCACAATATGGTGTAAGCCATTTATTACATGATTGTAGGCAAAAATCAATTTAATTCTTTGTCTGCCTAAGCCATGCATTTCGTTTTTATCAATCTCACACACTGACGAGTGGCAGAAGAAGGCAGTATTTGTATTTTTGTATTTGTTGCTACCTAGCATCCGAAGGTAGTGTTTAGAACACTGAGAAGCTATGCTTATCGAGCAGTGTCCTGGTCCTTCCTCTCGATGTGACTCCGAAGGTAGTGTTTAGAACACTGAGAAGCTATGCTTATCGAGCAGTGTCCTGGTCCTTCCTCTCGATGTGACCACACCTCGTGATTCCTATGCCTGAAATTACAGAGAGCTGATGACTCTGGGTGAAAGTTTGGTCGTGCCAGGGACTCGAACCACAGACCCTTGGGTCTGTAGTCAGCGCCTCTAACAACTGAGCCATCCTCGCACTGAGTTATAGGATTAAAATTATAACATATTAAACATAGCTACTTCGATCATTGCTACTTATTTGATGAATCAGCCAAAGGACAATACTTAAAGCACAAATCACTTAAAAGCCAAAAAACAGCAAAAAAACTCACTCCTGCATGATTGGATGCCTTAATTTTGAAATAATACTGTCCTTCCGTTTCATTTCTGTGGCTGAAATGAAAGTTAAATGATGGTTGACATACACAGAACAACTTGTGAACAAATTTTTCAAGAACTTAAAGAACAGAGCAGTTCTAAGGTACACGAAGTACAAGTTTTATGCTTGCTGCAATCACCAGAGCAAGCAGCCAGTTAACAGCAATCTTCAGATAAACAAAGAAATACAATTAACATTAAGATGGGGGCCCCTTAACACTGAGTTTGAAAGAGATCTTCCGAGGCCTTACAATGTTTGAGAGTACTTTTGGAAAGCTTTTCAAACCTCAGGACACTCCAAAAGAATTACTAGAATATTTCAGTACATAAGCAGTCTGAAATGAATATCGAAGATACCAAATGATTAGGGCACCCAATATCCAGAGAAAAGATCACACTTGAAAAACAACGAAGTTATGAAAACAGCAGTCTTTGTGGAGGCTCTTTCTAAAAGCCTTCAAACCTCTAGTCAAATGAATCTAGTTAAATTGTCGCTGTTGTTGTTTGCGAGGTCTTTTTAAGACCATTTCCCATCCTAATTCCAGACAAAAAATTAATTTTTCACACGTTATTTTTCAATTATAGACATGTGTTTTTTTCAAACTTTGCATACAATGAGCAAAAGACTTTATCAGCTCTTCGAACACCATTCTACAAGTCATCAATGCATCCAAATCTACGAAAAGATACCTTAAAACGTGCGCATGCCAATTTATACCGTCACTTACCCATCAAATCAAGAAGCTCGGCACAGCCTTCATGCTGATATTCTGTTGCTAAGTCTAGTGGTGTTCTTCCATTAGCATCATGTACATCTGGGTTTGCTCTGTTTGCTAAAAGCCATTTCACGCATTCAACGTGTCCACTGAAAGTTGAAAAAAGCTTTCAGGCAAAGCGTAAATTATATTGGGCTCCAGAGCGTCGAGTAGGGGCTAATTATAAGCTTATTTGCTTTAGATGCCACAAAATGCTAACATTATCCAGATGTCTGTCTAGTACAGGGATTTTCAGATTTTGATCAAATTATTCTTTATAACTCAATTGCTGCCATTCCAAAACAAACATTTTAAACCTAAGAAGTTTGTACGGACCATGGATGCAATTTTCATCGTACCAAGAGATAATTTCATTTACTCTGTGAATTCAAAGATTGCCTCTTGTATCAATGGATTGATTTCTAAGATGTGAGTCATGTTATACATATATGCATTTCATGACATAATTGTTAACCCCAGTGACCTTTGATATAAATTTCGAACAGATTCAAGTGTTCGTTTGCTTCATCACATGCTTCTTGTCGTTATAAATTCTTAAAATCACTTATTAATGCAGTTCTCATTTAAATAGCCTTTAAGTGACATAACTGCTGTTTACTTCATGCCTGTTAAAAAACCAGATCTTCTGGTGAAAGAGGGTGATTTACCTCTTACCTCTGACCGGTACTTACCTCTGACTTCATGAAAGAGGGTGATTTAGCAGGTACTTACCTCATTGCAGCGAGGTGTAGAGGGGTACTTTCATCAACTGTTCGGCAACTCAGAGAACAGCCCATAGCAGCTAATACCTAAACAAAAGCGTTTTGACAACGTTACGAGATTTAAACTGCAGAGGCATTCGCTTTATTAATTCATTTCCCGACAACCATTTCAAAATGTAAAGAGACCCAAAAGCAGAGACAATATGAGGAGGAGTCCATCTTCGCTTATGAGATTTAAACTGCAAAGGTATTCGCTACATTAAACTTATAACTAACGTCCAAAAGGTATCAGCGAATCGGAAAAACAACGGACCGTCTGGCTTATTCTGTCCCAAAAATAAGTTTTTGCATTCTTATTTAAAGAAAATAGGGAGGAGGTGAATTAAAGATGCTAGAAATTAACTGTCCCTGCGGAACTCGAGGGCATTTGTTTCGAAGTATCACTCTTTATATCTCAGCCGCCGGTTTGCCAAAATCTTTTAATAACTGGATATTAAACTGGCGATTTCTGTCAAACTATGTAGCTAAATTGAAAGGTCGAATAATACTTTTTTAAATAAAGAGCACTATTAACTGAAGCTTAATGTAAGTTGTTGTACAGAACAGCATTGAGAGCTGGTTAAACGATTCTAACAAAAATTTTCCTTCTATTGATTGCAAGTAGTTCGAATAGTGGAAGTACAAGCCAGTGAAATAACAAATGATTATATAGAGATCTGAATAATTTTAAGCTTACCATGAGGCATTTCACATGTCCGTTCATTGCTGCCAAATGAATCGCAGAGAACCCTGTTGGTGTTTCTTCTGAGAGATTGACTCCATTTACAGACAACCATTTCAAAATATCAAGATATCCAAAAGCAGAGACAATATGAAGGGGAGTCCATCCTCGCTCGTCTGGCTTGCTCTTTACGTCAGGTACCTCGGCTATAAGCTCCTTCATTCGCTCGAAGTCCCCGTTTTCAGCTGCTTGATGGATATTTGGGCCTAAAACAGCACATCAACGAGGAATTGGTTTATTTTCAAAGGAAAAACAGAAAAATTCTGCAAATACACTCATTAGAGTCGCACTGTTGATAAACATCTCACTTTTAGGTAAAACCTAGAGTCAAAAATGCCACCACAAAACATTGCCTGATGGTACTTTGAAGAAATTTAATAATTGGTGCTAACAAGGACAGTTAAAAATAGGTAGCCAATCATAACCAACCTGCTGTTTGCTACCAGAGGATCAATATAATTGTTTCAATGCAGTTCAATTTCAATGCAAACTGAGTTGAATTTGAAATTATATTAAGAACAACAAGACTTGAGTCCGTTAATTCTCTTTGACCAATATATTTTTGAGTTAGTATGATGGACGCTTTGTAGCGAATCATATTGGAAAGTTCATAAAGAAGAAAGATCAGAATGTATATGCAGTCATTCTCATAGTGGTATATAGTCTCATAGAGCCAAAGAAAGTCTAGCTGAAGAGTAACAACGGCGACAAAAAGACAAGAAAGAATTAAAAACAGTTTGTTGTTAATAAAAAGCCTTATTTTGCAGAAACTCCTCTAGGGCTGTTAAAAATAAGAGCGGCGAGGAACTATGGACAAGTAAAGCACTATTAATTGGCTAAATTCTTTGTCACATTCTAAACCAAAATAACAGATTCTGGTGCATAAAATAGATTATTTGGCATTCCTAATATGCAATTTATGAAAGTCAAATAACATCGACATCGAAAAATCAAGTGTCCCATGAATGTTAATTAGCCAAAGTGAAAAAACCAAAAGATAGGCGTTTCATGAATGTCAAGAATAACTTTTTGTAATTGCTTAACAAAGTATGATAAAATGATTGGCAAAAGATTACTTGCCTTAAGTCTCAATCATCAAGTACCTGGTGGCAAGAGTTGTTGTCTTTAAGAAGGGCAAGTAGTCGAAGTGAACTTACAAAAAATTAGCTGCCCAAGAAGGCAAAGTAAACAAAGTAAAATAAGAAAAATTCAAAAATCAATAACAATACCTTTAGTGAAAAGCGACTCCTTCGGTTCTTCTTTATGCTTGTCTTCCTGCTGAGCTTTGACTGCAGCCATAAAGCCAGCCATGTAATCATCTTGAGCCGACGTTTTGCGTGTTTCACTATCAGAATCCTGTCAGAGAAAAAAGCTTATTTCAATTCGTAACAAATATCACATTTACTTATACTTTAGAGAAACACTGCCTACATGAATGTGAGAAGAATCAGACATTAACTGCCAGATATCAAGAAGCAGATACAAAGTATCAAATGCTTAGTATTTAGTAATAAATATCAAGTACAAAGTAACAAATATAAAAAATAAGTGCTAAGTAATAAGTATCAGGTATCTACCCAATATCAGGTATAAAGGACCATGTATGAAGTACCAAGTTATATGTATTGAGAATCGAGTTTAAAATATCAAGTATCAGACCCCGTTTACACGGGAGTGGATTATATCCGGATCGGACCCAAAAGAGTACGGATAGGCCTTGCGTTTACAGCGGAACAGGTGGATCCGCACACTTTTGGATCAGCTATCAGAGCACTTTTGGACTGCCTTCAGAGGTGATCCCGTATGGTTACCATCTGGACCGGATCCGGTGTAAACACCTGGGATCGGATCCATAACTATCCGGATACTTTTGGATCCAATCTGGTCCAGGTCTCGTGTAAACAGGGTCTCAATTACATCGTACCAGGTGTCAAATATAAGTACCAAGTATCAAGCATAAAGACACAAATATCAAATATCAGTGTCAAGTCAAAAGCATCAAATATCTATCCAATATCAGGTATTCAGTATGAAATAACAAGTAGTAAGTATAAAGAATCAAGAAAAAAATATCAAATATCATTCACAACTTAAAAAGTATCAACTATGACATATCAAGCATCAAATATCAGATACCAAGTATTACGTTTTGTCGATAAACCCGGAAGGTAATATCAATGCAAAGGACATTATCAATGCAAAGAAACCAATTTGATAATTGAAATTCATATCACCTCTTTCTTGGTTGTATCCTTTGGAATTCTTTCTACTTCCTCTTCTTCATCTGAGTCGTTCTTTGACACTTTCCTTTCTTCATCTTTGTCCTCCTCCTCAGAGTCACTGCTACTCGTACTATCAGAAGAAACACTAAACAGTTCGCTACCACTTGAGCTGCTACTGCTCCTGTCATCAGAATCATCGGCTTCTTCCTTTGCAACATTCTCTGCCTGCATAGAATCTTGTTCTGTTGGGGTTATCTCTTCTTCCTCTGCCATCCCTCTTTTCTCTTTGGCTTCTCCTTTCATATTCTCGCCCTCCGTTTGAGGCTCACCCTTTGATGCAGACACCGCTTCAAAATCAGGTTCAGTATTCTCATTTTCCTGGTCTCGAGTATCATTTTCAGCGGGAAAATCCTTTTTATCACTTGCATCATAATTTACTAAATCACTTTGGTCCCCTTGTTCTTCTCGACTTCTTTCAAGTTTCTCCTGAGATCTTTTCCTTTCTTTCTTCTTCTTAGTTCGACGTTTTGGTTTGGTCTCATTTGTCTCCCCATTCATTTGCTCGTGGGTAAGTGATTCCTTTAACTCAATCTCGTCCGGATTTCCTTTCTCTATTTGCCGACCCTTCTTGTCCCCGACTTCTGCATACCCCTTCTGCTCTTTAGAGTCTATTTCCTTCGTTTGTTTTTTTGTCTTATCGCTCGATTTAGTCGATATTTCGTCTTCAGATGGCGAACTATCGGTAGAATCTGCTGAGAAAAACTGTCGATTCGGTTTCGTACGGTCTTCCTTTTTCTTGTCATCAGACGGTACAGCCTTGATAGGCACTGCATTTGAACTCTTAGAAGCCGATAGCGGTCTGAACTGCTTCTTCTCTCCCTCTTTTGAGCTTGCTGAATCAGGCCGATAATTGAAGTATGTTCGCTTAGAGGTGCTTATATTTGGAACTTCGTTTCCTAGAAAAAGAAGAGTAAAGGCCCGAAGTAAATAGAGTGTAGGTACAGCTAAAATTATCCACATAAACGTGTACACAAATAATTTAACATAGGCAATCACTTTCACCGATTATTAAAACAATGTTCATCGATCTTGTCATTTTATTAAGTTCAGGAAATCACAAAATTGAAATTCAAACTCAAAGGATAAGTTTAAATATATCCCTGTTCCAGACAGCTCGTACAATTTTGCCTGTTTGAGAAATACGGTACGTCATAGGTACGTTGAGCTATCATGTTTATATCAAATTGCGTACGAATAATCGAGAAGCTTGATTCTGCAAATTAATCATACCCTCGTGTTTCTACCCTCGTATTTCTTCCATCGTAAAGTAATACCCCTTTACCAATGTAATATAAATTCCGATGACTAGTTTCCGATTGATTAGTTTCTTCCACTTTTAAACTTCTTTTAAGATGCTTTTCTTTTTTTACATCTTAACTCTACGTTTTGGCTTGCTTTGGTAGTCTTTCTTTCCTTTTCGTTTCTAGTTCCGAGTTTCGTCTGAGACTAAATAATGGAGACTCTGGCATCCAGGGAAAGATTTGTCTTATGCTTAAGGTATATAACTATGGGTTATAATATGAACCATTCCTGGTAATCACTGTTGTTACACGCGTAGATGCCCGCGGTTAGATAATCTTTATGAGATTTTACGCGTGTAGAGATTCTGAAGGGCATTCAAGGAAAAAGACTTAAAAACTCTCGGATAGCTATCAACAAAGACAAACTGCAAAAATCACCTTGTAAGGTGCTCGACAGTGGCAGGTCCCGCACAATTTGTCCATCATCATCTCTGGCCGACAGCCACCTGGAAGATAGATAAAACATTATCAACCATAAACTTGAAAAATGAAAACGGGATAGTAATTAAAATCAAGAATTTTCCTACTTTCAGCTGTATTAATGTTGAACACTGAGTAATAGCTTCAAAACATAAAAAATTCAGTATATCTAACTAAACCATCACAATTCAGTTCAACAAGTACAGATTGATTTGTCTCTGATTATCAACGTCATAACGGTGTCAATTTTCAAGTATATTAAATGAAACAATTCAAAAACTCAGTTCAAGATACTTGCAAACAGCAAAGCTACTCGAAGACACTCAAAATTCAATATAGTCAAATCGTACAAGCCCAATTGAACACACGTGGCATCAGCAATATAAATTGCAAGTTACTTAAAAAATGTTTTTTAAATATTTCTTCTGCTAAATATTGCAAATAAGCTACTTAAAGTTGACATACAGTGAGGACGTCAAAGAGCATAGGCTTTAATAGTTTTTAAAATGAAGGAAGTAGAAATAATAGAATCTTTATCAAATACCATGTAAATAGCAAATGAAAAAACCAACCTTCCGCATTTGAATTCAAAAGCTCTTTTAGCGTCCTCTCCTTCTCTTACAACTACTCGATCCAAAAACCATCCAGTTCCTTGAAAATTACAAAAAAAATGAAATAGTTTCAAACAGCATGAAGAATTTGAAACTTTGCTTAGCAATACAAACTGCTAATACCAAATACTGGTTGTAAATTCGAGATTCTTTGGAACAACAAACCTTTGGTTTAAATTTGAGTTTCTTTGATACACAAAACCTTTTTAAAATTTAAGTTTCTCTGATATATCAATCCTTTGTTTATCTATTTGAGCCTTCTGGGCAGGGGCGGCTGACAAGCAGATTTAGCTGCTATCAGCCCAAATCTAGATGGGTGTGGCATACTGAGGGACAAAGTAACACCGAGGCATAAGAGCCTTGATCAAACAAGGAAACCAGGCCGCAGTAATATAAGGGAATTTAACAGAAAATAAGGACAAAACCTAAATGATTCATAGCAAACTTAGCCCGGCTTAAAAAGCTGGGTTAAAAAACTTAGCCCGGCTTAGAGACAAAAATATATTGTCAATATTTAAACAACCCTTACAAAGGCACACTGAGAAGGAGGGGGGGGGGGGCAAGTGGGGCAATCGCCTATGGCCTTGTAAGCAAAAAGGGACCCGCTGGTAATATAAATGTCTCTATTTATAATATGACGCTTAATAGCATAGTAATTACAAATAACATCTGTATTTAGAAAGTTTAACATTGGTTTACGAAAATGAATGAAAAAAAAAGAAAAATTTATGCATTTTAAACACGCATTTAAGGTTTTTTTCTTTGGGTAGGAAGGGCCCCATGTATTCTGCCTGCCCCTGGGCCCGGCATGGCCCTCGTCAGCCCTGCCTTTATAACAGAATAGCTGTAGCAGCCACATTGTTTTTAGGTAATGATACAAATAGCATAGTAGGTAATAATCAGGAAGAAGGCAAGCTATGAAACGAGTTGAAGTTACTATACCGAGGGCTGTTCCGTTGTGTCCTATACGTATGCTTCTCAGTTCTCCAAGGAATATTGAGTCGATGATAAACAGATCAACCTGCAAAATGAGTAGCAACAGGATAACAAATCGATACGTCGTTTGTGTAAAGGCAGATGATAGATGCCTTGCTAGTCCTATAAATCGAGGCCTCGCTGCATATCCCATAACATGTCCTCATTAGCCTGTGTGCAGACTCTACGGAGGAGAAGAACTCCTCCGTAGAGTATGCACGCATGCTAGTCCTCATCAAATTTAAATATTCTTGCAAAGACATTATATAATCCTAAAGTAAAACTTTACATAACAAGAAAATCTTCTGGGTAAATTGCAGATCGCGAAAATTGCAGATCAGAAATTTTTAATAAATAGGATTTTTGTAAATAATAAACAGATAATTTACCTGTTTCCTTTCAAATGGATTTTTGTTAGACTTGGAGCGTATGAGAGGTCTTTCCCCCGAATCACCATATTGACCAAATAAGTTGATTTTCACGTCACTTGAAGTGCCCGCTCCAAGTTTATCGCCGGTGACCACGAAAATTTCATAAGGCAAAACTATAACAAAATGGAGAGAAAAACTGGTATAAAAGTTTGAAAATATATTTTCAGTAAAGGGAAAGATTTTTTCAGCAACCCTGAAGTGTTTAAAAAACCAACTTTCACCCCCACTTCTTCCTCTACCAGAAAAAAAGGCCATTTAAGATGGGTGCGCGATGAACATTTGATTGGGCTCGTGGTTTCTTCCTTCCTGAAATTGCCCATTTGTGTTTCAAAAGGCAGCAGCAACTACTGCCGCAGTAGCAAATTTTGTCTCTCTGTTCACGAGGGGCAAATCACTACACAAAAATCTTCTATATCTTTGGTAGAAACCCTATTGTTTTATCAATGAATCCCTGGAAATCCTTTTGTTTTGATGGAAACCTTGAATGCCATTTACAAGATTGAATTGTCCCTCGTCTGTCCGTCGTTAAATGAAATGTACATTAGCTCATTTACAGTTCCGACTGATCGTGAAAACGAGTCGCTCTTCCGTTAAAACGTATAAAAAGGCTGACCAGTTTAAACGTATTGTCATCTTGCTGATATACACATCCTACGATTATATCGAAAGTCTAACAACTGTGGAATAGTGTTTCAGGTATGGCTCGGGACATAGGATGAGATTAGCCTTCCCTTGGACGACAGTCCGGTCAAAAGCGAATAACTAAATGAAACAGCTGCATTTTCTCTAATTTGCTGAGATCTACTACAGCACATACATATAGGAACAACGAGACAAGGCTTCTTTCGACATGGTCCTGCTCCGGTTAGTGAAATTTCTATGGTTAATATCCGGTTACATTTTTTGACTTTATGTTTATGTCCAATTTCTTGTTGACTCTAACGTTACTGTAAAAATCATTAAGCCGAAATTAACAGACAAGGAGGTTTTTGCCTCTGAAAAGATAAAAGTTAAAAGTTCCAGAAAAATTCTTCGCAAATCTTTAATGTCGAGAAATACGTTGCCTGCCAAAATTCAAAACAAGCCATCAAAAAGACCTGCTTGCAAAGGCAAGTTATAAGCATTTTGAAGTGAGATGGTTTATTAACAATACTAGGCTTAAAAGCCCGTGCTAAATCGCTAAGAAAAATATGTACCCTGTGATCTAATTTCTGGTGGTGTCGTTTGGACTGCTTCCTCCATCTGTGCTCCACTACTCTCTAACGAGTGGTCAAACGAGGTGAACCGCGAAGAGGCTCCAGTGGATACTTGTCTGAGTGGAGCATGTTGCACAGGTGACTGTGGGTCATCCAAAGTTTGGGTACCTAGGCAAAGAAATAAGATGTGTGAGAAGGAAGAACCGCAGGATAGGCTGTCCGCCGGATTCTGTGAATCTTGCAATGAGTGTTGTTATGAAAGATATACAGGAACAAAGCAATACGACGACGAGAATCCAATGTCACGAAATGAAATTTTCAAAATAAATTAAATTTAAAGAATATACTAATATTTCGCCCCGGCATACAGGGCTTCATCAGAGTAAAAGAAATAAGACCTTGTGATTAAAAAGCTGAGACTCAACCCCTTTATTTGCAGGTCACTCTGGTAGTACAGTGGGTACCATTGCTCCACATTTCAGGACGCAATTGCCGGTACCACCGCTCTTAGGCAAAAAAGCTCCTCTATAGATCTGGTATTCTGGTATTTAAGGGTCCTTGATTACACTAAATGTAGATAAAAGCTGAATTTTACATTTGTCAATCAAATTCTATGCATTACGCAAATCAATACTATTGTTATCCTTATATTGCAAAGTTTCATATGAAACATTTGAATAATCTAGTTAAAGTTGTTGTTAAAGCTGCTGGAGGGATTAAGTGACTTTTAAATATAAGTAGTTACGCATCAGAGAGCACAAGCTGGAGTTATAAATGTGTAAGCATCATTAGCTACTGATTATACCTTTAGATTCCACTGTTTGTGTTGCATTGTCAACTGAATGGGCGGCATCCGTGTCTTTCCACGCTGGTCGAGATGACGTCATAGGCGACACATTCGGTGGTGTTTGATTATAGAAATCGTCCAAATCAGAGTCAGTTTGATTTGGACTGAGCTGATCTCCAGCACTTTTTGGTCGCGGTTTCGACTTAGAAGAAAAACTGTTTTCATCTGGTGAGGCTGGAGGGGACTGATTGTTCTGCGATACCAAGTAGCCATTACCTCTGGTCTCGAGTTTCAGATGCTGCATCTGGCTTCTGTTGACAGTAGAGAGCAGAGACGCGTTAAAACAACAACCAACAACCAAAAACAAATCACTCCTTTAAAAAACACTGTCAATCTCTGATTACTAAATGCTAACGTTTTACTATCAAATCTTTCAGAGCTCTCAGTGAGAAAGGACATACGTCATCAAGCGTCTATCAAGAGCAGCAATTACAAGTTGAACCTATCTGCATAACATAAAAACATCTTGTGAAAAAAGACGCTATGAAATCTTGAAGTCCTCTTTGAATTAACATAAGTTGTAATAAATCTTTAATTTTTGACACGAAAAAAGATCGAAGAAGTACACAATACAGTCGTTGCTGGCCGTGTTTTCAGCCCTTCCCTCTTTGTGCAGCTCGCCCACATATTCGCTCCCTTTTTTTAAAAATTCTGTTCGCAATCAAAACATAATACTTAATACTGTTTGGAGTTTGACTAATGCCATAATAAGCAAACAGCTATTTCTCTTTAAGTTCTTACCGAACGCTGTCCATTGTACTGTCCAATGAAAGTTCACCAGAACTTGAATCGTTCCACTTTCTCGCAACAGGGTGTCTTCCCGAACCCTTTCAGCAAAATGAATAACTTTATATTACGCCTCCTTGATAATACATTTCTTCATAGAAAGTATTTGACAGAAAAGACAATTTATAAAATATTGCACATTATTCACCTGCCCTTAAGCACCGGAAGATGCCACATGGAAGTGGAACGGCCTGACAACTTCCAGTGCTATTTGAAACAAAGTCTACAAAATTATCTTGCAAAATGTGAAAAAATTGGAAGTTTTTCGAGAAATAGGTAAAAATTGACCCTTAGCACAGTTTACTTAATGATTCGGACAACAATTTTAAATAACATTCCCTCTTATTGTAACAACTGATAACGATGAAATATTAAAAATCACATTTCATAAATTCTCATTCCAAATTAGACAAAAAAAATAATTTTTGATAGACATTCTGTGTATGATTTCTCTTTACTTATTAATCATGAGTTTGGACTTCAAAACGAATATTTGATAATGGTTCACAGTATTTTTTGAATTTACGAAACGAAACTCAAGGACGGCTAGAAAGTAAAAAGCGGAATAACTTTTTTAATGATGATATTTTTCGAAACATTAGTATATTCTGAAAATGAAACCAAACAGAAAATGAAAACAAAATGAGTCCAGTCTTTCAAAATTAAGGGCTAGATTTCCTAAGCACGAATCTAGATTACCTAAGCACGAATCTAGATTACCTAAGCACGAATCTAGATTACCTAAGCACGAATCTAGATTACCTAAGCACGAATTTAGATTACCTAAGCACGAACCTAAATTACCTAAGCACGAATCTAGATTACCTAAGCAGGGGCACTACTAATACTGACAAGAGACAATGGCACAAACACAATAAATAACTACATTTGTACAACAGCTTTGACACATGCGTTAGGAATCATACCTTATATCTAGGAGGTTGCGGGGTAGCTCTTGGGCCTGGATCTAGAACAAAGCAAACTGTATGAAGCAACAAGCAGCAGGAAAAGAAATTTAATCTTTGCTGAAATACAAACTAACTCAATCCTTTCCTAATTTTGATTATTCAAAAATCTCATAAGGTCGAAAGGGTATCCAAGGTCATTTGACAAAGAGGCTTGGATACAAAATGAAGATGTCATGTCACCTTGCTATTTTATATTGAAGCATCAATTGTTAACGATGACTCTTTTCCAAAGCAAATATCATTGTTCGTTCTCAGTGTTAATTTTCAGAAAATGAAACACAACAACAAGTTCTCGAAAATATTTTTAATAAAAGAGGGCTTTTATCAACAACAACAAGAAGACAAATGAAAACAAAAACACAATTCTGATGCAGTCTAGAGATGAAGAAAAAATTTCTAAAGAGCAGAAAAAATGAAATTTTTTTTACAAAAGGAAATTATATAAAATGCTAAAAGCTACCTAAAATGCAAAAATGGCATGCCTGAATGCAGAAGGACGGTGCATCCGTTGGGCATTCAAGAGTAGCCGAGAAAATTATAAAATAATGTAATTGGTTGTGCTGAATAAGAAAAACAGAATACACATAGTCTGTAATGCTATAGAATATTTTCTTATAAAATATTGAATACATGTTGATCGATTACTTCTTCGACCGGTGGTTATCAATGCACACAAAGGCAAGAAAACAGATAGCAAGGATCTGGTAAAATGCCTAAAATGGAGAGTGTCTATTGGTTTTTGAAAGATTTACATGAAAAAGACTTGATAAATACTTGAAAAACAAAAGGAGTTGGTAATTCCATACACTGGAATTATTAAAGATAACAACTGACTTTAAGGAGGAGCTTGTAAAATATATTCATTTAAATTGCAAAGAAAATTAGAAAAGAGGTAGCGCATAGAACGAGCGTTCAAACGGCAATCAACTCACCAGAAGCTGAGCTAGTTCGCCTTTCAATACCACCGGCAGAGACAAGTGGGAGCCTTTCCTTGAAGTAAAAAACAACATTCACCACAGTTCGAAGTGCGTGGGTGTTTTCCATGAAATGTTTATTCATAATGCACTGTAAGCTTTTAGTTCGCTACGACCCAAAGCTTTTTAACATACGAACAAACTGTAATTTCCTGTCGAAAAACTGCCAAATAGTGCTTTATTCTAGGCCACTATAGCCTGGTCAAGTGATGACAGTTAATGCGAAAGGGACAGGTAGTCGTGCTACGATATCTTTCAAAATTATAAGTGAATATCGCCTAGATCTAGTGCCTTGCAAAAACTACCAACTGCAAAAATAAATACATTGTCAAGCGGTGGAAACCTGACACGTGGTTCTGTTATGCCTGTGAAGATAGAAAGGTCGACTTCCCAAAGCCTCTTGGAAGGAGCCAACACGCTTCACATTTTGCTTTTATCAGTAAAAAATCATTGCACTTTTCTCCAAAAACTGTCATATCAAATACAATGAACAGGTATGTTGTCGGGATCTACTGGTTGGTATTTCAGCATTGATGGCTAAATCATTGCAAAAAATTTCTCGAGATAAACAGCCCATGCGTATTTCATCGAGAAGAAATGTTCTATTTCAGTTGCAAAACGTGGACATAAATTAAGGAACAGCTTTTGTTTTGATAAAAAACCAAGAAATCTTTGTTGGTGTCCGAATATATACTGATAGTTCCTTACATACATGCGTTTGGCACGCGAGTAATACACTGTCCCCAGAAGTTTAAATTTCATATAACACATTTCTTTACTAGAAATACTTAAAACTCTCTGTCATACACTGGACCATTCCTAAGCCTAAGACTTATTATTCAATAGAATAACTTCCCTTTTATCAATACATGCAAAGCATTTCCAAAGAAATACTGACAGCGTAAACAGAGGGACATACCCGTGTATCGGTCTGGTTTCCTCTGGTTCTTTTAACATTTTGTGGAAGTGCTATGGTTTCCTGCAGATGGAAAAACAATCAGAAACAATTTCTTATTAAAACCGCCTTGTCTTGCAACAAAAACTTGTTAAAGACAGTATCTACTTAACCTTATCATACGAGAGATCGTTTGCAAAGAAATAGGGATAGATTGTTACATAATAATATAAAGCTAGAAATTAAAATTGATCCATATAGCATGACGATAGTAGCATAAAATCGCAGACATTACGCCTATACAGAGAGTTAATACGATGAGTTCATATTCGAAAAAGAAAGGGGGGTTCTTTAATCATCGCGGTATTTCAATGACGACTGCCACTCGTTCGGCATTCCTTCTGTATTAAGCATCAAACTTTACTTAAAAAGAGAAGAATCTGACTTTATAGCAATGGAACTGGACAGACAGTGCTAGGATTACCGCCCTTACCCTTTCTCAGAACAATCTTGAATCAAAGTAGGATGGAGTTAGCTGTTGCGCATGCGTGAAGCTTGTTGCCACATAAAGCTGTGGCCGGGACTGTAAATGTGAATCATGAAATAAACAGCCTTTTTTAAAGCAGGAAATAGCTGTAGGCAATAATTTGCTAGGTCCAAGTCGACTCTCTTTGGCTTTTCATAGTGCGAGGTGTAGCAGGATAGATACTGGGCAAATAAAACTATTTTCCAAGAAACACGGCTCCTCGATAATCACTTACAGTTGCAACAATGAGCTTTGTTGCCATGTTTACCAGCCTCTCCTTTTCATGAAGAGATACTAATTCATCGGGTGCACGTCGACTGACTTTGGGAGATTTTCCTACAACCATACGGGGATGCTTCCTGTAAAATTCAGACAATACATAATCAAAATTTAAAACTAGCATTTATTATTCATAGATATAGATGGAATGTTTTCATTTCATTTTGAATCCTTTATTCAATTATTTCATTAAAATTTAAACATATGCCTTACCTATAAAAGTAAATGTAGCAACAAAAACAAAAAAATACCAGGTTTGGTCTTTAAATAAAAATTACAAGACGAATGTTGTCAAAATACAAGCGGTTTACTTTGAAAAACTATTTTTTATCGCTTTTAATAATGAGACATCCAAAAATAACTCCATTTTTATTATTCTTCATAATTTCTAAATTTTCAACGACTTCAGTTTCAAACTACTGCTTTTCGGTGACTGTGAATTAAAATGAGGTTTTTTAAATGTTTAGTACCTTTTTGCATAAATATAGAGCATGATGTTGCATTTTAATTATCAGAGTATGATGCTTTCATATCATTGCCAAAATAGATAAAGACAAAAAATAAACTGTACGTTTAGCAAAATCGTACTTTAATTACAGTAACTTATAATAGAATAATTACAAAGTAAATTAATTAAAAGTGGTTAAAAATGGCTTGAAATATGATGCCTGTCCTTCTTATACAAGAGAGTGTAGACACTAAGAGAATGCGAGCCCAAGGAGGTTGAAACTTCAAGAGGTTTCCTGCACTCATTTGCCACAAAACGTTTTGGGGGTTTCATGCAACCAAAAACAATAAAAAAAATTTAATTATGCCTAGCGTATGGCTTTGAGATGAAACCAACAGGATAAAATTATCATCATTTATGCAAATAGAGCTCCTTACCAAACTAAATGCAAGAGAGAGATACTGTTCTTATTTAAAAATCATAACAACAATACTTGGCCCTTTAAGGTAATAATAAGTACCCTGAAGAAACCAAAGTAATTTTTCGATTGGTTTTCTATGTTTGCAACCCAGAACCATCTGATTACTTCAAGAAGCAGTTGATTTTAAAACGAATCTTACTTCTTTTTTGAACCTTTCCTTTGTCTCACTTCAGTGTCTTCTCGCGAGGTATCTTTTGGATGTATCAGCGGCATTGCATATGGAGATATTGTGTTCGGCGTTAACTTGTAGTTGTAGTTTTGCATCGTTCGTTCAATAGTCTTTTTCACTTGCTTCTCTCTACCGCCAGCTCCACCCACTGTTTTCATCTTCTGCAACTGTTGTTTTACATTCTTCTGTCGGTAGTAATGCTTTAGACTGCGATCGTGAAGACCGTCGTATGCCAAAGAGGAACCCTGTAAAAACAAATAAGAATTTGAGTTTTGGTTATATAGTAGATTAAAACCTGCTATATCCTGTAGTGTTTCGTCGTATGCAACTATTGCCAAATATCTAGCTGTGACATTGACGTAGGAATAAGAGAGACACAGATTACTTCGGCCCTTCCATATTCTGAGAACGTGCTTTACAAGTCAAAAATAGGCGAACTTCTTAACTTTAAAACGGTCATCTTTTTATATTGCAAAATCACTGATCAACTTAAGGGATTCCGATGGAGAGAAAGGATGTGGTCGAGATTATTTTGGTAAATACTCAAGGTACCCTTCAAATTGATATACCCTGTATTTTTTACATGCCCCCTTTCTCTCTTCCTTTCAATTTATCATTAGGGTCCTGCTGGCTTGAAATTTACGAGAAGTTTTTTATGTAAAGATAAAAAGAGTTAGATAAAAAGAATTAAAGATACAAGCGAAACTTCGATATTTACAAAATCAAAAGTTGTTAAAATGGCTATTTAAAAACTGTCTAAAAAGAACTTGGGATTCAGTTTTTCTTGCCCGTAGAAGCAGGCTACTGAACTCTTTTGCAGCCAAGAAAGAAAGTCCCTTTCGACCGAATTCCGTTTTCACTAGCAGCAAACTTGCTGATAGTTTCTTATTTTTTTGTGTTCTTTCTATGTATTTTCTTAATGAAGTCTCATCATATTGCAGAAATTTTGCTGTTGTTTATCAAAGACTTACGTATACGCTCTTTGTTTAATTACTGCATCAATTTTCAACCCGAGGACTGCCGAGCATATTACAGATTGATGGGGCTAAAACGTTTTGGTGGGCTAAACATCCTTAAAACCAAGAGCAGGGCGATTTTTGTATGGTTTTAAGTACATTTTGGAGGTTCAAAGCTTTCGATTTTGTGCTGTTAAGACTGAGACCTGGCCAAGAATATCAACCCACAGTATCCAAAAATTGGCATTATCATTGTTCTATAGATCCCTTCCGCAGTTGCAGAGTCAACAAGTTATCGGATTTTTCTCAATAGGTTTAACCAACCAATAGCTTGCTTGTAGGTATTATTGAAATGATCTTCTAAATTTAGAGTTTGATCTAAATGAACCTCGAGGTACTTATAGCTGGAAGTTCCATTAATTTTAATGCCATTCAAGTATTATTTTACATTTTCTTCTGCTTCACCACCAGAATTCATGTGCATTAGATGTATCAACGTGCAAAATTTCAAATTCATTGGTTCAAAGTGCGAGACAAATTCACTCACCTAATCAAAATTTTGCCCAAAGAATGAATAGGAAATTTTTAGAAAATGACACAAAGAAGCCAAAAATGCGTTAAAAGCCAAACACATCGTAGCGTTAGAGATTCAAATAAAAGAAAAACTTACAGCTATAAACTTAACTGCGTGACGTGGCATTTTTATTAAATGGTACAAGATGGTGCACAATCGTTTTCTATTATGCAGTTGTTGGTATAAAGTGGAATACAGAATGGTAATGCCTTTGAAACGTTCATTGAAACTATCAAACTCACCGGCCTAACAGCTGGGTGATCGCGTTCTGGATGCTGAGGTCCAGACAGGTCAAATGCGTCTTCACGTCTCTGTTGATCCAAATAAAACTTTCTGTGGAAAAGAAGAGAAAGAGTGTAACATTGTGTACTTCTAGTATTAACTATTATTTCTTTAGGTCACAATAAACAGTAAAAATGAACAAAATTGGTAAAAACAAAACGGAAAGTTTAGATAAATTTGTTTAAAGGCAATCGAAAGGCACCGCATTGGCTTAAGCCATCTGTCATTCAATTGTTGGCCAATGAGTAGATGAGTTGCATAATGCCTATTGTTTGGCCAACTATAAATTCAACAATCACAAGTATGCACGCTTTCAGCTGTAGGGAGTTTTGATTTCATTGAAAAGGTCAGTGGAAATTTTACAATATGATGACGCTAGATATTGCACAAAAACAGGTATACCTTCAGTAGTTTTAAAAATATATGAAACAATATCGATTGACGTGAGACTAAAGATAGGAAAATGCATTCATGTTTATAGCAATTGTTCGATGATGTGTTCCTTGCTTTATTGACAACAGAAATAAACAAACATATATTGTGTTGTTCCGGAAATAAGATACACTTCTATTGTGTTGTTCCGGGAATCCTAATTAAGCAAACTTTTCTCTCCAAAAAAGAACCAAAGTGTGACGTCATCAAAAATCTATTTTCAGAAGTTCTTAATTTTGATCACATAATCTGAAATAACAGCATTAAATACCTCTTCAAGTGCAAAATCTTTCCAAAATTGGATAAAATATGAGCAATTAAAGATTTCAAGTTTTCAATAGACTCTGGCCTGGTTCATCAAGTTATCAACCAAATTACAGTGGTTTTATGAGAAGAAGTCAGTGCTACTGTGACCATATCTCAGCCAATTTGTAACTGTTTCAACTGATTTTGCACCTTTTGAGATATTTTATAACGCCCTTTAAGGTAATATGGTCAACATTTAAAAATTCTAAAAATTGATCTCATTTGATCAACAGCTAAAACACTTATACATCCGTAAAGCACCAAAAAGGTTTTATCACAGGCACCCCTCGATGTTCTGCTTGCTGGCATCTAACTGCACCTGCACAAGCATTTAGAATGGGCAGGAAGAACTATATACCGAGTTTTTCCTAACTTCAACATCGCATTTATTATATGTTTTGCTCACTACAGTAGATTGAACTTGATTTCGTGCTGAAAACAATTCTCCGGATCATCGACTACTAATAGAACAAAATGAAGAATCAAAATAAGAAAAAAGTACCAAAACAACAATAAAAGTTTTAATAACCGTTAATGTATCATGCGAAGCTTTTTGTGGACAGAAGAGTGAAACAACCAGCACTCCAATATAATGAGACAAAAGAGTGAGACAGACAGCGCAAGCCCAAAATTCCAGAAGAAATGGAACGAGATGGAACTAAATATCTTTCTGAATATCACAAAATATCTTTTGAAACTAAATGATTCGATCAATATTTACTTCCTATAGACCAAACTACACCTCCCATTGTATCTTTGAGTATTTGTTGAAAGTACGACCGTGTATTGTATCATTTATCCATCTAAGGATAGTCATAGTTGATGCTCCCCGGAGTAGCCTTTTTTTAGTGTATGTAAAGTAGCGTTTTAATAAAGCAAGGCGAGACAAGGCAAAGCAAGGCGAGACAAGGCAAAGCAAGGCGAGACAAGGCAAAGCAAGGCGAGACAAGGCAAAGCAAGGCGAGACAAGGCAAAGCAAGGCGAGACAAGGCAAAGCAAGGCAAGGCAAGGCAAGGCAAGGCAAGGCAAGGCAAGGCAAGGCAAGGCAAGGCAAGGCAAGGCAAGGCAAGGCAAGACAAGGCAAGGCAAGGCAAGGCAAGGCAAGGCAAGGCAAGGCAAGGCAAGGCAAGGCAAGGCAAGGCAAGGCAAGGCAAGGCAAGGCAAGGCAAGGCAAGGCAAGGCAAGGCAAGGCAAGGCAAGGCAAGGCTACACAAGTTGATTGAAAGTGCAAGATATTGCCATGAGACATCGAGGAAGCATTTGGTAAAATAAGCTCTACATGTCTGTTCTTTGCTAGAGCTTGGCGAGAAAGTTCCCAAAAATGTAAATAGAGCAAAGCAAACCAAATTTTGGTGCCAGAATGTGCCTGGCACTCTCGATCGTCAATTTCATTTTGGGTGTCCCTAAGGACCTTGCGGCGGTAGCTTATTGACTTTGAAACAATGTGGGTCTTAAAAGACAGTGCTTTGTTAATATTTATTTCACGGATGCGATATACAATGCTTTACGGCCAAAAATTGAGAACAACATTGCAAATATGTTTTGAGATGCTCTTTGCATGACTTTCTGTTTAACTAGCACCTTTGTTAACTGTTTGCTTAAAGATTGTGAACTCAAGGCCGTTGTTGTGCTATGGTTTCTGATCCTCCTTTATGATTTCTTCAACTTTACTCAAAAATAAATAAGGTAAATCGTAAAACAAGGATTGAAGATACTAAATGATGTTGTATCAGAAAACTTCAACAATTACAGTCGACTCTGCTGAAAGTCACGAAGCTTAAAGTCACACTACCGTTAACAGTAACTTGAGATTTAGACCCAAATACGCAAAATTGTTCAATTTAAGCTCCGCTGAGAATCACACTCCCCTTACTGCCATAGATTTTGAATTTTCAATATTTGGTGTGATGTGATCATAACCGGAGTCTACTGTATAATACACAAATTAGAAAGCATCAACCTTATAAAAGTCCTTGATCTCAACATTCAACTGGAAAAAAGGATTCTTAGATGGCGTTTTTTACTGTACTACTTATTCCACGTTAGCCGATAAACTGACATGACTGGAAAGCTTGCAAAACTATAAACCCATATCAGAAATTAATACTAAAATACGATCTTTAAACCAATATTATCAATCGCTGCTTTGAAAAGATATTTTAAACCGACTTAATAAACCGACATTATAAACTAATATTATAAACTGATGATTTAAACCGATGGTATAAAACGATGTTTTAGACCGAGTTTATAGACCGATACTTTTAACCAATATCATAAACCAATATTATAAGCCGATATTCTACACTGGTATTAAAAACTGATTAACTCTAAACCTGTTTCTGAGCGCTCCGGGATAGCTGGCCCAAGTTTCCTGAAATGAGGACTCGGACGTCGCATCCAAGCTTTCATTTGTAATTTCCTGTAATACCTCCATTCCAAATATGCTTGCCAAAGTAAGAAAATTTCCTTGCTTGTCTGAGATATTTGCTCTTCAAAGTCCGAATAAACAAAAAACAAAGACCCGTGCTATTGCGGCAAAATTCACACAAAATCATGACCTGCTTTGTGCAAGACGGGGGCTACAGCATAAAAACTTTAAAAAACAAAAAGAGATTTTCATTTCATCAAAGATATATAGAAAATAGTTTCTATAACGATTGCCCGTGAGGTAATTCGAAACATGCATCTACTGTATGCGATAGAAATTGTAGCTTTCGGGCATGGAGTCCCAGACGATTGCATTGTGATGAAAGTAACAAATGTTTCAAATGTGTCTGCTCCTTTTCGAAATCACGTTGTGTCAACCTTGCGTCCGCCCCCTCTTGCCTCCCCCATTACAATACTGGCGTTGAGATTCCTTAGGTTTAAAACGGACTTTATTTAGACATGTATCAAATAAGCTTGCCGTGGCACACTTCTTCCTGAAAGCTCGCAATGCATACTGGTAAACAGTCGCTATTTGAAACAGCGTCAACTAAATCGAGCCTCCTTTGCCACCCCAAACATTTGCAGCCTCATGCGAGTTCTTAAATAACGTTTCTTACTAAATGCTTTGACAAGTAAAGAATTAAAAAGTAGGCTAGCTCGTAAAGGCATTAGAGGGTAAAAAGCTGAGAACTATTTAGCACTAGTAGCTTAATTTGTGCTCATATAGGCATCATATGAAATTCCCTGGTTTGCAGTATCCTGTTGACACGATGAATTTATATCACCCCTAAACATTCTGCGTTTTGAGTTGGCCATCCATAGGTTTTTGCTGATTGTAGGTTTGAACGCTAAACAACTAGTACTAAAAAGCTTTTCCCTGTCCTCCATTTCTCTTTCACACTCATGCAAAATATGATGATTTTAGAAACTTTTTGCTAGACTTGCTGGTAGAACATCTAGCTTCGTATTCTTTTCAAAACCATTGACAATCTTCTGTATCTAAGTAAACAAACCTGATAAGTAAAACATCTGCCTTTATGAGAGTTTATTTGCAAATCTTACCTGAAAATTGAAAAGAAGCCCTTTTTTATGCTGCTATCCACAGTTTGTGGTGAAATTTTCATTTCAACAAACAATTAAATTATGCTTTGTGGTAGATCAATTAAATAAATATGTAGTTTCTGACACAAGAGTGGATCATAAATATTAAACAGCTTACATTTGAGCTGACAATGTAGTTATCTCTCTAAGAATTTTCTGGCTCCTTTACAATTATATTCTTTAACATAATGTCTGTAGAATAGGGTTTAAGAGAGTGAAAAAGACCAACTAGTTTTCCCATACTTTCAGAAAAAATCACCAACAAGGATCTACGACATGAGCAGATCTCAATTTGAAATCAGAAAGATCTTGCACCTGGTTTGATCTCAAAAGAGAGTTTAAATTCAACAAAACATGAGTCCTTGATTAGCTGAAAATAAGTCCAGGCAGCAAAATGAACAGGCTGCAAGAGAACATTGCACAATGAAATCAGCCCAATAGTATGTATTCATTGGAAATAATCAAGGGCCATAGTAACACAAGAAAAGCCAAAGCAGAAAGATAAACTCATGGGAAGGCTAGGACTTTTAGGGGGCCCTGGCAGCTGTACTCCTGGAAAGATAGGAAGGAAAGAGACACAAATGACTGGTGCTTTTAAAAACTGCCGATTTGAAACTTAAGAACGTGGATGGATTTCCACTGAAAGACATCCAAGTCTAAAGGGGACCACAACCTTTCGGGATAGGATGTATTTTGCCCTTGTTTACAGAGGTCAAAATTATAGAGAATTTCAAATAATTAAGCAGAAGTGATAAATATAAAGGATAATTTATAGCACATATATATTATTCATGCTAATATATGAGTAACAAAGAAGGATAAATAAGTCCTAGAGAAATGGCTAATGCACCAACATACTTCTTAGCAAGTAGTTACAAAAACCAAATCAGACATGAGGTTAGGGTTTGGGCAGGAACAATGTCCAAGAAGTATGTTAATGCATTAGCACCCAAGGAGAAATGTTTTTGGAACAATAGAAGAAAACTATAAGGAAATTAATGATTTGTAAAATGTATAATTCATTAAGCTTATATTGGATTGTGGGTACATTGGAACAGATCAGAAGAATGACACGAAATAGAAAACTTAATTTAGTAATTTGTGTTCAATTTGCTGTAAGATGAGAAAAACGATTTTTGAATGTTTACTATTTTCTCTATAAAATTGATGAATAAAATTCATTTTGTTTCTTCTTCAACAATAAACAAAATTTGTCATATAGCTGTGTATTGTATTTGTATTTGTTTCTACCTAGCATCCGAAGGTAGTTTTTAGGACACTGAGAAGCTTATGTTTATTGAACAGTGTCCTGGTATTTGAGTCCGTAGTCAGCGCCTCTAACAACTGAGCCATCCTCGCCTCACAGCTGTTTTATTTTTCATACTTACAGAGCCTTTACTCATAGTGATTAGCGCCGTGATTCTTATTAAGGTACTTTGACTACCCAATATATGACGATGCCAAAAAAGCAAAAAAGCTTTCTTATGTCATCCTGTTTAAACAAACAAACAGTTTGTTGACGGTATTCTTTACGCTGGACTGTTGGACTGGACTTTACTCTGAATGCTAGCATTAATGATCCTTGATATATTTGTTGCCAATTACACGATAGTTGCAAATTAAGTCCTGTGGAGCACGACAACATCTATTTCATTCCCACTAATAAGAAATGTAAAACTTAATGATTGAAAAAGAGAATTTCTTCGATATGTGGAGTACTTACAATCTCTTTGCGACTGCTTTAGCAACGTCTTCAGATGTCATTTTCTCCCCTGAAATTTCTTTTGGTCTTTACAATATGCAGTAAATCAGTTCCATGTTCTGTCTTACCAAATCATTTCTCCTTTTTAGTGTACGTGTTTGTGCTGTTCTCTTAAAAATTATTCAAAAACTTTACAACTCGTTTGAAATGGCCTGAGAATGAGCATCAGTAACTTCGGCACTCGACAGACTGAGCCACTTCTGATGTAAGCATTATTTCATTTGTTCCAACTAACAAGTATCTTTATGATGCTTTGTAGCACAAATATTTTGAGGTCTTCACACTTTTAAATAGGTATTTCCGAGAGAGTGAATCACGTCTAACCTTGATCGATTTAAAACATAAACCATGATACCATGCGCCGTTGTTGCTGTATCGCAGAATAGAGATGGCTGTATCCAAGGAGGCTGATTATTTAATACGCCACCACAGCGACGCACAATTGAACATGTTGATGGACACTGCATTATCAATATCATGTATTGTTTCGTTTGAATAAAAACTGGTGGTCGTGAAGGACGGGGCAGGGCTTCCTTGGGCAGGGTTTCCATTTTTTTAATAAGCTCTTCTGAATATCTATAACCAGAAAGAAGTCTCTCTCAATTTTGAAAACGAAAGATTTTTTAAGCAAAACTGTCAACTTCGTCCGTTTGCTGGTGTCTGTATGCACACACACTGTTTTGATAAAGAAAAATTTTATAAAGTCCGGGGCCGCAAAAATTTGTCAAAACTTTGACGCTTTGCAAAATAATTTTGTGAAACGTTTGCTGTCATATACATATGCTTTCAAATGATTGACATGATCTGTAAGGTATTGCTATGTACAAGAAAAACTGTAACTGTTAAGGGATCAAAATCAATGTAATCATTTTGCACATCAAAAGTTGTTTTGCGATAAAATGTTGACTTCATTTTTCAACTTACACCCCAGGGCCTTAGCTAGCATACTAACTAGGGGAAAATCACCCCTCTAGCCCTAGTGACCTTCCAAGACTCTTTCTACAGTGGAACCCCGCCTTATAGCCATTTCGTTAAAAAACAATAACCGAGATTTACGGTAAGAATAGGTGAGCCTCGTATGGAGAAGTAGACTCATCGATCGAAAGAGGGAAAGTTGAAAATTAGAGGCAGTCTGTTTTGTTTTGCTATGGATAGAAAACAGACAAAAAGAAAAAGAAAGAGCGTTTCAAAAAAGAAAATTTCGCGACCACAATTCCGACCATTCGGCAAATTTGCTGATCCATTGTCTTCAGAAACATCAGACTCGGATTATATCCCTGATGGATCTGATTGTGAAGCTGAGGAGAAGAAAATCAAATTAGCAAAGAAGATCGACAATTTTGATAAAACAGTCGCTGGAACGGGAAAAGATGCAAGATATGATAGTTTTGTTGAGAACAAAGTATTCGAAAAAGGGAATAAACCAGATGGGGATTTCGTTGCTCGACGATGTCAGTATGATGACACTCACTCTGTTCAGCAGCTATCGCAGGCAAAGAAGCTTTTCTGGAATAGAGCACCAACCGAAATTCTCGTAAAAGTTTTCAAATATTTTGTTGCAGAGGAAGCTGGGATATCTACCATTATCAGGTCTTAAGACTCACTTGACTTTCAAGATTTTCGCCAATCCAATGAGACTTTTTTTTCTTAAAGACATTAACAAAGCACGTCAAACCAGACTGACAAATATACCTAGATCATGCACAAGAATGGGGTTTTATTACCATTCTTTAAAATGTGCAATTTTTGTTTTGATATGGGGTTGATAAGTTACCAAATATTTGTATTTTTAGCACATCGTGTATACCAATTTCTAAAAAGACCTTGCTTACATTATGATATGCAAATTATTATTTTTAAAAGAAAACGAGGTGGCACCCCTCTTTGGTTTTTTAAGAGTTCCTAATCACCAGAACATCACAAAACAAGGATTCTTTGTCACATATTAAAATCTTCTTTAAAAAGAAAGCTTGGGTGCAATGCATGTGACCTACTTTGGCAGATTGGTTCTCACTCTAATTTGTAGAGTGTCTCCTTTGGAATAATAGAAGCAATCCTGCTGATATGAAAATTTATGCACTGCAATAGCTACCCAGTTTATTGTAAGACAACCTTAGTATGTAAACTATTCTTCCAATTTTTTTGTAGATGTGGAAGAGTTTGTTCGCAATGGAATTATTGTTCAAAACACCCTTCACTCTGGACAAAAGTTGACCTGTCCTTTATGTCAAACACTTCAAAAGCAAATGATAGCTGCATTAGGAAGCTAGTCAAACTTCATGGAGACAATATATCACATTTATTTCTAAATAACTGGAAAAAGATAACAAGCAAAGGACTACTGGTATAGATGTTTTACATTTTAAAATTCATTGTCACATAAATGAAGTTTTGTGCAGCAAAAATAATTCTAAGGCTATTGTGTGTCATCTTAAATTAGGTAAATCAACAAATGGTAAATGCATTTGTTCTTAAAAGCCTAGCAAATTTAAAAGAAACAGTTTTCAGAAAGACTATCTTTCTTGGACCAAAAGAAAAAAATGAATACCAATTGTTTCAAATTCTTTTCATTTCAGGCCATATCAAGTGAATGCCCAAATCTAGAGACATTGAGTTTATCAGGGTGCAGTGAAAATACCAGAAAAGATAAAGGAATAAGTGCAGAATCTGTAATGGCAATAATTGATAAATGCAATTTACAAGTTGTTGATTTGTCATGGCTCAAGGTTTGTAATATTTTGTTTTGATATATTTTATCAATTTTTTGCCACTTTAAGCTAGTTTATTAAAATGCTCAGCATATTTTCTTTTTAACAATATACTTATTAAGTACACACTCAAGTGACCAAAGTATAGTTAATGAAAATGTGTTAAGATTTAGCTGCTGTTTTGGGGTTCTAGAAATGAGATCTGCAAAAATGATAACCCTAGTAAAATCAATGAATTATCTTTTGCGTATAACTTTAAAAGTTGAAATTCTGATGTTTAATATTTAAATATCATTAATAAATGTTCTAAAAAATTTAGCAATTGTTTTTTTTTTGCAGCTTTCAAATTTTTCAAAAGTTATTCTTGCTCTTACTGACAAATGTGGCTGTAATTTGTTGAGTCTAAATTTATGTGGTTGCCCAGTTAGAGCTGCCATGCTCAACAGTATAATGGTATGTCATTTAAAGCTTTCATTCAGCATACTTTTTGCCTAATATTTCAAAACTTGCCCCTTTGAAAATGAGGGTTGTCTAACTTGTGATGTGAACACAGAGTTTTCCCCTAGATGATATTTCATGCAAATGTTAACTTCTGATGCATTTCCTTTGGTATTTTTACTATTTTGTGCCAGAAGGCGAAAGTAAATGTTCCCTCTGTTATCAGTCCTTCAAGATATTGCATGATTAAAAGTTTTTTATGAAAGATGAACAGCTTGTGCATGTTACAGGCCATCAATCTTATCCCAAGTAATTTGCATGCATTGCTTTTTACTTTTGAAATTGTAGTTTTGAACAAACTTTACCAAACTTCTATACTCTTTAAGGATGGCTGCCCAAACCTGCAAATCCTGGACATATCAAACACACTGATTTTTGACATAAATATGATCAAATTGCAGGTAAAAAGTTAATGTTTACATTTAAAATGGTATTGTTTTGATTTTAAATTAATACTTTTTCATTTGCTATGAAGTTCTGACTGACTGATTCAGTATTTTGCATTTTGTATACAAGGAAATATTGAACAAGGAAAAGTGACTTGTTGATCATGTTAAAGACCATTTTGATGTAATTATTACATTATTTTCAAAAGACAAAAAGATCCATTGATTACACTGTGGTCACTATATTTTTGTGCTGTGGACATGTAGTCAAGGTATTCCACACATTATATAAATATTGCGTTTGAGCCCCACCGGGATCACTTTCCTCAACCCTCTAGCCAACTAAGCTGTCAATCCTTTTGAGGTTGATAAATGAATATCCAGGGAAATGGTTCCAGCATATTATTCTAAGACCACAAGCTGCAGGTCCGCATCAGCTATTAGCTGCAAAAACCCTAACCTGCTTTGACAAATAGAATCTTGTTTGATTGCTTGCTTGATTATTAGCAAACTCAAAAAGTAATCCCCATTATTTAATTCTATTAATATTCCAACTTATATTTTGAAACATTGCTGCAAATCAAAATAGTATGTTTAGAAAATGTCTCCTACCCAATGGCTACTTATTGTCCTGCAAATAGCATTTTGTGTGAATAAAGAAAAGGCCACAATAGCAGTCTGCTCGACGGACTCCAAGGAGTTCTTGCGGCAAAAAATGAGCGAAAATGTAGCAAATAAGAAACACCGCAATACGACGAGAATGAACAACGATATCTACCCGTAAATTGCAACAACAGAAAGAATTCCCAAATATATTACCGGCAAAATCAAATGACAGATCCTCATTGGTTGCCTATTTTTAGTCTGTCAAGGCCCCTGGTTTAAGCCACCTTCCTAACTATTATTCACTCTAAATAATAATTTCAACATATATTGTGTAGTTTTTATATACTACCTTGCTTCATTCACTTTTAGAGCAGCTTCCCAAACCTGGTAGAGTTATATATTGCCAAAAGTAATGTGTTCATGAAGTCACATGGCACAAAAAAGGCTACTGATGTATGTATATGCAAGTTTTATTGAGTGCAGAAATAAGTAATAGGGGTGCATGAATCAGGAAACGTTTTTCTCTTGATGAATTTTTTAAATTCCTTATCAATTTTAGTAAATAGTTAAGAACCAGCCTACATTGTCACAAAAAGAAAACCTAAATAAAACAATTAACCCTAGAGTTGTCAATTTTATCTTGGAAGTTTGGATGACAAGGAGATAATTCTGCCACACACTGTCATTAGGTAGAGAGTCAAAATTTAAAAGAGCTAAAAACAGTCTGATAAACTTTACTGTATCAAGACTTCTACATTTTTGAAAAGAAAAAGGCTCTTAAGCCAGATTTTGTTATCAGCTTTTGAAAAGGACTTTTTAAAATAAGAATCAAGAGATAAGTTTTTGCTACCAGTAGAAAAGGGCTTGATATAAATGTTGTTGTATATTTTTAGCTTTTATCTCTCTTTTAGGAACCCTCCTTCAAGAATATGAAAGCTCTAAGCATACAAAGTGAACTTCTCACAGACAAGCTACTAGCATGGTATTACCCTATATTGATGAAGTACCTTGAATATTGTTTTTGAATTCATGGATTTCAACTGCATATATTTATAAGGTTAAAGAACATCAAATGATGTTACTGAGATATGAGATATGACACTATAATTCTCCTGTTTTTTGGCTTGGTTCATTCATTTGAAGCTACCAAAAAAGTCACTGTGATTGAGCTTTGAAAGTGGTTTAGCTTACATGCCAACATCAGCATTTTAGATAGATTCAGTTGTTTCATTTAGATTACATTGTCAAAATTCCAAATTCTTGTTATATAAAGTTTATGACATGATCACAAATCCACTCTATTTTTTCAAATCCACTCTATTTATTCAAGCTTCTATTGATAAAAGTTGTTGATTCAGAGCTTCCTTTCCCTGGATCCCCATCCTCCAAGGTCTTGGTGTAGTGGTACTAGATGAATATTTAATTGATTAATACCAAGTAAATATATATCAACTCATAAAAATTACTGTTTACTGGTCTGTCATAAAGTTTTTGATTCTGTATAGGCTGGGCTGTATGTGCTACCTGGTGTGAAGAACAGGACTGTTCTAAGTTGCTACTTTGAGTTTCATGCTTAATGTGATCATCAAGAAACTGTTGACCAACTATATACCAACTAATGCAAATAAATACTTTGTCCTATAACAAGCTATAACAACATGTCCTAAAAGAACCCAGACACAGAAATGGTTTTAACGGACCTGCTGACAGTCTGTATTTTGTTTCCTAGCACTACAAGAGGGGCAAAAAATCTGAAACTTTTAGACTTGCGCTCTTGCAGGCTACTGACATCCAAAGCACTTATGGTATGTTATTGCAAATTCACTCAAGCTTTAATAATCAGTCAACCAGTAACAGTTCTATTCTGCCAGCAAGTGCTTTTCCAGAGGTGCCAAAGAAGTATCAAATTCAAAGCTAGCATTCTTTTAAAGAAATATTAGTTATCGCAACATTTGATGAATATTTTTGCTGTTTAATTTATCTGCTGTAGGTAAAGTGACTTCTTACAATGAAAGAGCTTTATAAACAAAATTGTTTTCATTTATGTTTTTAGTGTGGTTGCACATACAGTTAACAACTAAGATGCATGTACCAATTTGACCTTTTTTGTCTTGAGACTTCAGAAGGGTTTATATTGAAAAAAATATTTCAATTGCAATCAAACAATTGATTTGAGCCAATAACCTGGCCTCAACCATTTGAGCTGAGGTTTGAGGAGGTTAGGGTGACAGACTACACAACCTATTGTCTGAGGTACCCCAATGTCTGAGGTATCTCATTGTCTGAGGTTTGTGTTCCTGCCATAACCAAACTTTCATTAAGAGTGCTAGGAGAGTTGCCAGCTCTATCTAATACCAGGCTTAATGAATCACGAGGTATGGTCACATCAAGAGGAAGGACCAGGGCCTAACTCAATAAGCAGAGCTTCTCAGTGTCCTAAGAACCACCCTCAAACGCAATGTTAGATAAAAATACAAATAAGGTCAATGTTCTTAAAATGCAAATAATGATTTTGTTTCCTGAAACTTGATTACCAAACAGTACCATGTGCACTGAAGGAATATTTTGGCTGAAGAATGCAAATAGTTCATTCTACTTTCCTTAATGTTTTTACTTATCAATATATTTTGAAGGTGAAATAAAATATTTGATTTTCAAGTAACTAGAATGTTTTCTGTTACAGGAAATTGAAGCTCACAGCATTGAAAGGCTTTTCTTGTCTCATTCGTGTGCATCATTTTCTTTAAGGGATATTTTAGAAAAGGTAATGGATATCTTAATATCTTTTTTTAATTTCATTTATTGCATTTATCTTTTGTATTGCATTCATAGCAAATCCAGCTAACAGAATTTTTCTGTTGCCAGTTGATTTCTTAATTAATTCTTTAAAAAAAAAGACATCTTATTGGACCATTTTTCCAGAAAAACTGCAAATTTCCAGCTATCATGCATAATTTGATAGCTTTTCCTTGATAAATTTGCAACTATAAATATGCTCAAATCATTAGAATGCAAATTTTCTCTGTTTGAAGTTGCCTCATTACTGGTAAAAAATAAACTGATGTTATAAATTAAAACATACACTTTAAAATTGTATGTTTTCATTTTTGATGCATTTACCAGCAGGTTGAATAAGAAAATAATTGCAACAATTTCTTGTATTGTTTCATCTCCAAGTTGTTTCATGAAATATTGATAAGCTAATCAAACAAATTATGGATTAATGACACTGGGGAGAAACTTTTCACAAGATTAGAAATCATAACATTTCTTGTAATCTTATCCCTATTGTTTTAAAGCCTTTTCTCTCTTTCTTCCAAAAATCAGTGGGGGGATAGCTTAGAAGAGCTGGATCTCAGCTGGATATCTGCTGGTTCCAAATTTGATGGTCTAGATGATAACATGCTAGGGAGCATTGCAAAAACTGGAATGAAATACTGTAAAATGGTTAAAATGGACCTGTCAGGTACAACAGTTAATGACCTTGGTGTCTGGTAAGTGTATCTCATTCCAAGGAAACTTTATTTTCATTGTCAAAAAATGAACTACGTATTAAAACGATTTGGCAGGACAGTTTAAATTCTAGAGGCATTTAAAAAATAGTGGCCATTTTCTTAACTTATTAAGCTCAATCTGTGTAAGAGGTAAAACTTCACAAACTGATAGAAAGAGGTAATACTTCATGGTTATGTCTGTCTCAAATGACAAATTGCTTCTTATGTTGCTTTTCCAATTTATTTCAAAGTTGAACATTCACTATATAAAGATTTTTTGTTTTCTTTCAAATCTAGGTACATATTGGCAATTTTTCCAGGCCTGCAATCACTCAATCTGACTTCTTGCAAAGGCCTTTCCCGAGGAATAAAACATTTACATGAACGAAAAAGTATAGAGCAACTTTGTAAAATGGATTTAGCTGCAAGGAAAGTATGCATAAACTAGCCGGGCTTGTTTAGGCTTTTGATAATATGAAATGTTGCACCTATTTAAATGAAGTGTTTTCTTGCACAAATAGCAGTGATGAAATTAAGAGACCAAAACATATTTGAGTTCATAGATAGCGGGGGGCTAAGGAGCTTGAACCCTCCCCCCCCATCCACCACCAGAAAATATTAAAGATACAATAATTGAAAAGTTAAATTTGAGAACCTCTATGTTCTATATAATTGCCAAAATCAAAGCCCCCAAACATTTCAAAGCCTATCTCAGCCCTTGTTTGGGTTCCCATTTTTATAAATAGGTTTCAAATCTACCCATCCAAAGATTTTCAGAAAGCTGATATCCTCTCAAGATGTCACTCAGATAATCCCACATATTTCCTCCTTTGTGTCGCGTAAAACCCTTTCAGAGGCTTAATCACATGCTAAGTAGTTGTTGCTACTCAATAACATCATCATTCTTGATATTATAAAAATGGGATTATTTTGATAATTTACATCTTATGAAATGGTAAATGCAAATACATGGCTATGTGAAATTACCTTTAGTACAAGTCTTTAATTTTTTGAATCGATCTGTTCCAGTTTTCTGTCCACTTTTCGGCTTCTTGTTGAAATTTCGTTGATTCTTCATCTATCTGATCCATACCCAGCCTATAAATTTTAACGCATTCCTGAAAACAAAAAACCAAGATTAATGAATTGAGGAAGCAAAATTCGTCTTTTAATTACGTCTTTTACAGTTGAAATCAACGTTAGTGTTGTTGCAAAATGTCAGTGTTTACAATAAGCCTTGGTCTATGGTTGATAACAGCTACTTGTTTCTTATTGTAAAGGATACAACATAAACTCCATTCGGGTCCAGGGGGCCTGGGACACTTGGCGACAAAGTCCAAATGTGGTCCTTCTCTTCCTATTTGGCATTCCAGCATTTTTCTTTAAACTTGCCTCACCCTTAGATCACAGGAGGCACAGGGAGAGAGGTACTTTCCCTCAATGAACAATTAGCAATCAGTTTTATTTTCTTTGAGTTCTACAGTCAATGCGAGTCCGGTTATAGTCACACCAAAAGTTTCTTTAAGATTTTTGACTGTAAACGGAGTATGACTGTAAACGGAGCTTCATTGCGGAGTCTTGCATATTTGGGTCTAAATTTAGTTACTGTAAAGAGTAGTGTGAGTTTAACCGGAGTAACTATATGCCGAGACGACTGTACTATGTCCTGCCCTGTGCTTCGGCGGCACCATCGTCTAAAGCATAGGTTAAACCTGGCTTAGCTGTCACTGGCACTAAATACCCACCTTGTAAACAAAATTCCTTGCTTCAATAACAGCTTTATGTGCATCAGTAACCTTCCTTGTTGTGATCAGGTTGCATTTGCCACTTTCATCGCTACCTGGCATTAACACATGGTCTATGGACAAAGTCTTCCACTCCTCTAACACGGGCTCATCATTGTCTTTCTCTGCAAGAGGAAACCCACGTGTTTTTCATTAGAAAATCGACAATACAAACGCCAATTGACAGTACATTATGGATACACTGATTTATTATCATGCACTCGTAAATCGTTTAATATGTACTTTTCTTTTTTTCTACTTTTATTTAAGGAGGCTGCTACCTGCTATCAAACTTCATTTTTGAGAACGATCTTCTTTTACTCAAAAATATATTCTAAATTACGTCATAATGCTTCAAGCAAACTTTTTTCCAAAATTAAAAATTCTACTTCTTTTAAAACTTCATAAAAAATACCTTAGCTTATTAGCTATATGTATTTTTTTGTTCTTTCTTGCCAACGTTAAAAAAATTGTTAAAAATAATAATAATAATGATGGAAACATTTCATTTTCAATTTAACTTAAACTACAATTACTAATCTTACTATTACAAGGTAATTTGCAATTGGCTAGCCTGGTTTTACAAGAAAAAACTATAACAACCGTAAAGTAAAAGGAAAAACTGAGAAAAAAAATAAAACAACTAAAGTTAAAAAGGATGTAATTCCGGATTTGTCCATGGCTTATTTTTGCAACAAAATATGTAGTACGTAGTACGGATGGCAATGTTGGAAAGTTTAGAAATGAGATACTGTTTTTGTTGCTGATCGATGGAGAGAGAGTCACACATTTTTAAGAATGAACTGCAGGAATTGCCGAAGATGCCAAGAGAGCTCATAGAAAGATTAACAAAGGAGACACATTTGAACTTCCGCTGTAAACCAGATAAGAGAGGAGCATACTTGCTGTGTAATAATAATAATAATAATAATAATAATACCTTACTGCGATTGTTTGAATATATTTAGAAGATTTCTGGCAACTGGAAGCGCCACAAATAACACACAAAAATCATGATGCTGTGGTATTGTAAATCCAGTGTGTGGGTCGAAAATTTCAACCTAGCCGTACATGGTATGTCACCTAAGTTTTAGACACATTTCTGCAGTCACGACCCATAATTGAGAGATACGTAGTATCCGCCCCTTCCCGCAGAACCAATGCAGTGACAAAAAAGGCTGATTCTGCTTGAAAACCCACCTGTTCTGTGAATTTTACATGTGTCCATTTAACATTTATTATGGGTAAGAGGGGTGAAAGTCGTCCCAGCAGATTTCGCTTTGACCCAACAGGTTCTACACTGCAAAGTTTGTATAAACCTACTTGTTTTTTCAGAGTTTCCTGCTGACATCTTTTCCCTCAGCAGCTGCTTTTCTGTCTTTGGTTTCGGTATCAACTCTGAAAATTTAGAATTTTATTCAGAAATTTGGATATTTTAACATATGATATCGTACAAAAATGAGCCAGCCATAAGAACACAGGCCTTCGAAACTACGAGTCGGGTAATTATTGGCATTACCATGAACGCGGGGCAAATTAGTTTTGCAAGTTGGGTACGAGATTTCCACCAAAACAAAAGGATTTCTGTGAATTTTCTGACAAAGCAAAAGGATTTCTGGGAATTTTCTGACAAAATGAAAGGATTTCTGCGAATTTTCTGACAAAATGAAAGAATTTCTATCACGTATACGTGATTTCCATAGAGTGATTTGCATCACGACTGGAAAGTTTCTATTGATGGCAATTCATAAAATAAAATCAACAAAAAAGAAGTACAATAAGTCCGCATCAAAAATTTATGCGAATCAAATACAATGCATTGGTAGGATTTTGAATTTTAGCTCATGCAAACGTCCTTTACACGACAACAGCACAGAAAAGTAGAGGTTTAAACCTGATCTTAAACAATTATTTCCTTCTGGTGCAACAATTAACCTAAGGAAATCTCAAGCAACGTTTGCCCACCAAGACGAGATTTGCATGCAACCTGAACGCTTCTTCTATGCAAAAACATGATTGTGCCCAAAGGAGTTCGGGAAAGTTTTCTTTAAACCGACAAAAACAGAAACATTGTTTACAAGGTGGTAGAATAGAAACACGTTGTTACATACGTCCTTGTTGGATGTCTTTTTTAGTTAGGTAAACATCAAACTTGGCTAAAAGCTGCAGTGTCAAGTCATTCAAACTTGTTGTAAAATCTATAGCGTGCTGGCTTTGTATTTCCTGAAAATGAAACGGCATCTCAACATTAACTGTGCTGAAACAATATCTGATGTTCTGACATTGAAGCGCAACAAAAGCTTCAGTGATAAACATCAACCAGTTTCCTCGATATCGCCCAGGGATAGCATAGCATATCGTAGTATCTAGCGTACTGTTTTCGGATGACATGAAATTAAAACTGCTTTTAATTTAAAACACTGTAACACGACGTCAACAAGCTTCTTTCACGTCCTTTTAGGAAGCTCATAGATTTATCATGGCCTCTAGCTTACTGAATTTTGATCACCTGAAACCAAAATTGCCTTTAAAGACTTTATAGTAAACTACTGTAACACGACATTAACCAGACTGATTTCAGTGTATCGTGTTTAACACACGTTATTTGCATGTGACAAATGAACCAAACAGACACACTGAAGCAATAAGTAACTGTTGGATAGTTAAAATACTACCATCCCTTGGTAACACGTGGGCCTAAACGTGATTGGTATGATAAACACATAATAGAGGAAAATATTATAAAGTTCAGCCTCAATTCTCAATTTGCAATCAGAAGTACCATTTATTCTAGAGGCTTATCAGCGTACTTCAATAAGCTTTTGATAAGAAAGAATACATTTTATTATTTTGATGTGTTCAGTAAAGGGTTGCTGTTAAATTTTTTCGTTATCTGCTCTTACGCCAGATTGAAACAGTAAGAATTAGGTGCCCAACCCACTGTCACCACGTTATCGCCCTCTAAGCCAAAAGACATTCCTCACATATTCCATAACCAGATCGAGCACAAAGATGGCCAAAGAGCTCAAAGTTACACGAATACTAGACAATCGCGAAAATTTACATGAATATTTCTTACCTGGTTTTCCCTTATGAATGACGTAACTAAATCAGCAAACGCAATTTTTCTGCTTTCTTCGCTAGCTTGCAATTTGTCCAGCTCATTTCGATTGCCTGGGTGACCAAGTGTCGGTCGAAGTAGTGTTTGGTTCTCTTTCTGAATTAAAAAGAAAACAGATTCACATTGTTCATGATATGACAACTGCCATATAACTGCGTTCTATCATATCACAACCTTAACCAAATTTACTTATAAAAATCATGAATTTTTATCAAACATAAATTGGATTTTAAAGCATATAGAATATTCTTCGAAGATCTAAAATATTTTCAGATATAAATATCAATGCCTTGATGTTCAATTTTTGGAGGTTTCCGTTATCATAAATCCTTAAAACATTACAAGTATCAAAAAATTTTCCATCAGGAACGATTTTCTCAATCAAACAAAAACCACAAAATATTTCTGAGCAAAAATAAAAATCTTTTACGAACATTCTGGTAATTTGATAACCATCAAAACCTATCTACAATTAGTTCTTAAAAAATATCAGCAAGATTTTCTTGCTCTTTTATGACTTACTAACAAATGAAAAAGAAATATGGAAGCATTGAAATTACATAACTTTGCCAAACCATTCTATTAAAAATCGTTTTATTTATAAGCTATTTGTTTTATCTTATACATTTTCCTAGATATTTTCTTTGTATTAACTTACAGTTGATCCATGTTCTAAATATTCTAAATAATGAATAAATAATGAAAATATTTTTAACAAATTTGAATTGATAAGTTTTCCTAGATATTTCCTTTGCATTAAATTACAGTTTTCCTTGTCAAATCAGTTGGCCAATATTCTAAACCACAGGACTACAAGCTACGTAACCTCAGTAAACATCAAATAATTCATTTTTAAGACATGTATAAAAAGTTTCACACCCTGTTCTAGCGGGTCTTACGCACGCTACTAGCAATACCATAAATGCTGTGATGATGACTGGTCGATAAAGAGCCAATAAAACATAATTGGCACTGTTTTCCTTTGAATTATACAATTTTCGTTATTTCCTTTATTATCCTACGTTTGATGCAACAAGAATCCTTACAATGTGAAATTCAAATACAGCCTATTTTAAAGCCTGAAGTGAGGAGTCTCGCCATTACACTAACCTTTTGCCTCTCCAAGGATTCATACGTGGTAGCAAAATGCCTTCTTGATGTTTCTTGTGATCTTTTCACAGCTGATAAATACTGTTTGTAAACATGACTCATAATAAGTGGAGGAAACTTCACTAAACTTTTTCCGAACGTTTCGACTTGTGCCCGAAGTTCTGAAATGAGAATTTCCACGTTTACATTCTGAATATAAATTCTTGATTAATATAGATATTCGAAATTATTTATTAAAATAGCACAAAAAATATCATCTTAAATAATCAATTGAAATCTACTTATTGCTAACTAAAAAAATCAAAAATGCCAATAAGCAGCTGATAACTTGAGAAACTGTAAAGCTTATGAAAGATTAATTATTCCTGTCTTGTCTAGATTTTAGCAAAAAGACACCGATTTGTAAAAAACAGAGTCAAATGGGTCCAAAGATTAAAACATAAAACATACAATCGAAGCATACCACAAATGAAAAAAAACAGCAAAGAACGTCTTGTTTTTATGTTTAATAGTTTTACTTGTCTCTCGGAAAAGTTTTCGGTGCAAAAAGTCAATAATATTCATAACTGATATTAGATTTAAACCTGGATCTATAATAGCATAAGATTGATATTTAACAGGTCGTAGGAATAAGAGTAAAAGATGAATACAAAACGAAATATATTGTGCAGTATTAAATTATACACTTTGTGCAGTATAAAAACATCGCCCTTTTCGGACACAGGTATTTCAAAACAAATATGCATACATATCCAAGGTAAAAATTTCGGTTGAAGATCTACTTTACATGAAGATGCTCGACTAGTTAGATAGAAGGTAAATCCCCTTACAAAGTTGCTTCTAACTTCAGTAACAAGTAGACATAGGTAGTTTTACGCTGGAAACTCAAATCATAGATACCGGTTTGGCAAACTGAAAACCTCCAAGGGCTTAAGATAAGTGGATAATGATTACGAACCTTGAATACAAGTATTGCGATAATCCTCGGCCTGCACTTGATATGATTGCAATCGGTTAATCATCGATTCAGCACACATATCAAAGTTGTCATGGATAGCTGATGGCCTAGTGGCAGATCTGCTACCTTTCTGACGATAATACATCTGCGAAAAATCAAAAAACAGTTGAAGGCCAAACTCAAATGAAAGAAGGACACCTATCGAAAAAAGATTTTGACGAAGCAGAATAGGCCGGTATAAAATTTGTGCATACAGAACTTCAAAGTCAATGATTAAAATAATAATAACAGGAGGTTGATATTCTTACCTTAGCATGCGAAGTAAGAAAAATCTTGAAAATTAACAATAAGATATCCCAATTGTCCTTTGTCGTACTTTACATTGGCAGAAAATGAACTTATAGCATCCTTAACATGCAGGTAAAAAGCGAAAATAGGGTGAAATGGGGTATATCTAAGCATGCCTTTTAAGCCGCGAGACCTTCAAATAAAGATATATGGTAAATATGCAGCTAAATTAGTTTTCAATGCATAATTCGTGACAGTTATATATATTAAAATTGGACAAAGCATAAAAATTGAAAATGTAAGAGATTCGAAATCTCTAAATAAACATCTGTAGATGACAAACAAGGGGCAACATACATCGGAGGAAACGAGCAAGCCATCCAGACCCTCTCTGCATATCCTCACTATATGACCGGGGAAATGATCTCTGTAAGAAAAGAATATGACATTGAAACAAGATTCATACAATTAATCTGCGTAATCTAAAAGATATGCAGAGGTAACGATGGGAAGTTTCCGCTAAAGAAGGGACTTGTCCTGGACCAACAGCTTGATGAAATAGGGTAGTGAGTTATTATGAATATATGGTGGTGATGATGCCAATGATGGGTCAAGCTTTTAGCCCAAACCTGGCAAGGATAGATCATGAAAAGTATAAACCCTTTTCCATATAAAACTTTTCTTCTGATGTTTTCAGCACCTTAAAACTAGCTAAATCCCCAGTTAAGATATTGACTGTATACTACCTTTCCACTGCAACCTCCAGAAAGAAAATCAGACTATTTGATTTACTAATCCATCTCATGTATTCTCCAATTATTTTTAAGACAACAATCTTTCCACCCAATCTAATTCGGTACTACCTATCTTGCTCATATCTATGTGTTTGGTTTCTCGAAATTCAGCAACCTACATTGCTATCAAGATCAAATCTCCAGATGTAGAGCCACTGTATGGATAAGCTGGAACTAATCCATTGTTATTATTATTATTTTCGTTCGTGTTGCCACTCTTAATGTAGATTACCCACTTTTTTGTCTCCACGCGTTATCACTGGAGATATGCTACGACGTAACCCTTTGTTATTTACTACTAACAATGTGCAGGTATCGTGGAAGTGTCTGTTGGCTTCGAAACCAATTTGGCCAGCAACTTTCGGCGTAAAAGACAAAAAATGCTGAACTCATCAAAGACCTTGACCCACTTTACGATCAAGTTAAATTCATCAACCTGTCTATCAGCTGCCCTGGCATTTTAGGCAAATCTTGTTCTACCTTTATCGGTATATGCAACGAATTAGCGCTCGATAGTCACCATCAAAAGTATATCATCTCCAAAATGTCAAACATCGCAATACGAACCACATACTTCATTTACTGCTGCAGGAATAAGAAATAGCCTTCCCCTGAAATTCTTTCTTTTAAACAACATATTTTTTACCTTTACAGGTCAGCCAGTTGTAGACTACCTAGTTATAAAGCGAGGTTTACAATTGCATTTAGCTAAAAGGTGTTATTAATGAAAAGTTTTTATTATTATCTTTGCTAAAGCGACTTACTGAATTTCTTCTGTACCATCTCCAAACGCTAAGTATTTCTTGTCATATTTGGTTGACAATTTCGACACGCTGCTTTGGGTGTTACTGCTAAGAATACAAAAAAGACAGTGTAGAAGAGAAAGAAGATAAAATTGTAGAACAATAACTAAAACGCTTGCATACGAAAGCGTAAAGGTTCATAAACTGTCTTTTCTATTCACAAATTCCCTCTATAACACCATATTCATTTTCAATCAAGCCAAAAGGAGACATCAAGGGGACATCAAGGTGACATCAAGGTGATGCCAAGGCGGTGACAAAAGGGTTTACCTCGAAAGCTCCTAGAATGCTACCCACTTTGAGATGTGCATCAATTTGACGTTGTGGACGGATAAAAAATGTAATGGCAATAATGATATAGTTCACAATACCTTCCCGATTTCGTTTTGCTTAGCTTCTCACCGTCGGACTCTGATGATGCTTTTACCAGAACCTGCAAGCATGCAACAGTATGGTCTCTCAATTTCAAATATAGAATATTAGCTTTATTAATATTCTTCCTCACAGAATCGTTATATCTGGTTTCAGGACAAATTTTTAGCAAGGGAATCACCGTAATGGTGGGAGCTGGCTTGATTTCCACTCATTTTGTAGCTATATCAACTATGAAATCCTGGCTAAGATGACCCATTTACAAGCAAACATTAATATCTTAAAAAAGTAAAATTTTGACCGGAAAACTCGCAGAAATCGTGTTTAGGACTTGCTTTTGCCTCTTACGGTCGCTTAAAATGTTCAAAGAGCCGAGTGTTATAGTGAGGAAAACAACATTGCGTCTTCTTAAAGCATCCAGTCTAATCGCTTAGCATCCAAGTCAAACACCCTAGCTTCTTGATCTCCCTCCCCATAAAAAATTGACTTTTGCTAAACTTTGGCTATGTTCTAATAAACATACTTAGATATTATAAGGTACTAATAGTGACAGCTCTCATTATTCACCATATAAAATTCATAAAATACTAAATACAGTGAAGAGCCTTACGGATGCTTTACTTGAAATCCTTGTTGCTGGTACAGTGCCAGGCCGTTGATCGCTATCCACAAACCGGGTAGCTGCAAATATGAAAGTAACATATAAAATCTAATAAATAAGGTATTCGAAAAGGGGATCGAGTAGTTTTAATTCTCGCCCAGTTAATCTACAAATAAGTCGGTTTTAAATCTGCTAGATTCATAGCTTTATTGGCTTTTTAAATGTTTTAGTTATTTACCTAGAGGGATTTCTAACAATCAATATTGAAGCATTTACTTACAAGAGCAGGAGACTTCAAATTCAAAACCACGACCCGTGAGCGAAATGGGACAATTATGTTTATATTTCAAGATCTCAAAAATATCTCAAAAATAAAATGCTGACAAATCAGGCATTTATCAACAGGTTCTATAATTGAAAAACATCCACTGATCATGTGACAAAAGATCGAGAACGTTGTTTTCTCCGGGTATGTTTTTTATTGCTGGCATTTTCTTTGTTGTCACTGTAAATTTTGTCGATCACGTGATTGTAGAAAATAAGGAGTCTGGGAAAGAAAAGAGAGGGAGTTGAACCTAGGTAGTAGAATAGAGGAGGATCGTTACTTGGGTTGTGCGCACGAGAACTATAAATTGCTTCTTGGAACATTTTAATCGTTGTTACTTGCAGTAGTCTTCAAGTTAACCGTATAATTTGTCTAGGGTATTCAACTAATTTATCCGCGTTTAAAAACCTCTTATAATGCATATAATTTGTTTCTGTTGTGTTTAGAACTAATATCTGGAGCTCACTTAGCCGTCCGCTCAAATGTGTATGCTGAAACGTGGCTGCAATTACCCCCAGAGGATTAAAACTAGCTACCATCCTAAAACGATCGTAGTTTTTTGGCAGTAAACAAAGTTTCACATTTTAATACCGACTTTTCAACTAACATGATTTGGAAGATGTAATAATTTTTGTTCTTGACGATTTACTGATGCTTGATTCGGATCCCTTCTGCTTACGAGACCTGCAAAGATACAATCGATACTTCACTGGCAAAATCACAACAAAATTCACATTCGTAGTTACCCTGGGTACCAGTTTTTTCTACTTTCACGCTCGAAATTTTGTGGCTCTGGTACCCGGGGTAATTCGAAGTGCTTGCGGTCTCCAAAGAACCGTTATTCAACTCTCAATAAATTATAAGGATGTGATTGGGATATAAATTGGCAAGCAGAATTAAAACGTCATACCTATTTCGTTTAAACATTACAAATGTAGATGCTAAGTGGTAGATGAGATTGGGAAAAGAAATAAAAACTTTTGGGTGAAATATGTGGTATCCTAGCACAGTCGATAATAAATCTATTAGTATCTTCTGTTTCAGAATAGAAAGTTTTTAATTTCCCCCCACGTATTTCGAGAGATTTCGATGGGTACAGCGGATAAGTGGAAGTTGGATGGTTGTAAAAAGGGCAACATGAGTTTGGAAAATCTGAACATTTACAAAATAATTGCAGTGATACCTATAAAGGTAAAGAGATTAACTGATGTTTTTACATTTGTGGGAGCAAGCCATGCTACAGATTGCTAATTTCGAAAATTGATCTAGAACAAGTCTGAAAGTCAATACAATACACAGAGTTTGTTCGTTGCGTGCTAAGAAAATGAAAATTTAAATATATGCATTGCCCGAAATTTGGGAGACGTCATGACCTTCCCTAACACACTGACCTTCCCTATTCCAAACTCAGTTGGTGATATTGACTAAATCAGGTATGATTTACTGTCATTTTTGAAATTCTTATCTGTTATTAATCTTCAAAAATTATTCAGATACCTTAAAAAGCTAAAGTGCGACACTAACTTGAAAAGGTCAACCTTTTAATAAATCAGGAACAATTTAATCATGCGAATTCTTAATCCTCAGCCAATGAGCATTTTACTGAAACTTTCTTTGAGCAATAGATGTCACCTCCTTCAGAAAATTGGCAATAAAATATTTTATGTATTGATTTGACAGTTCTTCCTACCAAATGTGTAATTAATCTAACAAAGTATAATCAAGATAAATAGGTATATAAATATTATTAGCCTACCAACCTTTTACTTGTTAGTTTCGTTTCCTCCTGTTTGGGATCTGTTTTTGACAATGTAGACTGCAGTTCTGCTAATGTCGAAGGAGCATTTTCATCGACAGCACAGTCAAGATATTTTACTCTGTGATGAAACGCTTCCAATATTGGCATTAGAGTTTCATGCAACTGACTTGCATTAATCTGCTATTGAACAGAAAAAAATCAGTTTCAGTGGTAGGCGAAAGTTATCGATAAAAATTAAAAAACATTACAACATTACACAAGTCTTGTTGGAGGAAAATAGCGCTATGACGTCCTCTAGTGTTTGGCAGAATTTTTTTCGTACTTTATCTAACTTCGGTATATAAGTGTTTTAGCAAATTGCTATTTTTTATGTGAATCTATGCCTTTGAAATCGATTTTACGTTACCAAGTCACGGGCGTTCCCTATTAGTGAACTTTGTGCTGCCTGTTACGGAAGCGTTTTCTGACACTAAAAAGGGCATGACCTGAAAACTTTGGCCAGTTGCTGGTGCCACCACTGTAGGTGAGTGATTTATTAAAATACAAGAATCTAAAACTATTTGCTGTAACGTTTACACAGGTTCTTAATGAAGATTCCATTTGGGAGAAAAAGTGTTGCTTTTCACTGATGAAGAAATAAATTTACTGAAAAGTGCCAAAAATTCCCTGAGAAACTCTGGCTTCTTTAGCTCCCCTTTGGTTGAGCCACATCATAAAATTACTTTGAATAAAAAAGCAAAGCTAAAAGGATGTTTTCTATTCGCACACTTAGAACATCGGCGCCTTTATGGCGTCATCGAACCTCTGATACTTCGACTGGTGCTTAGACAAAAGGGAATTCTAAGTTTATTAGTACTATAACTGCGTTATTCAATGAAAATTCGGCAATTTCAAAAGTCAGAGTTACATATGATAGCTACATAGAACAATTTTTTGCCTTTTACAAAAGTGTCTGCCAGGTGTGACAACATATTGCCTCTTGCAACAAGATATTTTGTAGAAACCTGAAAGCGTTCTTGGCCAACGTACTACGACAGAAGCAAGGCAGTTATTATGTTGACCACCTAAACTGTTAATTGATTCAAAACAGCTACATGCTTCGATTTTGAAAAAAAAATCTTTGAAAATTACACCTATATAATTTCCATCCTGACAGGGTTCAACCTGATTAAGCTTGACATTCTCACCCCGCTCCTCCTACTCGATCACACATCCAAAGTAGATTGGCTTTGATACTTACTTCTCTGTCTAGATTGGGTCTTAAAACAGCATCAATACGCCTGTCAAATGTCGCTATCATCTTGGCAAGTTTCTGCGCTTGTGTGTTGCTATTTGCAACCTTAAATCGACAAAAAACACAAGTCGGTAAGCAAGTAATAAATACTAACTCATGGGCTCCGACAAAGGTTGAAAAGTGGGGGGGGGGGGCCACGGAAAAATTTAGCACCCATAACAAAAGATTTTGAAAAAAACTCTATTGTTTTGCAAAAAAGTGGGGGGGGGCAAGGCCCCCGGCCCCTCCCTTCGTCGGAGGCCCTGTAACTGCATTAATCAACGCCGCTTCAATACATAAGATAAAGCTATCCACATTCCTCCGAAACTTTTATTGAGTGCAAACCAAACGGAAAATCACAACTGGGGACACACCTATTTCTTACGTCCTCCCTTAGACTAAAGAATCGATAGGCCATGTTTCACAGTTTTATTCGTGCTGAAAGTAAGAATCGAATGAGCAAATCTAATGCAACTGACATCAACACACAGAGCAAATCCAAGAACACAATCCTTGATTATTCCTTTGACCGTCAGAGGCAGGGTTGAAAAGATTCAAATGAAAGCCAGTTGACACCATGCTCGAAAAGGATAACCTGGTGCCTCTGAAATTATCATCAACAGGATTATGGGTTGGGACTTACAATAATGATAAACAAAACTTTGCACAGTTTCCTAGACAAGGAATTGTTGAATGGTAGGGGTGGGTCCTGTAAAACGTTTTGAGTGTTTTGGGGTGCTTGGCTAGCAGTTCGAAAGACTGCCCTAAATGCAAACCCTCCAGGGTGTTTCGCCTGGAATATCATTACCCTCCCTGGGTGGCTTGCCCAGCATAGTTACGAAGATTCATGCCCCTGTTGTATCGTTATTGTACCGTAGTTTTTGTAGTAGTGTATTGGAAATTTCTATGAGCATAAAAAAAGAAAAAAAAATGCTAACTAAGATCAACAAGGAAATAAATAGTTTATAAACTCTATTTATTTACAGAACTTTGGTCATAATAATGACTTTTTAAGGCACGGCTGAATTTCATAGTTTTGACCAATTAAACTATATGACAGAAAACTCAAAATGTGAATTTGTTAGAAATAAACCAATTCCAAAAGTGAAAAGTTTCCTGTCATTAGAGCTCGGTTTCCTTGCTTATAGAGTAGACTCCGGTTGAAGTTACACCAAATGTTGCTTGAAAACTGATTGTGACTGTAAGCAGTTGATAGTTTTTTATATTTGAGTCTAAACCTAATGTGACTGAGTGGCTATAAGCGGAGTGAATGACTTATTAATGCTTGGGCATGATGAAAACAAAACTTGAGATAAATTCACCTCCGATTTGATCTTCACTTGAATATTAGTAAGCCATCGTGATATTTTTTCAAGGTAGGTCAAATCGAACAAGTGATGTTTGAATCTGCGCGAAAAGAAAAGGAAAATTTCTCGTTGAAATCCTAGACATGAAAACCAGTACTATAAAACTAGCTACGATTAATAGTCTAAGTACCGTAAATCCTCGAATAAGCCCCCGGGGGCTTATTTGCAAAAATGAATTTTTGCGTGGGGGCTTGTTCGAGGGGGGCTTATTGGAGGGGAGGCTTATTTCAAAGTTTAGTATTTTCCCCAAAGGTCGACATAAAAACGACATTACTTTTCTGACAAATCTAACAAAGAACTAACAAATATAAAAATTTTTATCATCACAAAAGTCGCTTTTTGCTTGTTGGTCTCCAGTCAAAGGAAGTAAATAGCTATTGTCCTGTGGGGGCTTTCTTTAAATAAGATATTTGAATCTGCAATTATGCTAACTATGATGCTTATATATTGCAAACACAATATACTGCAATGCAAACACGATATACTGCAATATCTTACCTCTCTTCAAGTTTCCCTGAGTATTCATGAGCCGCATCCAATCGTCTAGTTTCCATGCCTTCAAGCTCGGCCATCATTGAGCCTTCGGCATTGTCAATTTTGGTAGCCATATGTTCCTGATAAAAACACACACAACGTAAATTTTATTGCTCTTGGTTGGGGTGCTCAATCAATTTTTCCAATAAATGATCCCTCTAGTTGATATTGTTCTCAAGCAATTGGCCCTCAACAATTCAATCCTTCTTACGGCACTGTATTTTATCTTTTGATAATTAGGAATTCTATGATATCTTTGATTTAAAAATGCTTTGAGTATCTAATACGCAATGCTATTATTAACATCATCAGTTACGTTTACATTATTAGTAGATGTGAATGGTTTTGGTGCAGCTCGACAAGAGAACCATTCACCAAATTATCAAAACGAATTTGAAATGTCTTTAAAAGGAGTGGAGTGCCAACATAGTGTAAAGGTTTCCTTTTGGCTTTATCACGATTTCTATCTTCACTTCTCAGGTTTAGGAGTGCTGTTAGAAGACACCTGACAAAAGAAGCATTTCCCTAAAATATTCTTTTATGTAAATTTTACTTCGAGCACAAGTTTACAATAAGTAGCCAATGACTCGCCTTTAAAATCAAAACTTTTAAGTGATAAAAACAAATGTACTTAATTTCAACATTATGCTGAAAACAAAGAAAAATATGCCCAAATCTTTTTTAGGCTGCCTTACCAATTTTTTTCGAAATTCTTCAACCTCTTCAGGACAAAAGTTTCCACCCTCAGAAAATATCCTATGGCAAATACACCACACTATTGACACTTAAGAATTACAAGGAACTTCGTGTTTAATAAGGAGGATGAAAACATGATAGAAAATGTCTTTTCCTTCTTCAATAATAATAAATTTAATTCTTATTTGATATGCTGATTCATCTATCATCGTTTTATCGGATACTCTTAAACAATGAGATATCGGATATCGGAAACAATGAGAAGTAGCTTTTACAAATTGCAGCTAACTCAGAGAGCTTTGTTAAATACAACAACCTGCAGTGACCTGATATGCCGGTGGAAAGAGTTCTGAAGTTTGCAGGGACGTAGGGACCATTTTTCAAGGGAGGCACGAGCCCCCCTTAGCCCCCCTAAGCTCCCTCCCAAAAAATTATAAAAATTTCCCTTGTATTCCTTATGGAATTTCAAATGAATGATCCCATTTGTTCATATTTTTCAAACAATGATTGGTCCTTGTAATTCTATTATTCCAAAGGTACTAATTCGAATCTCCGTTTATTGCAATTAAAACAAAGGATTCTCAATTAACGTACTTGAGCATTCGACGGAATCTAGCGTTTGAATTCCTCAAATTATTGAGCATTTCATCTAGGTCTTGTCTAAATTTCCGCAAAGATGCACGAATAACCTTCATGTACTGAAATACAAAAGATTCGTTGTTATCAGATGAGAAAGATTAACAAAATAACTCGAGTCTACCTAAAAAAGGGAGACTGACATGCAAAATCCCTTCCTCATTCTATCATGCAACATCTCAACAGGGTTTGTTTTTATGGTTCAGTTGTTGTAAAGTTGTTTTTATGGCAATGTTGTGAAGTTCATGTTATCATAGTGAGCAGAGAACTTGAAAGACAGCCTAGTTTCTAATGATGTTGATATTCTCAAAGAGCTGATAAAATGAACTAAAATCATAAATGAGCTGAGAAAACAATACCTCGTCAAGTTGATTTGAAACCTCGTCTTTTATTGAAAGTAATCTAAAAAGATGTTAGCAAATATTAATGTATTTATAATGTAAGTTGAGTCAAATGCAATGCTGCTTGAATAGAAAATTACAAGTTAAATATTACAAGTAAAACCGGTACCGTGCAAATGAGACCATCCCAACATTATAAGCACAACCCCTCATTGATCTAGAATTTATTTGATAGAAATATATTAAACCTACTCATGTGACTTTGTCGCACTAACAAACGTATTTTCCAAAGATTCAACCGAGATCTTGAACTTTTCTGTCTGTAAAAAACAACAGGCATCTTTCATGAAAACGAGCTTATTTAAATTGCAACTATTTTCCACTATAGCGTATTTCCTCTAATGAACGTCGCCCTCTATTGAACGCCGCACCTTCAGCCAACTATTTGAAGAAAAAAACGCCGCCCTCTGTTAAAAACGCCGCCCTCTTTTGAACGCCGCATCTTGAAAAGTGGCGTTCATTAGAAAACAGACCAAACATGAAGTAACGAATCGTTTATAAGCTTACTATTCAAAAGCTATGAAAGTTGCTATGTCATAGAGACGGGGACTCCTATGACAGAAACAGGGATATTGACATTCCTTGACATTTCCATAATGTGAACACATCTTTAGTGAACTTTAGAAAATTGTTTACACGATCTTTATTACGTGTCTTATTACGGAAAAGAAAAAATTGTTTACAGCTTGTTTTTATCTTTTTCGTCGCACTTTTCTTGCCATTTTTCATTTGACAAACTTTCTATCGAAAGCCGCATACAAAATTTAGAATATTTAATAAACGCCGTGGCGTTCTTTAGAGGAAATACGGTACACATAAGCTTATAAATACGTTGGGGATTGTTGGGAGAATTATCATTTCCATGCATTGGCAAAATTTCAAAAAACTTCATGGAAATTCAGATAAACTCTCTGTAAATTGACAATAATTCTGTTGAATCTTAAAGAGAGTACAATTACAAAAATTTCACAAGTTACTCTAGAAGCAAAGTGTCCAGACTTTTATGGGTTGATATAGTGTTCATAAAAGCTGCTATGACAAACACCAACAATCGTGAAACCAATAGTGACTTGCGTCACACGTTTTTCGCAGTGTCAAATAGAGTTCAATAGTCATGACACCATATAAATAGGCTTTTTGCATTCTTAAAACTAGACGATATAACCGAAAGAAGAATCTTTTACGAAATTGCTGAGACGTGTCCAGATGAGCAGACGGTCTTCTCCAATCAAATCACTTTAATTTTCTTTGTTCTAAACCTATGAACCAGGCAAAATGCAGTAGCAAAATTCAGTTCTGTCACTTTTTTATCTCAGTAAATTTGTAGAGGATCTTACAGATGTTGTATTTTCAGATAGTTCACAAATATGGCTATTCAATGAAACAGAAAAATTATAAAAATTGATATATGATGTCATGCTTTATTGGCACAATGTTATTACCTCGCTATCATGCTCGTGAATCATGGTTGAAAACCTCGATTTGAATGTTGACAGCGAGTTAAGGATTCCTTGGCAATGCTGTGTGACCCGTTCTCTGTGGACAACCAATTCGGCTGCAAATTAACATGACATAAAAATCAATGTTTACAGGTCTTGTAAGCTTCAACAAGGAGTATTTTAATGAAAAGAACTAGAAAATTGTCAAAGCGAGCTGCAAAGAGCTCTTGGTAGACAAAGTAAATTATCGAATAAGCACCCCCTGAATGAGTGCCTTCTACTTAAACGAAAATGTCTCCTTAAAACGAGAAATAATTTTGTACTGACTCTGTAAAATTAATATTCTTTATATAACATCGAATGTAAATGCAATATTGAAATTTTTATCTGCAGCTTTCTTTGAATAAGCGTCCTCCCTAACAATTATAGAACCTTGAATTATTGCTCATTTTAAGGATTTACGCTACCCAAATTTTATTTTAAGAAATAAATCAACATGGGTATTACCAGCTCTCACGTTGTGGACGTCTTTCTCTGCTCTATTTGGCCTCGGTTCATGCAGATGTAAGCGCAAATCAAGCTCATTGTTAAGCTCCTCGATCTGCAAACAAATAAACAACTAAAGAACCAAATTATTTCTCCGTTTCCTTGATGCAGCACTCTTTCTTGCATTCAAAAGTTTACAAAATACACTTTAATGCAGGCTTACAAATGCTATTTACTGAATTGCAAATATAGATAAAATACTATTTAAATAAATTGCAACAAACAAAATACCCTTTAATATTCAACAGGTTACAAAGGTGGCTAGGCCTATCAGTTTGCGAAAATCATTGACTATGGAAAAACACATGCGTGTGCTGTACCTGAACACAAACGATCGCCTTCAATGATGGCTACGATTTTCTATAAACAAGAATTGCAAGATTTCTTCACAATAAACGAAAGACAAAATCTAGAAGAAGAGGCCACTAAACCTGAACCAAGATTTCAAATATATTAGTTGTTTACATATAGGCCTATAATTGTTTAAATATTTGCAAAGATGATGATGATTATCAATATAATTTAATAGCCATGAACATAATGATTAGACGTCTCACTAATACACGCAGAGAAGATGAAAAGAAAAAACTAGAACTTACATAAAAACCAAGCACTTTTTTTAATTTTGAAGAAGCACATTTTTTCTAATGTCCTTTTCTCTTTTTTGCGTCCCATTCTTTGTGCCTGTCCTCATAATCGTTATTTTAACTTACTACCTCATCGTACCATATTTCGTTACTACTGTTGTTATATCCGTGACATCTAATCATTACATTCAAGGCGCTTTAGTCTGATTAAAGTCATCATTTTCGCGTACTCTGATTTAAACAAACCTTTGCGGCCATAAGATTTTCTGATTTATTTATCGCGTCCGTTTTCCAAAACTCGAGATGTTCGAGAAAATCTTTTCGTATCCTACAAAAAACCGCATGTAAACTGTTATATTCAAAAAATGCTATGAAAAGAGGAAAATGCTATCCATTGTTATGTTATGTATTGTCAATTCTTAATGCAATTTATTTGAATATTGAATGACGAATGGGCTAAAATATGAGTTTCAAACATGCTTACAATTCTTTGGTCTCGTCAATAAGGATGTCACTGATTTCAAAGCTTGCCACATACGGCATAACTTCCATTTCATCTGTAGGAAAGGAAGATTTAATATTAAGTATCATATGTAAAGGTTGAAAAATCAATTGTTATACAAAAAAACCATGCACTGTACCATGCACTGCATAGATGTAAACAAGAATTAGATGGACTACATTCATACAGTTCTAAGCTACAACTCCGCGTTTCACGCTTGATGCAATCATAAGGTAATTCTGTGTACAGCCCTGCCTATACGGCATCGAGCAGTACATGACATAACAGTAAAATAGTAATTTTCGTTAGCATATGACAACAGATACAAACAAGTAGTGGTCAGAGAAGAAAAGTAGGTCCATGAAAGTAAAATGTAAAAAAGATCCAACAAGAACATGGAAATGAAAGCAGAAAGAAATAGGGCAGCAAGCGGTAGCATCAGAGGATTGTCAATTTATAAGCACACAATTTGTAGTATGTTCTGTCTGTATGTGTTAAGCTAGGAGTTTCATTGAAAAGTTCTCAGAGAAATATCTTTTGAAAGCTGTAGGGACAAATAGGTTTATGAAATAAGCGATTACCCAAGTTATCTGTGAGAAATGTGTAATTGGTTCGAGTGGTTGCTGTTGTATCTGGAGGTGCTATTGGTTCTTCCTTGTCATTTACTAAATAATAAATGACTCCAGATGACAAATGGATCGCCTGGTCTTTACATGGTTCCTATGTGGAAAAACTTCAAAATATCAGGATCGTCAATCATATGAATCAATGCTTAAAATAGAAGACGATTTTTCGTCAAATAAAATAAGTTATCTACAGTCTGTTGCAATAAAAGGTAAGAAAAGTCATGCTATCTGATCAAATGAAATTATATGATAAGGCAGCCAGGAATACAAAGCTTTTGCACTGTTTAACGCACGCAAAAATGAAAACACTTAAAGCGAAAGCAATTTTGACCCAGAAGCACAGAAATACTTTTTTTATAAGAAATTGAGGTAATGATCTTCACTTTAATACTAAAGATGATTAATAAAAGAGAGCTTGCCTCTTCGTGCGACGCTTTTGTGGCTTCCTCCTCAACTCCGGTATCTAGCATAATAAATCAAAATAATCATATTCGATCCCAAACGTTCTTCAAAACAATAATATGCTTTCAAAAGGCTACCTGAAATCTGTTTTAGTTCACATGACTCAAATCAAGGAACTTTTTCAATAGCATACCTTCATTGGCTTTCAGTTCCTCTTTCGTTTTCTTCGGTTTGTTAAGAGTAACCCCAAAGTAGCTGCAAACAGACTCAGAGTAACTCTTCAATTCTCCTTCTACCAGGAATGGATACTGTTTGGCAGTTTTTATCTGCAGTGTCTGGAAATCGTGGTACCTGGAAAACGAAAGCAGGCATTTCATCTGCAATGATTGATGACTTGACAGAAGTTTATAAACTCTGTAATAAACTTTGCAGAAGTTTATTACAGAAATTGTTGACAAAAAAAGATTTCAGACAAAAAATTACTTCGATTCTTTAACCCCTTGGCGGAAAATTTGCAATTTAAATCTACATTAAATAAGGTTCTTATACTGCGAGTTAATTGTGCCATTTTTTGAACAAGCTGTAAGTGTTCTTTGATCCTGACCCAGCTCTGTTGCTTTTTTTTCACAGAAAACCTTCACAAACATTCTCCTTTCGACACTTTTTGGAAGTGTACGCAATCTATACGAATTTGCCTATCTATTTCAAAGACGGCTTTAAAGAGATTGGGTTGAATCATAAAGCAAAATTAGGACGATCAATTAAGGAAGGCCGGTCGAACAAGAGAGAGAAAGAAAGAGAGAGAGAGAGAGAGAGAGAGAGAGAGAGAGAGAGAGCAGAGATGAGAGAGAGAGAGAGAGAGAGAGAGAGAGAAGAGAGAGAAGAGATAGTGAGAGGAGGAGATAGAGAGAGAGAGAGAGAGAGAGAGAGAGAGAGAGAGAGAGAGAGAGAGACATTCTAAGCAGATAAAGATAACTCACGATTTCTTTATTTCTTCCAGCATTTCAAGAGATTGCTTAAGACTCATATTCAAAGCCTAAAATAGAAATAATAATATTTCAAGTGCTTGGCGTAAGGAAATAGTATCAAATTTCTTTGGTTTAGGTCTATAGTGCTATACAAAAGCGGCAAGTGCTTAGTCTTGCTCAAGATCTCAAAGTTACAACGATTAATATGTCAGCATGTCATGGGGAATAAATCAGCTTTCACCTCCTCCGAAGGATCTTGTCTCATTCTATCCATTACTATGTCCAGTTTTGCTTCCTTGATCTGAAACGGGATGACATGAACCAAGATGATTTCAGAAAGCCAACTTGGCATCAAGATAGGTAAAAATGTCTGATAACTGACAAAGAGAGACATAGGAACAACAGAGCATCAGAAATGTTAAGCTAAACGGACCCCAAAGTGTCTTCAGAACTAATTTTTTCCAATGGGGCTGCCCATCCATTTGCTTTTAAATTCAATACTCCCTTATATTGGAGAACTAAGGCTCTCTGACCGAACGAGGCATGTAAAAATGTGCCTCGAAAAAACTGTCTACATTTTGATCTTTCAAAAAATGATTTCTAACAAATCATCGATTATCACTAGAAGCGGTCTAGGCTTCTGTGGTCAGAGTGCTTTCTGTAGAGGTGTGTTCATATTATACCAAATACTGATGCGGTAAGTTCAGACTATACAGAAAGAAATCTCAATTTCAAACCTGATTCTGTGTATCATGTTCCCGTCTGTTCTTGTCCAGCCGCTCCTACAAAATATGGAAAAAATTAAGCATAACAGATGTAATAAAAGTTGAAAAACCACCTTCGTTTAAAATGAATAAAGCAGAAAAATGCATGGGTTCGATCGAAAGAGCCCATTTGACAAAATATCAGCGCTACAAGGCCAGTTTTGCAAGGCAAGCTAATTTTTTCATTTTGCAATAAATTTGCATTCAATTCATTGGGTGGGCCACCCTACCTGATTGCGTTTACATGGTTAATTTTCATCCCATCTGATGCGGATCCCACCTGTCCTTCTTGCGGATCTCACCAGAGCGGGCTACTCCACTCTCCATGTAAACGCAAATTAAGATAACAAAAAGAAGGTGTTGAACGTATGGAACCCACTTGAGGTGACCAGGCGACTTAAGTGGGCTAGCCCACTTCATGTGTATAAGCCTTTAGGATATCAACAGGTCATAACACTGCAAATACGAATAAACAAATATGCTAGTTGTACCTGTAGTTCTCTTTCCTCCCTTGTCAGTCCAATTTCATGGGTATCCCAGACGTGAGCAGCTCCTAGTAGGAATTTAAACAGCATTTTGAACAGCTGCTTCTGAGCGGCAGGGATTTCATCAGTGTATTTCTGTGAGAAAACAGGCAAGTAAATTTGCGTTTGAGATTATTTACGAATTTCTGTGAGAAAACAGGCCAAGAACATTTGCGTTTGAGATTATTTACGAATTTCTGGGTAAGAAGTGTCAGAACAATTCAATTATTGATGCTAGAGTAAGATAGAAATGTTAGACATCCAGGAATCTAGTCATCCATTTAAGATTATCTCTTTCACTCTAAAGAGGCTGAGGACACTTCCTAACGGTTTCCAATTTCAGTCATCTTGACTTATGACTTCTTGAAGTAAACCGTTAGTCTCAAAAGCATTATATATGAGTATATGAGTCATTTCTTACACCAAAGAAATTTAGATGACACTGTAAATATAATTTTTGCCTAAAGAGCGACCTATAAAAGGCATTACTTGCTACATAACAACTTTTCGAGATTTGGTTCTCATGAACCACTTCCCGCTTTAATGCTGTAAGAAAAAAAGAGAGCCGATTTGATGTCGAATTTGCTTTAAATTCCTTTGAAGTTTTCTTGTCTGGATTTGACTGGATTGCTCTCCCAGCCAACTCGTGGCGCTTCTACGCTAGCCTCAGCATATTACCCTAACCTAGCATCTACTACTGGTCTAAGAGCATTTAAGCAAATATTTTAGCAGACAATAAGGAGTTCATTGTGGAATAGGCGTTTTCCCGTTTTTATATGTTTGCACAAAATTTATCCTAAGGTATATTTCACCTTACGAATTTCTAATAAAACAATCTCAGTTGTGAAAAAATTTATTCCTGAAGTACGTTGCTGAGTACCTGTAGAAAATTTTCTAACTCAGTAAAAATCAAAGTATACTGCTACATTATGTTTCATATACTTAAAGTATCATAATTATGGTTGTTTATTTGGAGTAAACTTGTTGTGTGAAGCGGCTGATGTAGTATGGTTATCATTGTTTGTTCAGTGGTATTTAAGCGTTATAATTGTGCATTTGTTCTGTTATGTAGTTGTACCGTGCATGAATGTTCCCAGGGACGGTGATTTGTTCTGTTGTTTTGTTAGGTACGATAATCTATAATATGTAAAGAAAGGTGAATGTTATAGGAGAGGGGAGATGACAGATGGAAGTAAACATCGTTAAATTATAGCGGAAAATTGAATTCTTGACAGTTTGATTATTCTTTTGAGTCATCGTTTGAAACGTTGGAAAATGAGGTCTCCATAAATTAATGTGGCACGAGCCTGTTTGTTAGATATACATACTTCGTACTTATCGAGCTCATATTCAAATCTTGCTCTCTTCTCACCAACCAAAGGAGACAGATGATCTGTAGAAATCTGTAAAGGCAATAAAGTTGTTAAGTGTAACATTATCGAACGTGGATTAATCACAAAATAAAATGAAGAACTTTTAGTAAAAACCATCATCATTAGCTTAACCGGCGAATAATAATCATGAAAAAATAACCAGCACATGATCTAAGAAAATTTTAGTTAAATAAAAGTAAAAATGGTAGCATTACTGTCTCAAATTCTCATTAATGGTAACAAATAAACTTATGTTCTCATTTTGTTTAGCTATAAATAACAGCCAGTTATAAAGCATATGCTTCTTTTTAAAAAAGTAGAAGTGAAAAGTGAAATTTGTGAGGAAAGTATTATCACATTTGTCATTATTGATAATTTGTTTTCTTGTTTCAATGATTTTTATTTATTCTATTACATTAAGCCTGTGCCCCTGTCCACAAATGCTGTCACATTTATGGACTGTGCAATATTGATTAATATTCTGTCCACAGCTTCCATCAGGATCTGGTGTTAATTTATGCGAGCCTTCAAAATAATGCAATTAGCTGAAATTGTCAACTGTTCCAACCTTGTAAAACTTTAAACTCTCCATACATTATCTTATCTATGTCCTGTTTGGTTTCAGTGCATATTTCTTCGATGATGTTTCATGGTACATATCAATGGTTTAATTGCTTAAATTATTTTCATATAACAAGACCCAATCCTCTGTCTGGACAGTATGTTTATCAATATTGCACAGTCCATAAATGTGGCAGCATTTGTGAACTGGGGCGCAGACTAGTTATATTAGCTTTACAGATACATTCGTTTACTTGCTTATCTAAGGAACAGATTCTGAATAAAATGTCAAAGCTTAGTAAGCTATTTATGAAAAAATCTACCAAAGATCTATTTTTACTTATTTCTAGGCAAAATTTGATATTTCAAATTTACCTGTTCAATATCTTCTTCATTACAAACACCTTCATTGAACAACAAAGTCTAAAATATTGAAAAATATACATTGAATTAATGCATAAAGACAGAAAGCAATGTATAAACATGTGCAAGCGCTGGAACTTCTAATCTTTCAAAAAAGAAGGTTAGCGTGAAGCTGACAAATAAGGAGACAAATCGATCCTAAAATAGTCAAGGCCTAAAATGTTTGTAATGAAGTCAAGGCCTAAAATGTTTGATGATTATAAATTTGTTGGAGAAAAGGCTAATAAAAAGAGTTAAAAGTTGAATTTTATTTTCTACTGAAATCACTGAAGCAGTATGACTAAAAATGAGTGTTTTTTGTTAACAATTGTCCATGTTTTTTTTTTCTAAAAAACATAAAACGAATGGTCGTTTTTGAAAAAAATATCCAAGAAATTATCTTATATTTGATTTCCAAATTGGAGTTTATAGGCGAGAAAATGTGATTTGCCGTCAAATTTCTAGCAAATTTATTGGCTATATCTTCAAGACGATTCCTGTGAGATGAAATTCGAAAGAGCGGCACCTGACACTCTTGTCTGGCCTAAAGACATGCCGATCAACAATCCTCGCTTGCCTATGCTGATGTAAGCATAGAAAATGAATAATTTGATGTTCCATATTTGATGCTAGTGCAATATCATTGCAAAAGGGAATAAAATACTGTACAGCTGATTGGGAAATCCACTAAAAAACAGAAGGCCGATACCTTTTTCCAATAAATATAACAGGAAGACTGTCTTTAAAATGGCTTTCAAAAAGCAAACATTTTAAATATACTAGCTAAAAGCCTTTTCGTCTGACACTCCTCAGAGCATAAAACCACAGAATGAAGGTCCGAAAGAACACGATGAAAAGTATATACCCAGTTGTGGAGCGAAATAGGCCAATCAGAAAAACGCAAGCACAAGACCGGTATAGTTGACCAATCAGTGCTGCGTGCCTATAGAAAAATTACCACTGGAGTCCAAGAGAGAAAACGAACACCTTCTGTCTACACAATGACGTATTTTCGTTTGTATGTAGATCGATTCCAAAACTGCTAGATATAAGGACGACCGGGCTCTGCCAATTATCCGAAACATGTCGTCATTATAGAGTTTTGCACAATCTGGGTTGTCTAAAAGATGTTGACCGATGGCAGAATCAGTTGTTTTAACAGTGTTTCTAGACCTACAAGATCGAGGAGGCTGTTCTCTTTGTGGGGCAGTTTTGTTTCTTATGTTGGAAGGAACATGCTGTTTTATCCGATCCCCCAAGACTTTCTTTCCAATAATTAAACAGGGACAATCTTATTATGAAGGAAGGTAATAAAGTGGAATCATTTCAAATATACTAAATACAATATGGTTTATGCGAACAAATTTGATTCATAAAATAATATTCAAAGATTTTTTTGGGGCTAATAAAATAGTCAATTAATAAAATAAGTATAGAACGATAATTATTCAAATTACAGTAGCTCGGCAATTTTCCGAAATCTGTTCGACGGATGGCTGTTAATTTATAAATTTATATCTTCTATGAAGTATCTAGAAACATTTATGAAATATCTTCTTTTATGACCAAAATATTAATTCATACTTGAAATATACTGAAGCCTTGTTGAAAAATTACCCTGGCTAGTCCAATGAGAAACCCTATTGTATTTCCAGCATATATGTGGAAATCGATGAAAAACATTTAGCATTAAATCCAAGGCGAAACTAGCCATATAATACAAAAGCACAATAACAGTACCTTAACTCTGACCAACTCCTCTTCGCATTCAGAGAGGGCCTTCTCGTAGTTAACACGCAATATGCCCATGTATCTCTTATGGACATCATCTAATATGAAGCAAAGCGTAATGGGAATGTAGTAAATTTCATTGATTTACCAATAAATTGATTGTAAATCAGCTAGGGAGCTATAAGATATTGGAAATCTGGAATCCGTCTGTTATGTTAGATTTTGTTAAGATTCATATGGTATGTGACTATCACAAATAACAAGTCATAGAAGTATGGCGGTGCTTTGCTGCGCAACAACTACACCCAAATAAACCTTTACGGCATGATGCAGACTGAAATGTAATTTGTTACTTTAAGGCATTGAGTCATGGTAAATAGGCTGTACTCTAGAGGGGGTCATTTGGTTTCGGCGTGATCGCTGCTGTTTCATGTGATATTGGCATCCGTTGTTGACAACTTGCTATTGATGGAAACTGTTTTGTCAATCAGTACGAGGTGAGTTCATGTGACCAGTTCAAGGTCAACCAATAGCATCGCAGTCATGGAAATCATGACTCAGCAGATTTTGGCACTTCAGGGTATACCCAGTCTATTTATCATGACTCAATGCCTTTAAAGGTAATGTGTCCAGCTATAGCAAGCGACTCTGTGGGGGTTTTTAAAAACATGTGATTTTCCATGTCATCGCCTCAGTCATTACGGTCGTTCTGTTTATTTATCCTGCTGCGAAGTTAGCTTTTCATGTGAGCAGTTTTGCATCGCAAGAATACTGACCAATCGCAAGCCGTTTTTTCGATTGATGGCTTGACAAGTTGGGTATACGCAGCTCTTTTATATGGACACCATTACCTTTAAAGACGTCTTCGAAAAAGAAAGCATTATTGTTAGCAGCTTTTTGGGCCAATCCGCAGAGCAAGATAATCCACAGATCCTAATGCAATAGCCAATAGGCATTCAGAACGGATAACATCAAGTAGGCGTTTCAACTGTTAGGCTCCATTGCACGAAAATAGATGGAGACCCTGGCAGGACAAATAAGAGAACTCCTCTCTAAATGCTGCAATCATTCTCCTTTGGAACAGCAGGCTTTAAAATGAAATTTTTCATGCCCGGACGACATCATTTTGCAAAATTCCTGCTAAGTAAACTACAGTTGCCAAGAAATTCAAATTAAGAGTACTGGATGTTGAGATATTTGAAAGCTTATAAAAATCTAGGTTTTATTTCATTCGTCAGAACATTCGATTCCTTTTCTAAATTAGCTAGATACAATCGTCTTCAAGGAAATTGACCCTTGTAAAGTGCCTTAATATATCTGACAGGTCCTTTCCTAGCTTTTAGTTGCAATCATATTTACCTAGTTGTTCAGTTATACTGGTTAGTGAATTATGCCATTGGTAAACTGCAGTTTTTGTAGATCCAGGTGGCTTCATTTCCCTGTCAACGAAAAATTCGCAAAGAAAATGAAGTACAATAACTCAGTTTAAATTTAATAATTTGCAATGGTCAATGAATAATAATCATTGAATTTGTGCTTTGGCTGATTATTAGATATTTTCACCTTCACCTTTTATCGAAAAGCTGGCCTGTTTAGCGTAAATCCTCGGGGCTTATTCGAGAGGGGGATGTTTATTCGAGAAGGGCTTGAATCAAAGTTTAGTATTTTCCTCAAATTTCGACATAAAAACGACATAATTTTCTCAATGAAATGTTGACCAATTGAATGGAAAAAAGATAAACATGAGCATTTTGAGCTTCTTATTACAACAACTTATATCATTAAAAGAGTTAGAAAGTGCTGTGTGAAGATGTAACAAATATCATAATTTTTTATCATCACAAAAGTCGTTTTTTTTGTTTTATGGTCTCTAGTCAAAGAAAGTAATACTGTATAGCTATTGTCCTGTAGGGGCTTTCTTGAAATAAGACATTATTCTGCAATTATGCTTCAATATAATACGCCCCTATGGAGCTTATTTGCAAAAATGATTTTTTAGGTGGGGGCTTATTCGAGCATGGAGGATTTACGGTACAGATTATTAAGACAGTCATTACAATATAGAGAGATATTACAAAAATTCGCTTCCTGTTTAGGCATATTTTTTGCTACATTTTAAGACGATAAATTGAATATACTTCTTTGTTGGGTACATTCTACTATTTTGCTAAAATACCTGAGAAAAGTACCTGAGTTGATTGAAAAGCTGTAGTCTTCTTTGATTTAAATTCGTCTGCTCGGTGACAAGAGAATTCATAGCATGATGGACATTTGGCGGATCATTCATAGCTGAGCTTGTCATCAACGCTCTAGAAAATATACAAATAGCTCTACGTAAATAGTTCTTAGCTTTTAAGCGTTTACACGTTATGACATTTGTTTCACTGTCACTCCGACAGAAATTTTTGGAAATCTTTTAATCTGATAATGGTCCTTAACCCTTTTAGCGCTGACTGACAGTCATAGCTTGAGAATCTTTCAAGAAATGTATTTTTACATGACTTACGTGAATCCTTCAATTGCCATCTCTGTTTTCATGCTCTTCCAATCCTCTACCCTTGTTTTCCAATGCAGATAGTACTTTCGTTCCTTCTCCATATCAGCTACGATTATAAAAGGTACCACGAATAAAAAGTCACTGGCAAAAGTTCTGATGCATAGGTCTTAATGAACGGGAGTTGAGACTTCTCTAAAGAGGGAAAAAACTAATAAACAGGGGAGGATTGGCTTAAACGATAGAGGTCGGCAATGTTTCAAACAATATCACACTAAATTGGGAATTCTGAACGCTTAAAGGCACCATCGTAACATCGAGAATTTGCCTTAAATTACCGATTGGCTATGAAACAATAGGCCCATTGTGTATTCCAACCAATTGGAAAATTTGAATGGACATCAAAATTCACCGAGACATAGAGTCTTTAACTGTAGCTTACGACTTGCAAGTTATAAATTAGGTATAAATTCTTAAACTGTTTTTATGGATCTGGCATGAAATGGGGCTATCGTTATGCTGAATCTCGTAATGTCAACAACATTGATCCAAAATCAAGCTCCAGCATGTCAGTAAGCAATCGATTGACTGATGGCTTAAGCCACTTTACTTACTGTCGCTTGCCTTTGAGCTCTTCTAAATCATTCATTTATTTAAAAAAATCATTATTTAAAATTATGGGGTTAATGTTATTGCCAAGACTATTATCGAGCCTAGAAAAGTTACATGGATCGAAAGATTTAAAATACCCCTACCCAACTGATTCGTTACTTTAAAGTCAAACGACAGATACAAAAGTGGCTTAAGGCTTAAGCCATCTGTCAATCAAAATTAGTCAGCCAATAGGCGGCGTGACAGTGGAATCACACTCACTGATTGGTCAATTTTTCATTGAAAGATGGCTTAAAGGGAATCTGTCACGAAGTTGATTGATTATAAGAGCAAAGGGATTTTTTATTGTTTCCAGGCCCCCTTTAATTTATCGCATTGTAAAAAATATGGCGGAGCACTGGAATTGTGTTCGGGCTATTGTTCCAGCTATTGTTTTTGTTAACCAATCCACAACGAGACAGATTGCCTTTAAGCCCATTTAGTATCTTTCGATTTCCTTTAATAAGCAAATAATGCACAAACACAAGAACTGATGCTTATCAATGATACATAAAGTTGAGAAACAGTAAGCTGTTTAACAATACTAACCCATTTTCAAACGTTTGATCAAGTTAGCACAGTATCTCTTGTTTGAAAGCAATGTCTGGTTTGTACCCTAAACGTAAGAGAATCCAAAAACGTAAAATAGACTCTTTCTTAACGGCACTAGGCCCTAATCTATTTCGAATGATCATCTGAATTTTCATTGGGTGAATAATACAATAGGATATTGTTAATCTCCACCATCAATCCACCCATTTTCAAACGTTTGATCAAGTTAGCACAGTTTCTCTTGTTTGAAAGCAATGTCTGGTTTGTACCCTAAACGTAAGAGAATCCAAAAACGTAAAATAGACTCTTTCTTAACGGCACTAGGCCCTAATGTATTTCGAATGATCATCTGAATTTCCATTGGGTGAATACTACAATAGGATATTGTTAATCTCCACCATCAATCCAGTAACCCTTTAATTATATACATGGTAAGAAAGAAGAACTTTTGCAAAAGCTCTATTGAACGCCACTGTAACCTTACTTCACATATTAACATTAAGAATTCTGAATTGTTGTATGTGTTTTTATCGGCTTGAATATAAGGAAGTTTCCAAATTCTGAAAAGGGTAAATATTCTAAGAACTTCAATCTGCGAACATCTTCTCACTTTTGTCAGATGATAAAAGACGATTTTTTATAAGTTCTCATTTAGCTTTGAAGCCAAGAAAGTAAATTTCTCCATGAATCAGCTGAGAAACTAATAATCCAATAAGTCTTAGATTTGTCCAGCCATCTCCCTTAAGTGAAAATCAATCAGCTACCTCTAACATAGTACATATTTATACAGGGGCAAGTGCTAATGATATCGAAAACTACCAAGGCTTTAAGTAGAAATACGGGGTATGTCGGCTCAGACATTCAAAATGATGTCGAACTTGGGACAGAACGTTTTTAAAAGGCTGAGCCTTGTAATTAATATTATCAGAGGGCCTCTGGAAAACGAGCTTCTGCTGAAGGGCAACCCCCCTCCTCCCCCTTGAAAAATTGAATATGAAACATAAAATACGGATCAAATCAAATCACATTGTTTGTAGACAAAATAGCTACAGGCATTGAACTTTCATTTTTTTTGTAAACATATTTATCTTAATTACATACGACAGATACCAAAGTGTCTTGTTTCCAAAGCCTGGGCAAACTAGAAATGGACAACCGGACTGAGTTGAAACATTCTGCATACGATTGTTTTCATCTTTTGTTTCCTCCTCTTTCCGAAATAACAGAACAATTATTCGCTGGACAATAGGCAACTATTTAACGTTGTATGTGATATTTCCAGAAGGTTTCAACATTTAAGTTATTGTTAAACAACTATAAAATCTCTTACTAAGCATTCATCTTCCATGAGTCTGTGCACATCTGGTGGCATTAGATGGGCAACTCTCACTAATCTCTGCGTGTATGCCTTGTACACCTCCTCGATCTAAACCAAATAAAGCACTTATGATAAAGATTGCTTTTCCTCTATATGATCCCAAGATATCTGGCACCGCATAGACGTAGGAAGCTTTCTAAAAGTGAGGGGGAGGATAGGCAAAAAGGGGCGCTTCTGTGAGCTGCAATAGGCACATGTTGGGAAAAAGCAGGGAGGGACATGTACCAATGTGCCAGTTTTTGCGTCAGCATTGAAAAAGTTTTAAAAAAGAGTGCACGAGTTCCTCCTCTGATCTTCTCGAGCCATATCTGAAAAGAGAAAAAAAAGCTAGCCTTACCAAAGTCGCTCTGTCCGTCTCTATTGCACTCAGCGTGAGATCAAGCTCTTCAACCCATGAATGCCTTACTTGTGTGTGACTCTCAACCTGTTTCCAAAGACCATCTAAGTCTTTCAGCGAAAAATTCACCAGGTCCTAGAAAACATTATTAAGAGCGGATAAGAGGAAGAATAAACAAAATATTCGAGAACTAGAGAACTAGCTAATAGGATATAAATAGAAATGCTGAGCTAATGGCTTCTTACACCCTAAAATAAATCAAGATAAAAAGCAGATGCATTAAATAACACACGTTTGATTCAAACTTCAACAAATTAATCTTATGCAACAGAAAAAAAGGCTGTTACCTCATTGTTCTCAAGCAACTTAATGACCTTCATTATTTCTGAAAAAAGAATTAAAGATATTTCTGCAAATGGCCTAAAAAATTGCGGCATTGGAATCAGTGATTGCATGGAAATAGAAAATTATACTAATTTAAGTTTCTGAATATGAAAGTACAACTCACCCAATTGGTCTTGTTCAAGATATTCTTTGACAGTTACACAGGCCTCTGTAATTTGAGGTTCCAGTTCCTGAAAGTGTGACAGAAACCAAACAAATTATAATCCAAGGAACAAAACAAGAAAATAGTAGTGGAAAATAGTAGTGTATTGTTGGAGACGAAATTATAAAAACATGGAAACCTAAAATTCAGAACTATGAAACAGCTGGTCTCTGGGGCAAGATATTACAAGCTATATTTGATTACTTTATTGAAAATATATTACGACTTAAATCTCAGGGTGAGTAAAGCAGTCCTTTTCGTGAGCAAAATTAGGCGTGTGTGGCAAATCGCACATGTAAACAAATTTGCGCGTGCGATCGCACTTGTAAGAAAATTTGAAGTACAAACCTGATAAAATTGGTAAAAGGAGCAAGAAGGAAAAAGCCACTCGAATACTTGCAAGAGCAAAACTCAATTAATCAATACATAACAGATTTTGTTGCCCTTAGCAGCCATCTTTTAAAAGTCGTCGTAAGTCTCCAAAGTTACAAGAGCAAGTAAAAATTGTTTCCAACAGCTACTTGCTTTCAGGGCCTAATTACGTTTTGACAGGAAATCAGTTATTACACTTAACATGCTAATGGCGACTTAGCTGAAAGACGAGCTAAGTTGAATGGAGCACTCAGTCAAAAGCCAAACATCACTTCCGAAAATTGGAAAAATCATATTGTGGTCAAAAGTGCGAATCAAGTAACACGGGAAAGGATAAAAAATCATGAGACCATGGGAAATTGATGTTAAAGGGCCTCTCCAGCAAAAAAAAATTTTTTTTAATGACTTAAAAGTTAGCATCTGGTGCGTGTATTATGACAAAGTGATTGTTTTTGAAAAATTCCAATTAGTTTAGAAGTTGTAAGGCTTTAAAGTTGCACCTTTCCGAGAAAAAAAACGACAAAAGCCGAATCAGTTTGGTGACATTCTGACGTCACAATGTGCGGCTCTCGTTCGCCATGAATTTCGTATTGACTGAAACTGAAAGTACCATCACTTGCAGTGTTCAATTTGCGAATCGCCGTCGTTCGATTCGGTTTGAGGCGAGACTATCCGAAGTACACTGTGACGTCAAAATTGCGTCACAGTGTCACCAAACCAAAAATTTTTGTCGGTTAATTCAATCAAATTATTGAAATGCAAGAGCTTATATCTCACAAACTGTAAAAAAATATCGAAAAACAAATAACGAATTCGTGATCAGCAGGCTCAACTTCTTTATAAAAATTGCCAATAAAAATTTGGCTGGAGAGGCCCTTTAACAGAAAACTGCAAAAACACCTGTTTGCGCGTGTGGTCAAAAGCACGCGCAATTTAACTTGCGCGTGTGCAGGCGTGTGCGGGTGCGTTCGCACGCGCTAAACGAAAAGGACTGGTAAAGGCTAATAAGTTTCCGGCAAAAAGTCTTGCAGTAGAGAGATATCCTCCAAACATAGATGAAATTGATCTTATATTGCAACAAGAAACATTCATTTATTTTTTAACTTGCAAAGTAAACACACTCATTTACTTAACTTATAAGTTGTTAAAAGTTTTGGAATACTACTTGGGGATTTCAGAAAGATACAAAGATTTACACATAATAAATCACAAAAGTTGATCCCAGATGAAAATTACAGTGCCAGAAGAAACCATAAGCTGTCATCCTCTTCATATGTGTAGGAAAATGGTCACCTAAAGTTTGTACAGCTCTACCTATACAGCAAAGGGCACTCTGTGACAGATCAGTAAGAAATGATTTTCAATCATTCTTTTTAGATGTATTTGAAAGCATTTCTTGCAACACTTTCAAGCAAAGTCTCCAAAAAGTGTGAAAACAATGTGTCACATTTATTCCTTGTTCGGCACTTAGTTAATTATAATATAACTCGTAATAGTTGTTCTATCATTGAGAAATTAAATGTAGCAAATACTATGTCAATCAAGGAAGTACTTACTGAATTTATCAATGCTAGTTCTTCATGCATCTCACTGACAATAGCATCGTGTCTTAGTTAAAAGAAACTAAAATCATTATCTGGTTCCAATAACAGATTGAGAGTTATGTGAAAATTTCATATTTAACGAGTGAAAACACAGAGCCAGAGAAGAGATGATGTGCCTATTGCGTGTCTTGATTCTAGCTAAACTAAAATTGCTTATAAAATAACATACCTAATGTCTATACAGAAATGAAAATCTAAAGATAACAGGAATTATGTGAGAAAAATTAATGATTGAAAGGGTGAGTCAAGGTGATAAGTAAATTGAATAGCATGGCAAGAATGAAGCTAACAAAAGGTAATTAGTGAATGTGTGGTAAAAGAGTGATGTAGAGGATGCCTGTGCTCCATACCAATTTTCTCAATAAATTACAAATTAGGTATAAACCTCAAACATTATAACATATTTTCCAATGGCGTCCAATGTGAAACAGGCTCAAGTATTTACTGTATATGTATATGTTGTATTTTACAATGTATGTATTATTATATTCTAGTATATGTATATGTAGTATTATAGTTGTATTATTAGTTATATTTAAATACATGTCATATCCCTGGGGACAGTCATTTTATATTACTCCTCCTGAGTTCCGTCCTTGTTATGTAGTTTAGTAGTTCGTACATACTGTTTTAGGTAATTTGTTGTGTAAGTTTTTATACCGAATATATGAAAAAAATGCCTGTGCTGTGATGTGATGAAATGAATGAGAAGAAAGAATTAATGTAAACATGTCTAAGTAGAGTCACTACAACATATTTATGATTTAGTTGTAAATGGTTTCAAGTTTGAATATGAATCGGAGCATGATCTGGTCAAAGTGAACTTTAAAGAAAATAGCAATCAAATTTCCCAGTTACTCCATAAAAAGCTGTTAAGGCCTGAAGCCACCTTTCATATTTCCTTTCTTATCAACATCCAAGGTAACAAAAATACACAGGAAAACATTAATGACTGGAAAATGTTTTAATTTTACCTTTCTTTTCTATTCAATTGAATTCTCTCTAAAATTCCATTTGAGTTCTCTATTTTGCTCACTGAAATTTTATTGAAATATAATTTTAAAAAATGAACTCAAGGATTCCTAAAGTTAAATAATTTGAGGCAATATGAAAAAAATCACAAAAGGGAACTTGTCAAAAATATCACTGATACAAGCTTTTTCTGAAACCATTGAAAACATAAATATGGTAACAAAAGATTCTCCAGAAAGAAAGATGCTACTTGACATTTTTATGCCTAGAAGTATGATATGTGGATATTACAGATGCTATTACCTTTGAAATCAGAAGAAAGTCCCCTGACTTCCTGTGATGCAAAGGTATTTTCTGCCACCTCCTCTCTTCTGGATTTGATCTGTTTTTGAAGCCTGAAAAATCAGAATTGCTCAATAAAATTCATAAAACTTAAGAAAGATTGGGGTTTACAAAAAAAGTCAAATGATGAAGATATTGATATGTCCTCTATCTAGTCAAATTCCATAGGAAATTTCACTAAAAATAGAATAAATAGGAAATTAAAACTGAAAGTTAAACAGTTAGACTTGTAGTTTGTTTTCTCTTGGTCTGTGTGAATGTAATTGAATACAGATATTTTTGACCAAACAAAACTGTCAATTGAACATGATAAAATTATATCAGATATTTCATACTGATGACTTTCTCTGACCCAAGAGATAACCAGAATGACATAAACTGGTGTTCTTCTTAGCTTAAGGTGACAAAATTGCAACAAGGTCATAAAAATTGGTAATTCAAATCTTTCTTAGGATTGCTTCAGAAAATAAGCATATTATGCATTTTTGCCACCCGAATTATAGGAATGGCTTTCATCTTAACTAGACTAAAAAGAATAATCTGAAAAGAGAGATGGGTGTCATACTTTTTGAGAACAGGGTTTTCAATGTCCCCTTCGTTAGGTTTTGCTCTAGTCCATAATTTTTGTTTCTCTGTCAGTATGCCAGATTCAATTTTTGATAAATTGCTTTTAGCTACAGGAATGTTCGGCTCTGTTTTTGATGTTGTTGTCCTTGCATTACCAACAGATTTCCCATGGTAAGTCTGAAAAATTCAAAAAGAATTTCATTAGTAAAAAAACACTGCTCAAGTAACAATAAACAATGTTCCTTGTTTTCCTCTTCTGGTTGTTTATCATTCCTTGTGTCTTCTTTCAAGTCCTGATTGCTCCTTCATGGTACTGTTAGATTCCATGATTAAAGATCCCCTTTGTCTAGCTTTTCCTTATTTGCCTTTATTATAATATACTGAAGGTGACTCTAGCTAGAGTCGAAAAACGATTACTTAATAGATGTCACCGGACTTTCGCACTGGATTGTCAATTTTACCAGCAGCCAGAGCTAAATTATCCAGATACTTTTATTCTCTGGCATTCTCTAGATTGTGAACCATCAATCTTTCCTTGAAAGTTTTTTATTTATCATTTTGAATATTTGCATTTGTTCGCTAACTGTTTTTAAGACCCCTTCATTCTTTATCTTGTCTGTCCAGGAAATCTTCATCATAATTTGATAGCACCATATTTCCAATGATAGAACTTTTCTAATGTCTGTATTGATGGTTTATGTCTCACATCGATAAAATTCTATTTTGCAATGAAAACTTTTGCTAGGTTTATGTTGTACATACCTTCTATTTTCAAAAGTGCAATGCTTCTCAATGAGACCCTTAAGTGCTTTGCTTATTTAGATTAAGCAACTTTATTTTGAGAGAAAGTTGATGACTCTATTTTTATGAGAAGAATGAAGATTCAAAAAAGCTTTATCACAGTCTAGTGGATAGTTGCCTATAAGATCATGAGAAGAGTAACCACTTCCAATCAGATAATTAATTCTGGACGCTAGCAATTGTGATCAGGTCAGGTCCTAAAGGCCCAAAGGACTTGTCTTTATATACTGTGAATAGATTTACAATATATGAATGGTTAGTTATTTTGTCATTCTGTAATTACAACAAGGTAGTATCCGTCTTTGAGGAAAAATAACAGGCAAGATGTCAAACAACAAACTGAAGTTTATAAGCAAGGAAAGGCCATAAAACATGCTTAAGAAGAAAAATTATCTTTTCATATGAAGTACATTCACAAGTCAAATGTAACAATAGTTGCATAGCGAGGGGGCAAGAGGGGGCAGGTTTCCCCCTACTAATGGAAAGGAACCTCTTTGAAAAAAGGCACTTCTGACATTCAAAAGGGTGTGGACTCCCAATTTTTCCTTCCTATATTTGCGTTTGCCTCCCCCCCCCCCAATTTTACCACCCTGGCTACGCTACTTTGTAACAACCAAAACCCTAAAAGATGACAAGACTAGACACTACAGAGATGGAAAGGCAACAGCAAATGCTACAACATAGAGAATGGTCATTGACAGGTCTTTGCAAGAGCAAGTTTACCTGGATTAAAGGGTATGGGGATAATAAAAACAAAAAAGGAAGAATGCAGCTCTGTCAATACAGACACTTAAGTTATATTTCCAGTTTATTCCAAGTCAGAAGAAGAACTTAAAATGAAAAAACCAGCCTTATGTTTCAAGTGTATGAACTGAAAAAGCTGTTGAGTTTCTGAAAGAAGAGATGAGAAAGGCAAGAAATGAAAGATCCACCTCAGTGATCCTACCACAACAAATATTTGCAACAGTTGATCATTGCTGAAGAGAATAATTCCAGTACTAATTAGACAATGAAGAGTTTATTCTTGTCTGTAGATTATGTCTACTAGAGAATAAGATGCCAAGTAATAGTGGCAGTGTTCTTCCTGTTGGCATATTTTTTAATGACAGCCAAAACAGAAGGAGATGAATTTTGGACACCAAATTGTCGCATGAGTTTTCAACAGTAGTCGTCGGCCTTATAAAAATGTGAATTCAAAACCATAACCCAAAATTAGTATAAAATCGTAGCTAACCTCTCCTGTAAAAGCACTGCGATGAACATTTTTTTCTTCAACACTGCGAGGAAGGGCACTTGAAACAGACATAACCACCATTCAATTCGGGCGCCAAATAATCTTCCTTATGTTTTCAGCTCTGGCCGCCATTAATTTTTCGCTTGTTGTTGTGGCAACGCAGAATTGCACTGTGGGAAAGATCGTTTTCGTCATAACGATTTACATAAGATGAAGAGTGGTTACGCAGCAATTATTGGTACGCACGCAGACACTTCGCGAATGCCATCGTGTTGCCTGGGATAGCAGAGAGCTGGCGACAGAGAGCTGACTTTCCCCTCTATTAGTGAAAGTATGTGGTCATCAGGCACCGCGCCCCATTCCAAAAGTGGATAGAGTAAAAAATGTGTGACCGATAGTTTTTAGGCCACGCCCCTTAGAGCGCTGGAAACACCCCTGTTAGAAAATACTTGCTTCTTTCCAATTACTATTTACAAACAGTCCGATTCAGAGAAGATATCAATTACTATGAAAGTAGATGTAAGGATAATTAGACAACAAGCTAACAAAGTTAGAAAATGCAACAGATTATTAAACAAAATAAAACACCAAGAAAATGAACCAAAAACGGTTCCCAGTCAAGACGAGCTGGTACAACTTAGAATCTCGCCTTAGAAAAAAATTTTCCAAAGTTGTATCAGAGTAAACTTCTTAAATATTTTCTAATCCAACCTATTATTGCAAACAATCTTAGCTTACACAGGCTTTCTTTGACGCATAATATCCAATTAATGAGTGAAAGCTATTGACAGACAATGAATGGCAAGCAAATTCACACGACTGTCTAATTCTATATTGTATCTTTGTTAGCTTCAGACTCGCATATGCGATTATTTCTATTTCCGATAACTCGTGATGCGGAGAGATTTGCGGCGATTTCTATTTTATTTCAACCAGTCAAAGCACTTTTAAGTTTCGGTCTTTATAAGTCGTGAAAGTTCAGTAGTATTAACAATGTCAGATATTGTGTTATCATCGGCAATATAACATACATGACCACCATTAAGGTTGGAAAATGCCGTTTGAAAATCAAAGGAAAAAGTTTCGTAGTATGGTATTCCGTGCCCAAAGCTCTCCCAAAACTTATAGTGCAGTGGCGGATTTAAGGGGGGGGCAACTAGGGGCTACTGCCCCTCCCTCACCGAATTTAAGCAAGTCTGTCCCCCTTTTTTGAGAATTGTGTTTTTGGAACGAAATCGTTGGTTCACAGTTGTTGCATATATCCCAGACACGTTTTCCTGCTATCTCTAAAATGTCAAAGTTGCAAAACTTTTTCTGCCACCAACCATAGTTGTCGCCTTCATCAAGCCCTGAACAATCAATCTTACTTTTTGCAATATTGACGTACTATTGAATTTTTGGCGATTTATTCAAGTACTGCCTAGCTATACAGCCATATTCCAAAATTAAATCATGAATTCGATTTCCCGGTAAAGAAAAGCATTCTATTCAGCCCCTTTTGCAGAGTAGTATAGCAGAGTTGGAGCCAGAGGTGCTGGAAGCTTCAGGATGCGGCGGGGGCAGGACTACCCTGGGTACCAGACTCTATAAAGGCTATATAAAATGCTCTATTTTATTTCATATATAGTGAGTCTGGTACCCAGGGTAGGGCAGGACTAGCAGAAATGACACCTTGGGGTGTCAAAGTTTGCTGATGAAACAGATCGTGAATTGTCGTTTAGCCAATGACGAAGCCTTGTTGTAGGTGAAAGCCCTGTCAAGAAAGAGAGGGTCGGTGTTCTGGGGGCGCAGCCCCTTGGAAAATTTTGCATTGCTACGCCCTAAAGACTCACGGAAATGGAGGTAACACCCATAATAATACGTTTGAATCAAGACTACAGTCAAAGTTCATTCTCAAAACTTCTTTCACCGCAACATCACTCATCAAAAGAGGCTGCACCCAACCTTACATTAAAACAAAATTTTGTTCTGATGACCATATTCATGGCTTGACATAACTTTTGGATGTAACTCCTCTGAACTTACCGTTTTTTTTCTTTCTTTTTATTTCTATACAATCTACAGCTGTACTCAAGCTAAACAAAGCCAACTAGTTTAAATTATTCTTTTCCATGCTCTTATTTCCGTCTTCCTATTCCATAAATCGAATTCCATATTCCTTTGACAGGTTTGCAAATCGATTTTAAGTTCTCATAAAAATGGAAAATATTGACTTTTGTCTGGCATGTTGGTATCAAGAGACGCTTGAAACCTAGATTTTATTAGCATTCAGAATATTTATATGAATTAAAATTGCTCGGAAAACAATTTCTTGAAAAGGGCACTTTGCTGCCCCCGTGCTGCCTCTGCACCACTAGGGCAACGGGGGCAGCTGGAACTCTCCGGTGCCCTTGGCTGGAACTACTATGGCGGAATGGCGAATGTTCAGCTGGAGAATTTATCCATTAAGAGAAAAAATTTTAAAGAGTCCTTCAGTCATGTTCATCCTTAGAAAGTGAATAGAGATCCTTCTGTCAGTAGTTAGGGTCTGAAATTGTTGTATACAATACAGCGTACTCTCGTCAACAATTTCTGAAAATTTTTCACCGCCCTTACTACCAACTGCCCCTCTTTCAAATTTGCTCTGGACCCGCCCCTGGTGGAGTGTCCTTTTCTTTTGGCTCTTTGCTTTCTGTTAGATAAATAGTCTCGAGTAAGTTAAATAGAATCCATTCATACCCAGCAACAAACAGGTTCTATTTAAAGAATATTTTTTGATAAAGACTTTTCATTTCTTTTGTGACTGCTGAATGCTCATTTCAGTGAATTTAAAGTTTGACCAATGCTAATGAAATAGTTTTCAGAATCTCAGTAACTGACTGTGGGACAAAGATAAGACAATTGTTCTCAGTAACAACGATTTCTAAACCACTATGAACTATTCTAATAAAATTCGAATTTGCTGCCAAGCCAAACACTTCTCATATGACCGCATTTTGTCTAAAGGAAACTGACACTGAGGCTGGCTAAGGGGTGAGGATGGCTCAGTGTTTAAGAGTCGCTGACTACAGATCCAAGAGCCTGGGGTTTGTGTTTACTCTGCCATTCCGGGCAGGTAGCAACAAATAGAAAGTCTGACACTTAAAAGATATTGTTAACAGTGTTTTCATCTGTAACATAAAAATTTTCACGATTGTGCAAAGGTAAGTATTAAGATATCTTGCTAAAGCCCAAGGAGAAAGGGTAACTTCCACATACATTCCCTCCCCAAAGGTATTCGAATGGAAGCCAATGTTGCCACTGTGCCAGTGCCGGGTCAAGTTGTTGAAAACATAAAGAGAAGTTAATTGCTTATTTTTATAGAACGACGATAGGAAAAATCAATTCAAAATATCAAGCAATCATAAAACAAAGTTTAAATTACACGAAATTTTAAATTTCAAGTCATTATTCATTATATTAATGAAATACTGTACCACCTCCACGCAGGGATGGCGCCACCAGAAATGAAATGCTGGGGGGCTGTAATGTCAGAGTGCCGACAGTTAGTGAACCACCCACAACAATGTAATATAACACCAGTTCCACTGTGTGAATTCTAGTTCAAAAAAAAATTGGAAAAAAATCAAACACTGAAAAAAAATCACTAAGTGGAAGTTATGAAAGTGCCGACATTGCTTAAAATTTTTCAAAAATTGAAGTGCCGACGGGGGGCTCAATGAATTTTGAAGCACCATCCCTGGCTCCCCCAGTATTCCTTTTGGCCCCCCCCCCCCCCGGAGTTTATCAAACACCCCCGAAGAACAAGATGGCGATTAGGCCTAACGCAACCCTAGACAGACCATTACTGAAAATCCTTCCTTTCCTTACATTTGGTTGAAAACACTTTAGATTGCTTCATTCTCCAGTTGTTTTCCGGATTGAGAAGGCTCCAGAATTATTTTTTTAAACTAGATCTACACTTTCAATAGACTATGACCAGGGGCGCCTACACCGGGAGGGCTGGAGGGGCAGCTGCCCCTCCTGCCCTCTTCGAAGAGGGGCAGAGGGGGCAAGAAGTGCCCTGAAATATAAGAAAATACTACAGAATCTTATTGATTATTGATGATTACTTTGACCGCACTCTTTATGTTAATTTCTATTAGAAAATATTAGAAAAATGATAAAACCAGCACAAAAATAAAAAGGTTGAAAAGGCTGCCTGTAGCAAGGTCGGTAAAAAGAGGGAGAGCGGCAAAGATAATAGTAGATAAACAAGAGACCTGTTCCCTCAGAAGTACTCCAGAAACCAAAGATGGATAAAACAGTATTTGCAATCATTGATGGTAGAAAAATTCAGCTGTATGGTCGTCACATATGCATTTTAATATTTTGTTATGTTACCCCACCCTCTCTAACCAGGAATACTCGACCATGTTAGTAGAAAAATTCTACGATTTGCCCTCAGCACCAACACTGCCCCTCCTGCCCTAATCTTGTGTAGGCGTCCCTGACTATGACTCCTTCAAGAAGACATTATCGCCCAAGTCGGTGACAGGTCGTTCCTTCATGACTTGCACTCTGTTTTGCCGGTAGGTGCAGTTATTTGCTGAAAAATTAGGCTCTCTTTTTAGGTAACAATTTATAATTCCGCATTTCCTGACGCCATCGTTTTATTTTCCCTCCAAAATTTTATCTTACTTTTTCACTAACATGGCGTTTGCTAAAATTAGTCCCAAAATTTTGCTAGACGGTTCGAATACTTTTGGGAGGAAGATACACTGGTACAGGATGTGCCATTGTCCGGGGTACCATTTTTCAATAAGAAAATAAATTTTGGGTTATCGATTTTGGTAAAACCAAACATGGTCAAAAATGTTGGGGTTGTTTTTAGCATGAAGTTAATTTTTGGTGTTTCATTTTTATAAGAAAGGTTAAATGTTTTCATATACTTGATTCAGTTGTTGGACGTTTGCAAATTTAGATTAAATTTACGGGTGTGCATTTCGTTTTATATCTAAATTTGGAGCAGAGTTTTTTAAAGTTATAAGTTTTACGCCACTACTGAGGACATCAGCTAGGGAGAAGATTGCCCCACAGCGCGGCATTTTTCTATGATCTTTCAGACCAAAGACTGAAATACAGCCTTTTTGTTGGGGGGGGAGGGGGGGTGGGAGCAGCACCGACAAATAAGTGTAATAACAGCCATATTTTACAAACT